TTGCGCCTGTATAGGCACTATATAAATACACATATTTGTTGATTAGTACCTTATTGGGAACACACAAATATACATTTATTCCTCCATTTGATCCTCCAGACACAGTCTGACGTCGACACTACCCTCATACATATTGATTTTGTATACGTACATTATCCTTGTATAAAATCCTTGAAAATTTATTCATCAGATTATGGTCACATAGAATGGTCCATGCAGGTGCTTGACACTTGAAACTGGATTGTTCACACAATATGCAACCAAGTATTGACACCATTTGGATGGTAAATTGTTGTACATTCATTAGACATCAATCTACACAATAGATATGTACACCCAATGACTGAAATGTCATTAAACTATTATTTTTTCTTTTCCCTCCCTCCCACCCTTCTGTTCCTCTACCACACGACCATTATGCTGTACATTCCACACGGTCTCCCAACAATGGACCCGACTTGTGAAATGTGGGGGTGATATGAAGAAAATATAGATATATATCTATAGGGAAAGGAAACACCCAATCATAGATTAGGAGGTGCTCCTCACAAGCCCCAACCCAATCATAGATTAGGGGGTGTGCTATTAAGCACATCAAGCTTACCATGTAGACAAGTGAACACACTAGTCTTTTCATGCGAGTATCTGACTAGTCATCAGATATCCATGGTAATGCGAGTATCTTTCAAGGCTCGGCTAGCATCTTGACAGACTGCATAGACCCTTTAAAAGCTTATAACATTGATTGATGCAACATTTAGTCCTGAGCATGACAATTAAACTGCATCACATTTATGGCAGTCACCCATATTTAGTTCATGATGATGTAGACTGTTGTTGACAAACTCCACTGTCGCAGCAAGCTCGTTATTCACTTGACAATAATATTTCTAAATCAGAAAATTAGTATAGGATACTGCGAAGGCAAGCAGAAAACAATCCAACTGAGCATAGTGATAGCCAACCAAGATTGCATTCATACTAGTTCTTACATCACAAAGAACCACTGTTTTCCTTGAAATGATTAGAAACCAAATAAAGCCAACCCAGATTGTGGAGCTATCAAATCTGAAGAAGTGCATGACACTTGACTTGCCATAATATTCGATCAAATCTTGCATATCAAATCTTCACTCGATCGAATATCCATTTGCATAGTATACTGTGAAATATACTGTGACAAATAGGGCAGATACTGTCCCTGAAACAAATTCCTGTTTCTAAATACTTTAGTGAAGTAAGGACAAGCATAGTCCCTGAAACAAAACTCTTGTTTCTAAAAAGCATTTGAACCTGGGCAGTTTTGAGCGCCCTATAGCACGTGACTTTGCAAGATTATGTAATAAAGAACATATACTGGTCGAGTTTCGAACTTGGTACTTCACCGCCCCCATGGCACAGTGAAAGCATCCATGGGGGCACGACAAGAATGTGTGAATTCGACAACGACCGACGACAGCATTTGACAACTGGTGAAGCCCAGTATCTGGAGTAATACTGAAGGGCCGTGGCAGGGCTTTAAATGTCTCTTTTTACAAATCATGCATTTACATGACCTTGGCACGTCGTTAAACTGTTCAATTTTTGGCAGCTTTGAGCGCCATGAATGACCTAGTGCAAGTCATTAAACTGCAAGCACCTTGACCTGAAGCAAGTCTTTAAACTGCATCAAATGGCAATCACCATGATGATTAGCCAAGTTCACTTTATTATGCCTGGTTTATACCTTGTCATAGTATCTTATGATGTTTGTTGATGACCATAGTTCTAGTGGCCCATGCTCATACTCATCTAAGATATATTGTGAACACAGGGCAAACACTGTCCTTGAAACAACACACTTGTTTCTAAATGACCTGAGCAAGTCCATCTAAACTGCATTAATATAGGGCAAAACATTGTCCTTGAAACAAAACAATTGTTTCTAAATATTTCAAACCCTAGAAGCTTGTACGCTTGCTTCCTCATTTCTTCATGACAACAACCCCACAGGAATGACTTGTTCATGAAACTCGTCAATAGTTCATAGAAACTATAGTACACACAATGATGTGATACATACTGTGATTATCTCGATTAAGAGAAGGTGTTGAAGAAATAATATATTCCAAGTAATCTACGAAGGTCACAATATGAAGAAGGGTATGGAAGGACAATGTCCAGTGATATAATCTCAAGGTATCGTACGATAGGACATTGACCAATCAGGATATTCATAAAGTATCATACGACACTGAGTAAATATGCCATTGGCCAGTTAGATACTGTAGTATTACTCATCTATGTAAGTAGACAGTGGCTGTAGATACCAGAGGTCCTAGACCCGATATATGGGGGTCTTTACCCACATGTATATATATCAGGTAGCTACACCACAATCTATAAGTGACTTCTCCATTGTGTCACAAAGCACCAAAGCACTTAACCCAATTAAGGGCAAGTCTGCTTTTGTGACCTGCACAAATGATCCCACATAAAAAGCCTGCCACAAGGGCTAGGCTGAGGATGCGCGCAGTGGTATGCAGTCTGGAAAAGGGGCTCAAAGGGCCCTTAGCCTTATGCTCACAACTAGGGGGTGAATTGGCTGTTTAGGCCGCATACAATAGGATAATGAATCTAAGGTTCTCCCTTAGATCCTCATGGGTTTATATACATGTAGGGCAGGGCCCCTGGCACTGTGCTACTGTGAGACCTCAGATACCTACATGTGAATATATTGCCAGAACCGGTAATGGTTCTGGACTTCGTCATAGCAACTATCTACAATGGCCGTGGATACGCCGAGGTAATCCTATCTAATCCAATGAGATAAATGCCTGTAAGTGGGTCCACTGTTGAGGGGCCAATGGGTGATGGCCAACAGAGCACATCACAACGGTTGCAACATCAGATGAGAGGATCTGTCCAAACTCAGAACAATGAGTGTGACAATCAGTCTTCATCTGGATAGGGTTGTGAGAAGATCTAGCCTATCCTGTACCTGGCTATACTGTATGCCGGTTGGTAGGGGGATCCTCTGTTGTGATATCTGCCTATTGGTTTAGGCAGCAAAGTGGTGCCACTATCTTGAGTGGCGAATTGGGTGCTTGCTAGCTTGATGGTCCAATGAGTTCCTTTCTGGGCAAGTGGCCTGGTGTCACGTGACCAACACCTGACAACTTCCAAATAGGGCAAGTGGCCAGTGTCACGTGACTGGGTGGCTGAATCATGGGCGCTTGGTGGTCATGTGGTAGACACAGTCATATCCGTGATGTATGTGGTGGCATTGTGCTGTTTGTCCAAGTATCCACGTTGCGAGATCAATATGAAGGTTGGCGTCCAAATAATTACTCAGATGAGGACTTTAATGGTGCAAAAAGAAAGGCGCCACTTAATACTGTGACACTACCCCCACTTCAAGGTTCAGACTCCGGATGAACTGAATAAATGCTATGGTAAATAGTACCCTCGCTTCAGGTTCTGACTTCCAGGGTGGAATGGCAGGGTGTGTTGTGTAAATGGCATCTAAGACTTTTGCTAGCAGCAAAAAGGGGTGATGCAGTTTAATGACTTGCTCAGGTAAATGGTGCACTTGTGAGGCTAACAGTTCTTGGTCCTAGATGTCTGATGTCACAGACAGTGCTATTGGCTGCTGTTGCCCAAGATAGTGTGCAAAAGGACTTGCAGTTTAAAGACATGCGCTTGGTCATTCGTGGCGCTCAAAGCTGCCAAAATGTGAATAGTTTAATGACGTGCCAAGGTCGTTCAAAATGCATAATAGTTGTAAAAAGATGCTGTTTTTGACCACAGCGTCGGCCCCTAGGTATCATTCTCCGGATACCAGTTTATCCTGGTCTTCTGTCTTCAGTCATGACTTCATGCTTCTGTGCTACAGCGGATTGGGTAGGTTATTACATAATACATGGCAGATTCCGTTTTATCGAGGAATCGAACCTGCGCACACGTTATGTTGTGAGATGATCGGGTCCTGACGTATCAGATTGCCATGGCTTAACCCCTAAGCCACTTGAGCGAGTGAAGATCAGGTTCGAAACTCGACCAGTATCTTTTCTTTATTATATAATCTATGCTGATGTAATCATGTGGCGTTGGAAGGTGGCATGATGTCCCTAGTCACATGTCTGAGTATGACGTCATTTGATTGATTTGACCGATCGTGATCGTGGTTGATCTGTGATTTGAGTCGAGATAGACTTTCTGATCGATCATTGATCATGAATGATGTCATTGTGTTGGCGCTCATAGCTGCCATAGTGGTGCAGTTTTGGTTGACTTGCCCAGGTCCATGATGGCGCTCAAAGCTGCTAAATAATAGGATGCCCTTGGTCAGAGGGCTGTTTCAAAAATTATGTCTTGTACCCAAAAGGTTGCCTATGTCTTTTTAGGATTTTATATAGAATAGCTGCCATGTTTGCATTGTTGTATGCAAGTAGATGCGTTCCCCAACGCTGTTCATACTTGTTGACAATGGTATCTCGATTGCCCTTTAGGTTGGCATGCTATGTAGGCAAAAGTTGAAAAATGGAAGATTTGAAAATGTGATCCTTTGGCGCTGCTTGGATCATCCTTGACTTGCTCACGCTCGTCTTTGGACATGTGATCCTAATTGCTTCGCGAATCCTTCTCGACTCTTCGAATAGGACATGCGCTCGATACTTGCTATATATCTTTGAGTGCTGCACTTCTTATGCGCACATCTTCAGATAAGCTCATACATACTCGCTGTATCCTACATTACCTCCCCCTTGCCAGGTTCCTCCTGGAACCGATGCGGCATGAGTGAGTTAAAACAAGACTGGGGGGCACAAAAGTAAGGGAGGGTGGGTGGGAGAAAAAGCCTTATAACTTTTTGGGGAAAAGGTGGTTTAGGCATCCCATAGCAAATAAATTACTAATTGTTGCGCAATATGTAGTAATTCTGAGAACCGCTTCTGGGTAAAAGGGTTCCCAATATCCCATTGTATGTGCCAAAATAACTCCCTAAAAATTGGATTATCTATTGTGGACTGCTAAGTAAAGATCTATTTCCGTCAGCAGTTTACAGTCAAAGACTGCCGTGCTCTTGGAGATCTTATATGTGGACAATCACTGTGTCGATTCGGAGTAGCATGTCTTTAGATATCTGGAATATTTTATTTATATATTTATAGGTGACCAATCCTATACAAATGATATATAAATGATAGGTAATAGTTTAATGTCATTGCAAACGCTGGAGGTCTTATGTAAGCAATAACTCATAGTATTTTCGCACATAAGAAGCGATAAGTCGTGGTATTTTCGCAAATATTGCCTATATTGAAATGAATATGGGTGGGGGGACAAAGGTTCCAATATCAAATGTTGCTGCAGCGCTGTCCTGGTGAGGGAGCGGCTTACGGGAAGGTGCCTGCTACCAAGTCTTGAGGTAGGCTGACAGCGGTAGAGGTGATGATGGATGTGTCAAAAAAGGTGCACCTCACACCTGAATTTCTTGGGCTGAAAAAGCACAAACGAATAACTCTAGGTCTTCTGCGCTTGGCTCAAAAATTAAACAGTTTTATTTAAGGTGGTCATGTTTAGGACCAAAAAATCACACCAGCAGCAGGAAGCTGGGGGCGTGCATGGAGATTCATTATAATGTCACAAAGCACCAAAGCACTTAACTCAATTAAGGGCAAGTCTGCTTTTGTGACCTGCACAAATGATCCCACATAAAAAGCCTGCCACAAGGGCTAGGCTGAGGATGCGCGCAGTGGTATGCAGTCTGGAAAAGGGGCTCAAAGGGCCCTTAGCCTTATGCTCACAACTAGGGGGTGAATTGGCTGTTTAGGCCGCATACAATAGGATAATGAATCTAAGGTTCTCCCTTAGATCCTCATGGGTTTATATACATGTAGGGCAGGGCCCCTGGCACTGTGCTACTGTGAGACCTCAGATACCTACATGTGAATATATTGCCAGAACCGGTAATGGTTCTGGACTTCGTCATAGCAACTATCTACAATGGCCGTGGATACGCCGAGGTAATCCTATCTAATCCAATGAGATAAATGCCTGTAAGTGGGTCCACTGTTGAGGGGCCAATGGGTGATGGCCAACAGAGCACATCACAACGGTTGCAACATCAGATGAGAGGATCTGTCCAAACTCAGAACAATGAGTGTGACAATCAGTCTTCATCTGGATAGGGTTGTGAGAAGATCTAGCCTATCCTGTACCTGGCTATACTGTATGCCGGTTGGTAGGGGGATCCTCTGTTGTGATATCTGCCTATTGGTTTAGGCAGCAAAGTGGTGCCACTATCTTGAGTGGCGAATTGGGTGCTTGCTAGCTTGATGGTCCAATGAGTTCCTTTCTGGGCAAGTGGCCTGGTGTCACGTGACCAACACCTGACAACTTCCAAATAGGGCAAGTGGCCAGTGTCACGTGACTGGGTGGCTGAATCATGGGCGCTTGGTGGTCATGTGGTAGACACAGTCATATCCGTGATGTATGCGGTGGCATTGTGCTGTTTGTCCAAGTATCCACGTTGCGAGACCAATATGAAGGTTGGCATCCAAATAATCACTCAGATGAGGACTTTAATGGTGCAAAAAGAAAGGCGCCACTTAATACTGTGACACATTGAGAGACTCGACCCCTTCATTGGGAGTCTTGTAGCCTTGCCCACTAAGTCCTCACTGCACTGTGTCAAGCCTGCACCTGTTGCTGGTAGCACACAGCTCATTTGTCATAATGGTGACCTGGCAGCATTTTATCTCTTGCTCTCTTACTTTTGTCTATCAGAATGCGTGATGTGGCACATGGAGCTGCCGAATGTTGCAAAGCTAGCGGGAAGGGTCATTGGAACGGCATAATCTCTTACAGATGATGAGGCACCTCCGATCACAGCATGCAATACGTTTATTGATAGCATAAGCGCGATTTGTCTCTAAAAAGTACTCATTTTTGCAGAGTTCCCCAGGCCTGGATGGAGAAAATACGACGGAGAGCAGTGATTCTAGTGGAGTCGCAGACATCGGGCGGTGTAATGTTGCCACAGCGATCAAGGTAAAGCTGCCACTCTATGTCTCAGATGTTGGATGGAAGCCAAACCCGGGGTCATGACAATCCGTCTAGAAAGGGTGGAATCAGAAGTCTGAGGATAAGCACATGATGGCGAGGAAGTCAGAACTTAGTAGTATGCAAGCGCTCACTGGTATGGAAGCGCTTGTGTTGCACATGACTTTCGCACTCTCACCAGCTCGCAGCATGTCACAGATTTCAACATATACTCACCGGGAGCATGAGCCCATAATTCCACTGAGAACATTTTAGAGACATTGTGATGTCAGTCACAATGTAATTATAATGTTACTGATGTAAACATTATGAAATTATTTGAATTGTTTCGAGTGCCATCATTGTTGAATAATTGTGATATTATTCAGAAAGACACCATAATGCGACAAGAATTGTGCTCCCGCCAGCATTTACACAACACATTGGCATCATTTTGAATGCACCTTAAGCGTACATTATAAATGTGATCAAGGTGAAGTTACAATGAGTGCCAAATGCTTTCCATCATGTGCCAGCTGGAATCATCTTGAATGCATCAGGGATGTCCTAATATGGTTAGTGTATTACTATATATGGTAATGCAATTTATGCGATCACAATGAACCCAGTGGGAGCATCTTGACAACATCATGGCCCATCATGGATATCATTTAGAATCTTCTCTCAAGAAGCATTTAGGAAGTTATCACAATATTGCTTGAATGCTGTCAGCTGCAACATTGGGGTCTCGTTCTTGCATCTTTATGAATGCTATCAAAATTGTGCCACAATGTTGATGCTTAAAACATTTTAAAACATTCAAAATGATTTCAAAATGTATGCACTGAAAACATGGCATAATTATTTGGACTATTATTACAATGTGTCCAGAATGTTTCATGCGGAATCATGGGCTCATGCCCCCGGTGAGTACTATCTGAGAGCTCTCGCACGATTGAAATTTCGCAGGCCGTACCTCCAAGACTATCACAACATCAATGTAGGCACAAACCAAAGGAACTTTGTCGCTTTAAAGCCTTCAAGTTGCGATGCGCACGTCATTGAATAACTTATCACTCGTGTGGTGCTTCAAGACGATGGCGTTCTCGTTCCCCCATCCCTCTCATTCGCGCTACGCCTTCCCGCCATATGTCTGCTGAAAGACCTGATGATGTGCACCTGTTCAATCACGGGATGATTGCACGCTCGCTGTCGACTCATCTGCGGACTCGAAAATGTGGTAAGCGCTGTCAACAGCGAACCTTTCCGTCGTACCCTGTTTACTCTTTGAACCAAATGTCACCCGCATTTTGCTTTGATTTGGGGGGTGAAAGATAATCCATGGAGTTACCGACTCCAGAAGAGCCTTCCGAGGCTGGTGCCAGTGACCGCCGAGTTGTTAGAATGCCAAATGCTATATGGAAGTTTCTTATCAGTCGGTGCTGTAATGTGTTCTATCTTTGCTGTAGTCAATTTCAACTAAAGCACACGTTATCCGACCACCGGGAAGCAAACAACAAGCTTAATAAGAGCGACTGGATGTATTGAATGATGATGCTCCGACCTTGGCGGAGACTAGGCGGTCCCATGACTCCAACACGCTTTCAATTGATGCTGATGTAGAACTTTGTGCTATCGTGCGCTCCAAACGGGACCACAGCGGGTACGTATTCGCTGACTTCTACACGATATTGCTCCCCTAGTTGACTTCCCTCACTTAGCTTTCGATATTCATGGGCTCGTACGAACCTATGAAGCGCCGGGACTTGAAGGAAGACGTCGAACACGTCGACACCCTCACAGAATCTCTCCTTCCTGGCTATTACATACCTACGAAGGCCACCAAAGCAATCAGCAAATGGATTCATTCAATCGCCCTTCTCCTGTCGACAGTTCTCATGATATGCTCATTCTATCTCGTTTTTCACGCTCCGAGTATCGTGTGGCCACACGATGTTCGAGGACTCCGAAAGCCAGACCAGTACCCTGGCCTCAACTTCGTGCCTAAATACACAAAGAAAGGTAGATAGCGAACACTTCAGATGCGCATGATTGCTTATCACCGCAACTCTCACGAATAGGCCCTGCGACGATATTTCCAAGTAAGATTGTTCGGGCGAATAAGGCGTCTCCAGATACATTCTACGCACCTGGAGCACATGTTGTACTCAGCGACAATGTGAGTGATGATAATCAGCGCCTCATCCTCTGTTGTTGAGTGTCGGGAGTGCGCAGGATTCCATGTTCTACCAGTGGCCCATGAAGCCTAGCATCTTCAAGCTATGTATCATCGAGGCTTGGGTCACGCCTCAGGACCATCTTGAGCTTCTGCCTCCGAATAAGACCTGGACGGCATCTGGAAACCTCTCAGAGATTCAAATTTGGAATGTCACATCTCCTGCTGCGCCGATTGAGAGCATGAGCTGGAACACACGTCCAGAGAGAATCTCGCTGCTTGGCACCGTGGCTTGGATTACGCATGCAGACAGACTGCATCTGCCGGAATTCGAGGATGGATGGCAGCTCAAGCCACCAACTCCCCGCTTCGAGTGTGGCTACAGAACCGTCAACACGATCGAGGTCGCGTGCGAGGGCTGCAACATCGAGTTCAATCAGGTCTTCTCTGAACCGCCACTAGGTATGCGAAACCATGATACATCAAAAAATTCCATGACTTACCTCCCTTTCGTCCTACTAGCATTTGACTTGTCACAGATCGGTTAGGATAAAGTGATCTTGTACGCGCCGGGCTATCGTACTCGAAATGGCTGACCATCTCGCTAGAATATTCACCTGTGTTCAATGAAGCGCTCTCCTTCGGTGTAGATGAAACAGAACCTTGTATGCTCCTTTCGATTCCCAAGACGATTCTTTATCTCTGCCCACACAACAATCGATCGTACTACAGTGGATGCTACTGAAGTCAAGACCTTATAGGACTGACATGATGACATGTTTTTGCAGCTCCGCCGTATCTCAGCCTCCCTCAGTCGTGTCCGGTCACCTGAGGCAGTACGCGAATTAACCCTCTGTGCTAACCCATCACGTCAGGGTCATCCTATAGACGTTCGTGCATCATTCGGATCCAGCGTCTAGAAGTTTCACCATATCACGCACTGAGCAACTTGAACTTAGATGGATAGTAGCGGACAGGTACGGCGCTAGGCGTGGTATCTATCTCGTTTCACCGTGATTGCTAGTCCCGTTTGAGTTGTAAAGTGGCGATGGATGCCCATATGCTGCGCTGACGAAAACGAATCAGAAGAATGTCCTCGTTGTGATGGGTAGTCAGCGCCACTCGTCTTAGAGACTCACAGTTTAACTCTCTCTCATTATGAATGCTTTCTCAGTTGCGATTATCTTCATGCTGGCCCTGATGCATTTCGCAGTAGCCATTCCAAACTCTGAAGACATCGGCGAGTATGCGTCTAGAGCATGTCCTTCCGTGATCGAGCACTCGACACTTCTTACACATCGTTGCAGGCGTCGCTAGGCGTCACACGTCTGATTCCAATGACTTCTGTCAGTACTATGCATACGTTCTCTCATGCTTTGACGTAAGGTGACCTCTATTTGTCTCCAGATGCAGCTGCCCCTCAGCAGTAATCCAACATTGTTCACATCAAGGATACCGATGGCACCGATTGACAGTGTTGATGTAAGCAAACGAAATTGGAACATTGATATTCACTATGCTGATGGCCTAATCCTTGTGTTTGCAGCCGAAAGCAATATCTGGGTCGATCATTTCAGGGTTACTGCCGTAATTTTGCACATGGTTCGGTTACCGAATGCTCGAGGCCAATCCCAGTCCAATACAAACTCTAGCCCGATGTTCTTCATATTTTCTTAAACGAATCAGACATGGATGTCTTGATACGTGGCTTTGAGCAGAAAGCAGTTCAGTGCACTAAACTGGAACTTATGGAGAACGAGGTATCGACGGGCTGACGCTTTGAGATTGTGATAGTCACAAACACACGTCGAACATGATAGTGCACCCTCCACATGAGTAGCGTCAGGCTTCACTTTGTAATCTTTCAATTTCGGGAGCTGACCCATTCATACTTCGGTTTGCTTTGCGTATCCTACGAGCATATTTTCCCCACAAGAAATCATTCAAAAAAGTTGAAACAGCTAGAAGAAGTTACATGCTATTATTCTTCGTCTTTCGGCCAGTGCCTCTGATTCTCGACGATGTAATCATAGACCTGCGTCCAATCCCTGCAGACATGAGTGACCTCGGCGCCAGTTTCCAAGGTAATGTCCGCATTGCAGAGAGCTCCCTGTCGCAAGAAATTCAAGCAATGCCCACTGTGCGAGTTCGGTCCATGGAGTAGACCTTGTCGGATCATCTCTAGGCAATGTATCTGATGAAACATCGCGACCGCAAACATACGTGCTGAACCAAAGATTGACTGTTCAGTGATAATGAAAGCAAAGGGGGCTCAACGTTTTACCATCAGGTCCCAGGCGCACAAAGCCGTGACCTTTCGGGAAGTGGTCGATAGCCTGCCACTCATGCCAGGCTATCGGCCATGTCTGGCTGTAATGGTGGTTCTTTGCAAAGTCCTCGAATGTCATGCCTACTGCATCGACACGCAGAGGCAGCTCCGTTGGATGATCATCGCCGTTATATGCTGCGTACGTCGAGGTCAGTCCCTTATGTACCGAACGAAAGAGATGCGTTTCGCGTTGCATGACTTACTGTAGTGACTATCGTCGATAAAGCGTCCGCCGCGCACCCGTCGAAGGGAAAGGCCATTGAATACGAGACTGACGACGAGCGCGACGAGCGCGACGTGGAGTGACTTCCCTGACAGTCGAGAGACGAACATCACAGAAGGCCGCCAGAGGAACAAGTCTTGGAATGTGAGATATCTGATGGTGAGATCACGGTCCCAGGCGGAGCATGGAGTTCACGCCGCAGGTGGGAGTGTTTCACTTTACGATCCCAGAAGTTATGGTATACTGCACTCCGAACGAATCTAGAAAACGCTGCCATACTTTTCAGGGCAACGTACTTCGGGAATGAGAGAGGCGCACAGGAAGTCAGAACAAAAACGGCGTTCTAAGCCCCCCGCGCTGGTCTATGTAGTTCCCCTACTGTGCTTCGGGTTATGAAGATTCCACACGTCGGATCCAAAGGGCCGCGTTCTCAATGCTTTGTCTCGCTTGTTGGGGCTCTGAACTAAAACGTAGGTCTGAAATGAAGCGCCCATTCATATCGTGCTTCCCAGAGATGATGAGGGGAGGATATACCAAAAATAAAAACATCCATGAACGGCGGAAAACGAATTTGCAAAGCGGTGAGGGCAAGTAGTCCGCCGATTGGAAATTGTTGCTTGTCAGATAAAGTCAATGCTCTCGTATCATTATTCGGGACAGGGTGATGGGTCAGCTGAGGAGGTCACACAATGATTTTGAAGTGCAAGGTCGTTCTCGTGACAGCCGAGGGTCACCACGAGGCAAAAAGAATGATGAACGTACCTATTATGACACATCTCCGATTGGGAAAACAATTTGACTATGAGCGTTGACATTAAGCGCTGAATGCACGACGTTATCCGAAAATCGCTGGTCAAGCATGACATCTAGGCGCAGAGGATCTAATGAGCGGGGAAGCTGTTGCAGGTATGAGAGGGACTATACATGCATGACCATTTCAATAGTTGCTGAACATTGCTTTTCCCTATGAATGCAGAAATACTCAGCCATACGAAATGTTTCGTTGCATCAAGCATCTTCGGGTAGCTGTTTCCTGAATCAGATATCATGACGTGTACGTTATACATCAAGAACAGACACTCGACGCGAAGAGGGAGCGAACCCTTGGGCCATGGCTTCAGGTGGCAGATCGAGGGTGTGATGTGTTATAATCAGCCCGAGCCGGCGATTTCTCGAACAGTCGAACAGCTGGAATTTGGGCGGACATCTGGTAACTATCAGACGTCCATATTCAAGTCAAGAGAAGATGCTGTTCCATGGAGGCTAACGCATTGCATCGCGACGTGGATGAAAGATGAAACAAGCGTTATCGAAACCGACTCGGACGATCCCCAGTGAAAGCTCATCAAGCGCGCACGCTCGTTTAGCGCCGGGCTCTGCCCTTTCGGAAGACTCATGAGGTTGGCGCCGGCCGTGAAGATATCCTGGAGACCGAATCGCTCCATGGTGAATCGCCCATCATCGTTTTGATCTAACATGCAAAATAAAATACTAGACCAGACATTGCTTCGACGTCATCGGAGTCAACACAACCGTTGTGTGGCCGCCCCGGCGAGATCACCGCACAATCCGTATTATGATTCTGGTATCAACCGACTCTCTTATTTTACTGGGGCCATCGTCACATAGACAAGAACGGAGCTATATAATTCAAATATATGCCCTGTTCTACAGTACGCTCGAAGCCTTTCCGCGCTTGATGTTGACAGTAGAATTGTTCTCGATTGGCAGCGCTTTTGTGACCTTCGAAGGCTACGACACATCAACAATGATATGCGGTATCCCAGACATACGGGGACTCAGTACATGACATTAAAACGCATACTAAATGGTACGTTTTCCAAAGGTTGCATGGTTAAGATGCTCGAAGCCCATCTGAGCAGCTCGCAATCTGTAACTACGATGAACCGTGGCACAAGAGAGCTGTGGAATGCGCCCCATCGTTCAGCTTACATCTTTTCTTTTTGCCACGAAGGCGGCGTGTTACAGTGGTTTTCATCACCGTGGTATGTCTCTTGAAGGTCGTCACCTACAGCCAAAGTGAGGATTATGAAATGGGAGTTCGAGGACACAATTCAGTATCTGAACCCCAGACTCGCGATCGATGCTATGCAATAGAACTCATACCACAAGGACAGCGTGGGCAAGGCTGCTCAGCATCCAGGGAGCTTAGAGCGCGCTCCAGAGAGGGTACGCACGACTTTGTTTCACTCGGACGCAAATGCAATGATTGTAGTGATATAATAAGCGGACCCTAGCACAGCTTCCGTCCTTGTGGATAATGACCACTTGACTGACCCATTCGGCTTGAAACATCCGCACGTCGTATTCGTTCTTGCGATTCTGTGGACAATCTTATTATTGCTGTTCACCTGGGAAACGTTCCATTGACCATATAGATCTACGGTGGGAAACTCCTGGTCAACATTCAATGCACTCAGAGTCATGAACTCGTCAGGACGCGCTGCCTTTGCAGCATGAGCCCATTGTTTCGCCATAGCGAACTTTCGAAAATGAAAGCAGGGACCAGCACGAGTTTAGCGAGCGATGCGTTTAGGCTCTTACCGGCGTAGCAATCGCTGGGCTGGAACGTGATCATGTCTGGATGCAAGCAGGAACAAAGCCTTCGTCGTTTTGCTAGCGATTACAAGCATGGGCTCAGAGTTCTGATTGACGGCTTACCCATGATGCAATGATACTGAAAGTGCTCTTTGGTCGACGTGTCAATAGGGTATATATGCGATGAAGAATTTCGTACCTACATCATTCGGGTTCGCCTATATAATAAATGACACGTCGGTCGTTTTCCAGCACCTCATGCGCTCCCAGACCTTTCACCAGGTGTAATGAGACTAAAGCAGTCATCGAAAACCGTTAAGGCTTCCCGGAACCATCTGGAGCTGCACGGAAGCACAGCGCGCCTTTATCCACTGCAATGAGAAACACTTTTAGTGAAAAGGTTATAAGACAGAGGAAGAGGGTATGATATTCAACGATTAAGGTACGTTCGTGAATGTATCGTTTAATCGTCGATAATGGCACATAGGAGAGACGACATGGACGATCGACGGACAGGCGCGACGGCGTAGCGCGTGGTAATGATCAACCCGTTAGGTACCCATCGTGCTCAGTCCATCAACACGTCCTGAATCAATACTCACCGTTTTCTGCTGGCATTGCCACGGAGGCGATGGCAAAAAATGACACATGGAAGATACCCAAGCGCTGCTCTCGTTGTGAGAGGGCCGTATCAGTCACAATGAATGCGTTAGATGACGGTCGGTGCTGAGGTTTGTGCCTGTTTCCGTGCCACGGCAGTCCATCCTTCGCGAACGTGACAAAGAAGAGATCTATCTCACTTCGCATTTCATCGCGAGCTCGAAAGCATCGTTGAGAGGCGTGCATTCGTGGGTCTGCGAATATAGATATGAAGCTGGCGGTCAGATAACACAATGTTGTGAACGAGTCTCACCTCTTTCCCGCAGTAAGAGCTTCATAGCCCAATGCGCGCTCGTGACAAGAGCATGATGCAGTTCTGACCAGCACCCAATGTCGCCATGAGCAAGGGTAGGCGGCGAATCACCTCTTTTGCTGTCTCGGCAAAACGCAGATGCTATAAGTGCAGAAAACATCCGTGATCCAGACTTGATGACGATATCTGTCGTCCAACCCCTTGCTAGAGGGAAGACGATTGAGAAAAAGGGCTCGAAAAGTGGTTCTTGACGATACAACGTATGACCTCGTACTCGGGGGCGTTGGGCTCTCCTGAGGAAAAGATTTGTCCGGCCTGAGTTCCTATACAGACTCATTGGCAGTCGCATCATCACTTGACCGGTGATATGATATGTCCATGCCCAGTATTCGCAAAAAAATTGGTCGTGAATCCCGATTCAAACGCAGCCAAGATGATCTAGGGAAACTCCTACGCCGCCAGAAACAAGGAGGGAGATTTGATGTTGCAGACGTGCCTGGCTGGGCGCTCAGTTGGCGTGAGGAGAAGAGCGAACCGTCTTCCGATCTTAAAATGTGGCGAGATTCGTCATGTTTGCAACTAGAAGGGGGGGATGCAAGGGGAGGATGATCAGCCGTTCCGGAGCGCATCACCCATATGGTTAATCGCAATGAATCACACAGCCTTCTAGACAGCGCGGGACAGAGTCACTCGCATGCTCGACCCACTGCGCGACCAGGTCCACAGGAGGCACGTCGAGGCTGTCACTTTGCTGCAATCTGCGTAGCGTTCACAAGGAGGTAGCGTTGCACCTTCCCAGGGACGTCCGCGCCTGCGAAGGGAAACTCCCAGAGTCTCGTAAGCCAGGATGTGTGGCCCGTAGAGCAGTCGTGCGCGTGAGGGATCGGACCTGGCAGGAGATGAGAGCTACGTGGGTCACGGCTCGCCTACTTGAAAGAGACGGACAAAGTACAGCACTCGCGCAGTTGGGAACTGGGAGACTGAGAAAGCTTTGATGACATGGTGTGGATGGGATGACCTCGTGGACAAAGCTGCCTGGCGAACGAGACTAGTCAGATGCGTCCTGACGAGGTCATGCCGTCATGGGATTTCGTCAGCTTGCATTCTCGTCCATGGTTCGACGCAGTTCGCGCGTAGGTAGGATTGTACCGTGGTGCGGGTTGCCAGAAACGCACATGATGCAATACTGAGGTTCGCCGGTGAGCTGATCATAGCGGGCTGTGCACTGTCGAGTCCCATGTCACGCAGTGGTGGTAGTATGACCAGAACGGTTAGGCGGGGGACGCTTACGGCCAGATCTCTGCCGAACGTGCGTTGCGGACTCGAAAATGGTGAGAGCATAGGCGAAACCGTAGTTTGCATGAGGTCACTGGCTGGTTAGATGCGGTGTGAGTATGCTTATGAATGATCGCTGGCTCGTGAGCAGGTGCGCGGGATCCTCCAAGGTCCTTGAAGTGGATGGCAAGTGAATTACGATGAGGTTGCACAACATGTTGCCGGTCGAGTGGTGTGGCGAGCATCCTGGCACAGTAGTAGCCCTACGGGAACGACGCGACCCGAGATGAGGACCGTTCTCTGGAGACGTGATTCGTGAGTGGACGACAAGTATAATGAAAAAGAACGCACAAGGAGCCGACAAAGTTTGGCTGATCGTAGCGAGGAGGTTATGATGAACTGATATAGCCATGATGTGAGGGAATTACAAATGACGTAGGAAGGTGTACGCGTGAGAGCGCAGCAGCGAGGGATCGGCGACACGCTAAATAAAACGTGGATCCTTGAACAGGACAGACGAGCAGGGTGAGCAGCATGCAATGTCTGTCTCTGTGGTCAATGCTCATGGGACGATAAGACTGACGTGGAGGACATGGGAGCGACGGAACGGACATGAGACGCAGGGCCTGCGTTGCTGGGTTCATTGCACTAATGATGAGCGAGGGCAATCTAGAGCAAGCCAGAGCACGTTCTTCTTCGCGAAGCTGGCGGTTGCGCGTCCAGGAGACAAGGCGTTGTTCTCGTGGTGTGTCAGAGCCGCTGGCTGGAAGACGAAGGGAAGGACGCACCCATGCAGCTCCATGCTGGCCACGACCATCGGATGGTCCATAGCGGATGAACGAAGCGCACAATGAAGTGGAGAGGAGCGCGTCACAATCGAGTGAGTGGCGGCTCCGCGTTGCAAGGCGTCATGGCAACGGAGAGTAAAGTTGGCTGATCCGGCGCCACGTGGGTTAACGGTGCTCATCGCGTCGGCGGCTGCGAGGCCACGGGCCAGCCTGCAGACAATACGCGTCCCTTGGCCCTGGCTCAATAAAACTGCTTCACCCTTGCCCCACGAGCGGCTCTCATCCTCGGTGTCCCAAGTTCAACTGTCCGCGACGAGCTTTCTCTCTATTTCTCTGGCTGGTCCATTGCATTTCTCACGACCGTTGCGACCGCACGCCGACGTCTATCAATCACCGCCCACGTTCTCATCGCACAGCATCCGCCGCAGCCATACTACTACCTCTCTCTCCCAGCGGCAACAACCCATCTTCTTCGTTCCTCTTCCTCTGATTTCGCCTCGGTCGCCAGGCGCTGCCCTTTTGTTTGTTCGCCTTCCATTTCGTTCCTCTTTGACATCTTCCTTCGCAAGCCCGGTGCTTTCACGCAATCGTTCTATCGTCTGGCAACGTTTGGCAACACATTCACTTCTATCTATCACCATGTCTCTCAAAGCCGAGCTCGAGACCTGGGCCGCCGCACTCAAGGCGTACGACGAGGAGGACTTTGACAAGTCCCTCCAGCTCTTCTCCAACATCGCCGATTCATCCAAGATCCTCACCAACATGGGACTCATCTATGCCACCATCGGCGAGCACGAGGCTGCCGTCGAGCAGTTCGCCGCTGCGACCCAGCTCGATCAGTACCTTGCTGTAGCGTGAGTGATCCACGCCAACTTCCTTCATCCCCGTCCTTCTTCCTTCGCACGCCGATGCACCCCGATGGACGTCATACTCTTGATATCGTATCGCGTTTATGCTGATTGGTGCGATCGCTGCGGTGCATTGACCTCGCATCACGATGAACTGCGTCCGTTGCGGCGGGCCTCGCTCTCTGCATCTCTCCGCGTGATTACGCGTGTTGGACGCTGCGCGCTGCCATCTGGCCTGGGAGTATTTTTCCTAAACCACGCGCAGCCAGACACGGCACCAACCTCCCATCCCTCCCCCCGCTTTCCACTCCCAGACCCAGACCCCAACTCACTCTCCCACAGCTACTTCCAATCCGGCGTCTCCTCCTTCCTCCTAGGCGCCTACCCCGCCGCGCTCCAAGCCTTCGACGACGCCCTCCTCTACATGCGCGGCAACGCCGACATCAACTACGCGCAGCTCGGGCTCAAATTCACCCTGTACGCCGCGGAGGTGCTCTTCAACAAGGGGCTCACGCTCATCTACATGAGCCGCGAGGGCTACCGCGAGGACGGGCGCGTCGGCGGGCGCGCGGGCGGCGATGGGGGGCGGGGCGAGCTGGAGGGGATGGCGGTGCTCGAGGAGGCGAGGAGGGAGGCGAGGACGGAGGAGCATGCGGTTATTGCGGATGCGATTAGGGATGGCGGGGATGGGTATACCGTGTTTAGTATCGTGAGCTCTCTGTTGCCTCTCGTCTCGGTTGGATTGGGAGTAACGCGGCCCCATAACGCAGCCCGTAGGCGTGCTCTACCGCCCGGCGGAGAAGAAGCTCCAGAACGCAAAAGCGAAAGACTACATGGGCAAAGCCGTGCGTCCCCACCCTCCTCCTTCTTGCTGATCCGCATAGTGACCCCCGCGCAGAAACTCGTCGCGGCGGAGGACGCGTCGGAGGCGTACACCGAGTTCACGGGCGTCGCGCGCATGCGGATGGGCCAAGGCCTGAGCCCGACGCGCGGCGAGAACGACCGGCCGCGCTCCCCAAGCGGACTTGGACTCGGACTCGGGAGGGCCAACACCCTCGGGACGCCCGCGGTCCCTCTCAGTGCGTACTCCCCCTTGCACCCTCTTCATCATATCATCTCATTGTCGCTGCACGTAGAACGCGACGACGACATCATGCCGTCGTTGCAGCGCTCCAAAACGACCATAAACGTCAGCGCCCCATCCCCCCGCGCACTCAACCCAAACGCCATCAGCCCCCGCTCCAACTCGCCCTCCACCGTCTCCCCCGTCCGCTCCCCGCCCACCGTCTCCCCCGTGCGCTCGGCGTCCGCGGGCCCGCGCGCGGGCGCCGGTTCGGGTCTGTCGAGGAGCGCGACGAGTGTTAGGCGGGGCGGGGCGAACGGGCCGGGCCCGGGGCCGGTGCGGGGGTTGAGCGTGCGGAAGCCGGGTTTGAATGCTTCGTCTGTGAGCGGGAATGGGAATGGTGGCGGGAATGGTGGGAGGGCGGAGGCGAGGGGGCGCGCGAACGCGAATGAGACGATGCGCACGACGGAGTTTTATGAGTCGTATTTGGATGGGTACGCCGAGGAGCCTTTGCCGCCTCTGCCACAGCCGCGCCGGGCCAACACCGCTCCCAGTTCCAATGCGAACTCGGGCTCGAATGCGAACGCGAACGGGAACGCGAATGCGAATGCGGGTCCGGGCGTGCGAAGGGCGAATACGACGCGCGCGCCGGCGAATAGCGTGTATAGCAATGGGAGCGGGATGGGTGGAGCGGGTGGGGGCGTGCGGAGGAGGCCGACGAGGAGGCCGACGATGAGTCGGCGTGTGGTGAGCGAGTATGAGGAGGACGAGGAGGGGTATGGGAGTGGGGAGTGGGAGGAGGGACCGGGTGATTTGATGAAGATTCGCGTCAAGGTAAGCTGCTCCTCTCTCTCCTCCCGTTTATAATCTCCCTCGTTCGTTCATCGCTCACTTCGTTCGCCACGCAGCTCCACTATCAAGACGACGTGCGCGGGATGGCCTTCACGCCCGACATGCCGTGGGAAGAGTTTTTGGAGCGGGTGACGGGCAAGTTTGGGAGGGCGCTGGACGGGCTGGGGATGAAGTTTAAGGATGAGGATGGGGGGAAGGTTAGTTTGAAGGATGGGATGGATTATGAGCTTGCGATTGAGACGGCGCGGGAGATGGCGAAGGGGAAGCTTGAGGGGAGGTTGGAGATTTGGTGTGTTGATGAGTAGGGGGGTGCTCGTGGTGGTTTTTTTGCTCGTTTTTGTTGAATCGTTGGGTTTTTTTTTGCGTTGTTGTTGGATGGGATTGGACTGGGATGATACCGCTCGTTTCGGCTGTTGTGTTTTGGAGGTGATCTTGTGCTATAGCTATATCTACCTCGCTGTAATGTATCTCGCCCTCGATGCAGTGCGCTCACGAATGCCAGTGGGAGCTTCTGTTTCGTGGACACCGCTATCCTGGTCAGTCGCACTTGCCACGGGCGTAGCTGGTGGTTGAGAGAGGAAGCTGCACGAGTTTTTCATACGGTGCTTTTGCTGAGGATAGAACCACAGTATCTGAAATGCGCATGGCTGTGTTGGCAATAGTCAATTCGTCCGGCATCCAATATTGATCACTTTCGACAAGGATTTCACGCAAAAGATCAATATATGGACATTGCCATGTCCACAAATCTCATCGAGAGATTTGCGAGGATTCTCGAAGGCTGGAGAGAGGCGAGCTTGATCGAGAATGAAGTATTTTTGGCGAGGGATCTATAGTTTCTCGACGGTCGTGATGGACCATACCGAGTGGTAGGCGGCAGGTACAGTATCTTGAAGCATTTCAAAGCGAAGTGCGATGTGGTGTTGCTATGCGATCATTTCGGCAGAATCGGTGTCTGTTACCATCATTGAGACTCTGGCACTCTTGCGCTACAGTGAGCTTCTGCCAATTATCCGCCACGGAGGAATTGACGATGCACAAGACTTGACCCTAAAGCAACTCTCCGGGCGGTCTTATATCCTTCGAGGAGACCTCACCGGTGCCGTTGACGATTCAACAGTGTATCGTACGTAGGCAGTCTAACATACGGAGCTTTGGGAAGCAGAAGCGACATACAACAGTAAGAGTGCTAGCAATTATTCCTGTTGTGCAGTCCCGCTCGATATAGCCGCATGAGTGAAGACCGCTAACATCAGCAAAAAGTCCGGAGCCCGATCTGGGCAGACATGGTAGATAATAGTGCCTTTGTATTGCAGTAGAATATATTTTCAGACATCTGCCCATGTCATCTGCTGGCCACTGGTCTGATCACCACCGGCCAGTTACACATTTATCTGACACTCAACTGACTTAATCTGACAGGTATGCACAGATATAGTCAGATATGAGGACGGTGATTCAGGCAGGCTAACAGAATATTATGAATTGAGTGTACATAAATCTTTGTATGAATGAGCACAGTCACAGAACCTCGGCACATCTACAAAGTTGCAAAAGGAACACCTGCATCCTCGTCTTCTTCACTCGACATATCATCTCGGCCGCCATCGTCCCCTTCCGCTACTCCATCGTCGGCTTCATTCTCCTCATCGACAACATAGCCGTAATCATATTCCTCGTCCTCCATGTTCTGACTTTGCTCACCGTCATTGAATGTCATGCCGCTGTCTTCATCATGCTGCCCCTCATCTACTATATCCTCATCTGAACTGCCATCTCCATCCTGTGGTATCCCAGCGTGGTCAGATTCTGCAGGCATTCGCACAACCATACCCTTGTGCCCCACACCACCTCCGAGATATCTCATGAACATATCTCTGTCAACAAACCTGAGTCGGGTGAGACATGTCACTCATACAATTATATGAACAATTCAGAACAGTCATGACTCACATGTTCACCTAGTAGAATTGATAATCCAGATCATTGTCATCAGGTTGTCTTGCGCATATTGATGGTGGCAGCAAATCTGGCGTGTGTCCATGCACAAATGCTGGAATGAGGTGTGCTGCCCGTATGACGTCCGCCGGGTTGAGAAATCCGAAGGCATGTGGATCATCACTGTCGACAAAGCCGATACGATGCAGCTGCTCTTTGTTGAATCCGCCAGGTGCTGCAATGTCACGTCCATACCAATGAACCCATAGAACATCCAGTTTCTGAGGTTCATCAGATGTTCGATATGGTCCCAAGTGTTGCACATTAACATGGAATATCCTAAGGCTCCAACTATTTATACTATTTACACTCCTGAGGTGTAAATAAATAGTATATAGTAAACAGTTATCTACATGTCATATAAACAGTTTATATAAAGTTTATATAGTTTTTTTGGTCCCATCTTTTGATGGAGTTCTACTCAACTGTGAGCAGCTTCTGTGATTGTTGAGGCCTTTAAGGACCTGTTTGCATCAGCAAGCACATGACAGTGAGCAGAAAACAAGCATTCAATGTCAACATTTGCACCAGAAATGACCAGAAAATCTTATGTCATACAAGAAATGACAAGAAACTCATGTTCATGAGCCTATATGATGATAAACTATCAGTGGTGACTGCTTTTAAACACTATGACTTTCAATTGGCTCACTGTTGTGCTGTCAAATCTAGCAATTGTGCACTCAATAGCCCTATATCATCATAAAACTATTTATACTATATATATACATCTATTTACTATGTACAGGCCCAACTGTAAATAAACAGATATAGTAAACAGTTAAAACTATGTAACATAGTAAATAGATAGAAATGTTGGAGCCTTAGAATATCCCGATGACCCGCGCGTACCAATACAGATGCTCATTTGCAGCAGAAGAGAATAGATCATCTTCTTCATGGGCTGCGACCATGATATTGCGATGCGTTCGTGGATTAACGGAATCTTGTGTGCGACGCAGATCGTAAGTTGTATAGTTGAGCTGCAAAACTGAGTGAAAATACATCCTGTTTTTCTCGAAGACCACTGTACGGTGATCAGACTCCGAGAAGCCCCTTTCATCGCTGTCATATCCACGACGGCATAGGCAACCAAGAATGTGATCTTTTAGAAGTGGCAGAAAGTTCTACATCAAGAATTAGAGTCAAAATCATGTAAAAGACAATCAGAACAGCGTACCTTACAAGCAGGATCACCCTTATTCACTCGAAGCCAGGTTGTGATATCTTGAAAGTTTTTCTGCGAGTGGGAGATGTGATACCTTGCCTCTGGAGATGTAGGTTCAAGTGTCTCGTCCTCAGATCCTACATTGACCCTTGCACCATGCAGATTCAAAGAAGTTGCTTCTTCATGTGCATGAGCAAATTGATGTTTGTCACGCTTCACAGCATTCTTCATCTCATGGTGACGTCTTTCTTCATCACATCGCTTCATCTTCTGTATAGTCACTTTGTGATGTTGATGCCAAGCAATCTGCCCTTCATGTTTGTTCTTATTCATCCTACAATAATCAGCCTTGACAGTTCAATGTTCCTCTTCACCCTTAATAGATGAATGAATTTTTACATTAGTATTTTTGTGCTAGCATCATTGAGCGCAGTATAACTTATGATCTGCATTGTGTAGTTGTCTGTTGTGCCATAGCGCATAATTGTGGTTGCATAGTTGCCAAGCGCATGCCACTTGTACATCTCAAGATTGAGCTTCTTCAGCTTCGGACCTTTCTGGATGCTTGCGACGCTATCCATCTGCGATGCCCTTTTGTTCGCCTGCATTTCAGCTTCTCTACATCCTCTTGCAGCTTCTTCTCTTGGAAGTTGAACCATGTGATATGCTTCGCAAGTCGTCCTACAAAATTTGCGCACAATTTTGCTAAGTTGTTTGGTCGACAAGCGAATGGTCTTCAATGTCTCGTCTGTATGCAGTCGCAGCTTCGCAAAGGCTTGCCACGTCACCAGTTTGAAGACCAAATCAAGAATGATCTCATTGTGAGGAGCTGGCAAAAGCCCCTCAATGACAGGAGCAATACACTGAAAAGGTGAAAATTGAGTGTTTTGATTATTGCGCAAATTGTTAATTTGCATGCACCTGTAATATATCTTCATAATCATGCATGGCCAGTTGTTTCAATCCAGATACATCGTTGCAGAATTGCTGAATTGTATCGCACCCAAACGTAGGAACTTTACGAAATCTACAAATGTCGTAAAAATCTTAACAACAAATTCGGGGGGTAGCAGTGTATTGTGCCCACCTTTTATTAAACCTTTGAACAGCATTAGGACCTGAAGCATGGAGAATGCACAGAAGATGGGTCACAATTGCTTTCCAAACACCGAGCTTGAACTCATGCATCTGATCAACGACAAACATCGAGTAAAAGTCGAAGCCAAACAGTGAAAGATGGATGGAAAAGGCACTCTGAGTATTTATTATCAATATTGTGGGACCTGCAAATATATTAAAATAATTGGATGCACTCTAGTTGGTATCAAAGATCGGCTGTCTAGAACACGAGTGATACGCTTGCTGCTAGGAGCGTAACCCTTCTTGAATACCCAGTGTCGCATTCTTGAGAGATCATATTGCACAGGGTGATCATCTGTGCATAGTTTGGTATGCCGAAGCATGTCAGCATGAGATCCCATGTTGGAGATGTCAGTCTTCTTTGTGAGGCAACGTGGACATGGGCACTGTGGTAGATAGCGCATGCAAGTGAGAAGAACTCTGACGAGAATATTAGCATAGGAAGGATACAAATGCAAACAATTCTATACATACTTCTCAGGATAATCAGCGGAGTAAGTGAAAAACCTAGAAAACATTCACCGCAGCACTCCGTCTCCACATTGGATCAACATTCTGTGTTCGTAAGCGTGCATGAAGTCCAGATCGAGTGCGAGCAGCCATATCGCATGAAATAGTTCACGCTTGCAGAACCGGAGAATGTCCATGCTAGTGAGTTCACCATACGTTTCTTCATACCAGTCTTGGAAATTATTGGGTAACTTGAAAGATAGAAATCAGGTAGCTTTCAGAAGACATAAATTAATGATGCATACTTTAGAAATATATGTGAAATGGCAGCATGCCCCAGACCGCCGTCGTGCACGTGTGTACTTTGATTGAAAGCTGAATGAGATGTAAATGGGCTACAATGATGCCATTCTGAAGTTGGCTAAACATGTAGAATCTGACCAGAGCATGATAGGAGCAATGGCGACTTCAATATTATCAGAGTCGCCAGATGTTTTTGCTTCCGCACGAAGTTTTGCATCTTCTTCAAGGAAGGCATCTGAATTATAAAGCTCACTGTAGATGCGAGTATCCTCAGTCGATCCTGTGTCATCATTTGTCTGCTGCCAGAATTGTTTGAAGGGCTGCCAGTGATAGGTCTTTGCATCTGGATCCTCGCAAACCTTCTGAATGATATCAACCAGCCATCGCATGTGAATGTCTCCCACTTCAAAGGTAGGAGCATCGTCTTCGAAGGTTTTTGTCTTCTCTTTAGGTACAGGAATTTTTACTGAGCACTGTCGCCAGCCTTCAGGGTGAGAGAAACGACTTTCGTCATCTGCAGAGTCTAGACGGAATAGCTGAGTCACAGTACACCATTGCGACATCAACACTGAGAGATCAAAGTCATCTGCACATACTGTATAACCTCATTCACAAGTCGATCTATTTCAGCAAGAGACTTGTTATGTGGCCCTGTAGTGCTCCACATAACAATATGCGCAGTAGTAGCGTTATCGAACGGGTGATACCAAGGCCTTGCTTTCTCCTTTTCCTTCACCTTCTTGAGACTCGGAGAGTCACAAAAGTCATCAAGAGAAGTGGTATCAGTTGGAGGGTAGGAGGGAGGTGAGGAATAATGATGGAACACACCAAACTCATTTGGTGTGGTGTCGTATATTGGCACATTTTCAATCGATGGCTGAGATTCATTGGGAACCTCTTCACATGAGATGGTGTGAGATCTTGTAGGACAATTTATGAGAGGCCTGGGTATGTGTGCTGGAAGGCCACGAGTAGATGATGGCAGAAAGTCTTGGAGTGCATGAGGTGCACGTCTTTGACGGCCGCTGTGGCTGAGAGACAGTGCAGGTTCTGGTGTTGCTACCCTCCCTGTGGATGACCTCTGCGTGAACTCAGGTGCAGGCTCATTATTCAAGTGATGCTGCAATCATTGACCGTGCATGCGCTCAGACATACCATGACTTACCTCATCATCCCGGAACTCATTCTGATCTCCCAGATCTCTGCTAGCCACTCCATCCCTCTCAGCCCTTGGAACCTTTGCAGCCCTAGCATTTTTCATGTTTGCCACATGCTTCTTGACAGATGATACGGTTGCTGCCTTGACAGATGAGCATAAGCTATAGTGTATAGTGAGACCTCGAGCATCTTTGCAGGTTTTTTTGCAAGAAAAGCAGGTATAGGAAGGCATAATGATGAGTAGTGAGATATACAGGACAATAAAGTCAGTCAACAGGCACGTCGAGAGACAACAGCATGGATGGTGTTGCGCGAGCGCAACTTGGCGCAAAGGCGTGTCAGTCATGTGATCACATAAAGTCGCTCAGCCTGAAAACTGGCCTCATCTCAGTCTATCTCATCATCTCTCATCTCCAACATCATCTCGGGCCAACTCTAACTTTCATCTCAGACCAACTCTAAATCTCAGAACGCACATGGCAAAGGTATGTCATTCTGGCACCTAGGTCATAGACTTACATCTTTGCAAAGCCATCCGCAACGAAGTCAGCGGCATAAGCGAAGCATTCTGTCAAGTCACAAAAAGCTAATCCACCGAAATCATTGACGAAGAAATGGCCCGCAGGTGATGGCATCACGAGCACATGACCAAGCCGATGTTCATGCAGCCGTGAAGCCGATTGGTGGTTCGGCGTGGCTACCTCCGGTCCGGCGCAGGTGGCTAGCGGATAAGTGACCGAACCGTGGCAACACTAGCTACAAGACTCCCAATGAAGGGGTCGAGTCTCTCAATGGAGAAGTCACTTATAGATTGTGGTGTAGCTACCTGGTATATATACATGTGGGTAAAGACCTCATATACCGGGTCTAGGACCTCTGGTATCTACAGCCACTGTCTACTTACATAGATGAGTAATACTACAGTATCTAACTGGCCAATGACATATTTACTCAGTGTCGTATGATACTCTATGAATATCCTGATTGGTCAATGTCCTATCATACGATCCCTTGAGATTATATCATTGGACATTGTCCTTCCATACCCTTCTTCATATTGTGATCTTCGTAGATTACTTGGAATATATTATTCCTTCAACACATTACAGATCAGCAAGTTCCCATTTCTTGCAATCTTCGAGTCGTCAAAATGAAGCAGTCATTCAAATATATCATCTGCCTGTTAGCTTTGGTCAATACCTCACCGGCTATACCTGTGGATGGTGAATGCCACTGTGGCTTGATGTGATATCCATGTCTGACCATTGTGCAGTAGTCGCTAGACGTGACGACATGCTGGCTGTGTTCAAACGTACATGCCGCAGATATATCTCACCGCGTACACCTCCGATTGAGCAGTGCAACTTTGTTTCCAACAGGTGAAGTTTGCGATGATGCCGCTGGCCTCTGTACGTCTTCATCGTCTTGAAAATTCCATGTACCAATAATGTGCGCTCCCACAGTGGGCAAACGTGCAACCGTTTGTGGCTTCTACAGCGTAGCCTATACCGACACTGAAGGTGTGACGGAGTCACTTGTTGATAGACAGGAGGACTTCGAGCCTGACGTCTCTGTTGACTATTCATATAGCCCGGCTTACAGATCGAATGAATGAGGTGCGTCCGAACCTGCCACTCTTCCGAGTAATGCACTCATTCACGCATCCTAAGAATTCTGGGTTGCAGATTTCGTTCTCACCACCCTGATTGTGATCAGTGTATCAACATTCATACATGTATTCGGCTTCATCTAACCAAGTACCATTTGTCACGCCGCTCACTCGGCGGATAGTATAGTATGAATGTGGGAGGACGCATTGCTTCCTGAGCCAGAGGCTTGTCAACCCACCTAACCTTCATTCATCGCTGCTTGAGCTCTGCAGCAGAGGCAGTCGGAGACTGGAGCCGCTCTTATCCACATTTGGGAAACAATGCTCCACAGAGGTTGACCACGTTCATCATGTCTAATGTCCATCCTACATTAGACATGCAATTGAGCTAGCAGCATCTGTTCGGATCAGAGACTTATGTTGAACAACGGCAGCCAAGACCGGTGCCACGTCCAATAACTCACGACACCACTGGGGATTTGGGTACAAACGAGCAAGGTAACGCTACGTTGACTACCTCCTTTTTAACCATGCCACTTCAGGGCAGGCGGCGCAGCTCGCACACCCGGCGCTTATCCGGCTGCCATTCCTGCAGCCCCTGTACCCGGCTCCGATGCCCCCGAGGTCCACTGCTATCCCGCAGTGCCTCCCAGGCCCCAAAAGCCAACAGCTTAGTCCGATGGACTGGAGGTGGTTTGCTCAGCGGCTACAGTCCGATAGATGGTCCCTGTTCTCGCACCAACCCTAGGAATACGAATGCCAACGTACAATGTCTACGCGAAGGCTAGATGACGGCAGTGTAGCGACCGAGGTGGAAAATGTGATTCTCTCGAAGGCAAGCCTCCTCCATTCCTAGTGTGTGCAATCTGATTTAATAAACGGGGCCTCTGAAAGCGCAGATTGCGGTGTACCTTTAGGAAATGTGATCGTAAGCTTGAGACAAGGGGCTCTACGAGGTACTAATTAACCATACGTGGGAGCTATGAGTATGCTAACGGAGCTCGGGCTCCGCGAATGCTGGTATCCGGTCAATGATACATCGCACAAAGCCTCTGATATTACTAACCCTAGTGTTTGTGCATAAAGTTTGTGACGAATTCGGCATAATGTTACTCTTATCTTGTGACATTGTGCGTCGACGTTAGGTATAAAAGGTCAGCATGTATAGCTAGCATGATCCCCCCAGTACCATCGCTGATTCACCCGCATCGAAGTACCACAATGAGCGCAGCATTTAGGCATATTTTTTGCATGCTTCTCCTTGTCAGCGTATCGTTAGCTGCACCGGCTAGTCCTAGAGGTGAGTTCTTGATTTGTTCTGAACTATGTCGTGAGTTTAACTTCCACGCTCTTTCGAAGACGTCAACGGACGTGATATCTTCGTTCTCGCTAAAAGTCGGTTGTATTGCTGAACATATCTGAAGTCCGTATGTCTGACAAAGCACGATTGCATTTAGCCAAGACCGTAGCTGGTAGGGCAGAACATCATGCATTCTGTTAGTCATGAGCTCGCAGTCTGCTTACGCCGCATCGCTGTCACAGTTCAAAAATGCGAGACCGAGCATGGCATTTATGTCGTAAATTATGCCGAAGACGACTTAGAGGAACTGGAGAAAGGTGAGCGAATAAGCCTTGGGCTCTGCACTTTTTCTCCACCTCAAGCTTCCATCTGCTCATATGCCACCGCTGTCACAGTGAAGAAGCCAGAGGTGGACCATAACGTGTAATTATCACATAACCTCCTTGACTCACGGAGGTACGTCGGATTGCTTGAGATGTTCAACCGCGGGGCTGCGGCAAGCGCTCATTTCCTCGCCTCTTAGGAAGGGACCCATTCCGCGCGCTCCAATTCCTACCTCTGTGCTGTCATCTATGTACAATGACGACTTCTTCTAGTACTGTGCTCCAAGCTAGATCACTTTACTTTTTTTGCAGATGCTCCACGAGCTGACGAGAAATCGGAAAATGGCCTAGATGAAGTCCCGTATGCTCTGTGAATGACACCTGAAGGCAAAATTGAAGGAGTAACCCGAGCTGGCATGTGAAAGTCCGAAACTCCGAGGACATCGGAGAAGCTTGCTGTGGCGCCGAAGATAAGTTGGCCGCCAACTGAATTGCCTGTCAAGGCTACTGCAACATTCTCGGACTAGTAGCAGAAACATGCGTCACTAGGTCAGCCGGAGAGGTCACATTGCGTTCTCAGAGCTCTAAGAGGATTATGGATTTCTCTTTTGCCGCCGAGGCTCGCCACGAGGTGATGGAACATGAAGCGTGTCTGGTGAATGACCCGTGCTGACACTTGATTCTGGCCTTCGACTCTACGACGAAATCGGGACGAATAGCTCTCATCGGATATATGCGACTGGCCGCCTGAAAACCGTTGAAATAGTCGGAAAAGTTTCCTGCAGTCACCAGGCTCATTGAACAGCTGCTTGGAGATCCTGTGTCAAATCGCATCTCCACCATGAAGACGTGTTTCGCACCCTTGATCTCCGCCGTACTGCTCATCAATTTAGTCTTTGCCGCCCCTACACTGTTCAGTGGCGGTGAGGGCACTCCAGACACAGTGTCTTCGTATTGGCTTGCTGACCAACGCCTGGCTCTAGGTCGCGCTGATGTTCAACCCTTCGTGAAAGGTCGATGACAATTAATCCATCGCAAAGTGACGTTAGCTAAGCTAACTTGCTTGTATTGAACAGCCAGGGACTCGATTGGTGAGATTCATACAGCCGCGTTGCTTCGTTTCAACTCTGACTGACGGTATTTGACTCGGATACTACTCGCGATGTGAACAGTCCCATCTCCGGATTTCTATCCCTATGAAGACGGTATGCAGTAGTCTTCATAATCATCGTACATGTGGCCGTAACGCTTCGGATCCTTGCAGGCAAGGTGAAGATTGATTAATGCCTCAACTTCTCATCGCCTTCAAGAGTCGGAGAATATTTGAACGGTATATCTAATGTGAATCTTGTCGAATAACTGTGACGACAGTAAAATTTGCAGATCATTTTGTAGCGAATGCATGTATAACGTGGATTGGGTAGGCAAAGATATGTAGCAATGCGACGCTCAGCTTATTGTATCAGATATGTTGGATGATCATGTTTCCATGCCCGTAAGAACTTCATGGCTTCCGCTGTGGGTGAAACTGTTGAATGTTCCGTGGTCGACACATATTGCGTCTATCGGTGCACGAGGATTCCATTTTCTCTCTGTCCATTCAACTTTGTTACGGTGAATCTTATTTCATACGGACAGAGTAAGTGGCTATTCTTCAACTTCGTCGGCTGAAAAGTGCTTAAGACCTAGAGAGGCTGCTCTTTTTGAGGAGAGAGAGGACACAGCCCGAGCCTGAGCTGCCGACTGTCCGAGTGTATGAAGGAATTTCACGGTATATTCGTTTCCTGTCCAAGATACATCATCTTCTGTTGAGTCACAATTCCAATATTGAGACAGAGGAAGAATCCAAGAATGCCCATCTGCATCACGAGCGCACGGACATTTTGAATCCCCGGATCCAGAGCAACTCTGTATTTCTTCGCACGACGGTATGGGATAGAAGAACTCATAAATGGCTTTCAGAATGCATTCGTGTCGGACATCGAGGCAACATAATAGAGAATCGGCGTGCCGGCTCCGACAACTGTCACGACAATCCGATGTCTGAAGTTGTGCGGATTGCCAGATGCGATGGAGACATGAAGCATCTTGGTACACGTGCTACATAATTCCAGAAGCGGTTTGCCATTTTGGTCCAGACTCCACATTATCCGCCACAGCAATCCAAACGATAAACTTGGATAAAGTAATGTGCTATCGATTCCTGGCCACTGCATACAGGCTCTGTTTGTCACATGTCACCGGTTGCAATAGAATCATCTCGAATCCAGCTGTACTGCGCCGCTCTATGGCAAGCGAACTCAATCTTCGTAACAGTCATTTTGAAGTTTATGGGAAAAAGATGTTGAGCGGATGTTCGGTGACACGCAGCGAGACAAGAAGCAGATACTTGCAAAAAACACACACCGTAAGCAACAGAGATATCCGTCGAAATTGTCGTCGTCCTCCGCCCTGCACCACGTTAGCCGATTTGTGAAACGTCGAACGCTAATGATCAGCGACATTTGAATTCAAATGGGCACGACTGTCTCACGCAGCAATTGGAGGCTCAGAGAACACCTGATTGAACTCGATGCTGCAGCCATCATACGCAACTTCGATCGTGTGAATGACTTGTCGCCCATTCTCGTATTCCGGCAGGCCCGCTCTCTCCTCATGGGTGATCCAGGAAACGGTACCCAATAAGGAGATCATTTCAGGTCGTGTGTTCCGGTCCATGCGCTTGAGAGGCGTAGCAGGGCTGGCCACTTTCCATATCTGAAGTTCAGAGAGTTTACCGGATGCCGTGCACGTCTCGTTCGGAGGAAGGAGCTCGGGATGGTCTTGGGGAGTGACCCAGGCTTCAATGATACACCTCAAAAATGGACTGTGTGTCGCGATCTGACGGACTGATGCTAACCTAGTGGAACTTTAAGTGCTTAGTATGTTGAAGCGCTCCATCGGTCACCAGTGACGCAAGTACCGAGGTGTACGTCTTGAATTCCTACATCGGTATTTGTATCTGTACCACGATGCAAAGACTCACATGTCGGACGTTTCGTTGGCCCAGAATGTCCACGCGTACGCTTCCAATACGTCAAACGTCAACGACGCATTTGTCTACTACCAAATGGCGCTGTTTATTTCGGATGAGGATGATCCACTGCCAGCTCGCTCAGTAACTCACAATGATCATGGCGTCCCACAGCTGTGCCTTAGCCTCAGTACACTAATTTCCTGAAGTGCTGCTACGACGATGGGGCCAGGCTCAGTTCCATCCGGTCCAGATAGTGTTCTGGGTTTGCAAAGGTACACATGATGCACGAGGAAAACACTATAAATATTGCGCTACACGGTGATCATCCTCACCTCGGTCTGCTAGCTTGCACGTACAACCGTTTCGACTGCGATACACTCACCATGAAGGCATCTTTCGCATCTCTCGTCTCTTTCCTGCTTCTCGTCAATGCCGCGCTTGCGGTCCCTGCTGCAGTCAACGGTGAGCCCATGGTTCTTATCAAGAGCCTACTGTGGTCTCGCTGATCACCAACGGACTTTGAAGACCGCGTCGGAGGCATGTCATACGCGAAGCGTGAGTTCGTTCTATTATACCCTGAAATTGAAGAACGAGTGATGACTTACCGCCACTTCACAGCGGAAGGCGTGAGTGGTGGATCAATAAATCTGACGACGCTTCCTCTTGTAGTCATGAAACGGAACTCGGCCGGGGACGGCAAGGACAAGGACGGGGCCTCAGCGTCATACCAATGGAGCAGTGCATACCAATATGAAGAAGACATAGGCAATGACGTTTCCGGTGTGCAATGAACCATCTGCTATGTCATACGGTCGGACTTGACAGACTTGATTTTGGCAGATGCGGACTCCTGGACCAAGGCCTGAATCCCGCAGGACGACAGATAGGCGAAGGGCGCAACACTGCCATGAGTAAGCAAAATTCTTCGACCTGCCTATCGATGCGCACATTCATGTTTGTCGAAAGATGTCCAAGCACAAAAATTGATACCCGCTGAATAACGCCATACGTACGGGAAGTCCTCTGTTTGTCCTAAGTTCCGGGGAGTTCGTGTTCAGGTCGTGCTCTGCCCCGTCCTCACGAGGCGCGCTAGTTCTTGATGTACTGTGTAAATTGTATAGAATCGTGATATGATGTCTGATTGCATTGCGTGAGCCAACAGATACGATGTGAGAAATAGCTCCTAGCCAGTTCAATATCAATAAGCGTTCCGGAAATATAGGGAAACGATGTGAGAGCATCTCGATACGTCCAAGTCACCTGAATGGCGCCAACTGAATGAGTCAGGAAGAGAGAAATCCTCGTACTGCATAAAGCGCACTCTTTTGCGACTATGTCAACCTCTTTCTTTGCTATTTCGTTGACAGATAGTAGTCGCTGCGCTTCGAGATGGCACTCACCGTACTCCTTCAGCTTTGTCAGAACGCGTAGATCTCATCCACCGACCGGAAAGAGGGCACATGGACGCGGGCCAGTACCTCTCGACCAAAGATTGAATGCTCTTATTCCATCTTTATCGCATGAATATACAGGCCGTATGGCGAATATAGCAAGATATTGCGCCCTTAGGAGTCTGGAGAGCTTGATTGAGAACGTGACAGTGGAATTTCGTGGTACGCGCTTTCCTCATCTCCGCGCGGTACGAAAGCTGATGGAATTCTAAGGCCTATATTGTTCGCAAGGACCAAAAAGTCACTCACAACGGATTTCACGACGTAAGGGAGAGCTTGAGTGCTCTGACAGGGTCAGGTATAGGGCTTTGACATGGAGATGTCGCGATTGATGTACTTCTGGCTCGAGCCAACGGACCCTTTATCCTCGCGCGCAGACTCGTCGCTTAATTTTGTGCCGTGGAAAACAGATATTAGCGGCCGGGAGCAGAGTTTGATAATGAGTTTAACCTAACCCATTTCGACTCGATCCACCGAACTCGAACTCGAACTCGCAACACTCCGACTACTCTATGCATAACAGCAAACGTCCGACTGATATCACTATGTACATCGACTCAAATAATCCTCCATGTGGCCATCCAAGAACCAAGTCAAATAACTTACGCACAGAACCCACACCCGCACCCGCACCCAAAATCAAAAGTTCTCGCACGCACGCGCTCGCGATGCATCCCCGTGCACTCACACCCTCCCGAGGTGCGTCCCCGCCAGCTCGCGCTCCAGCTCCGCACTCGGGTCGTCCATCACCGGCGAGTCCGCACGCGCCTGCCCCGGTTCCGCATACGCCTGCTCGAGCACGGGCGACGCCAGGATCTCCTCGCGCGTTGGGATCGGAAGGCTGTGTGCGATGAATCATGAGTTGTTAGTTCGATTTTGCTGAGCATAGATACGGTGCAGGAGAAGAGGGTAAGGAGAGGAGGGAAGAGGAGGCTCACCTATCCTGCCTGCGGATCTGGCCCGAAGCGCGTGCCTGCTGGCGAACCTCCGCGCGGAACTCACGCACCTCCTCCACGATGAGTTGCTTCATCCCATCGATCGTGTCCTCCTCCTCAAACCCAAAGTCGAACGTCTGCCCAAGGCCAGGCCGGAAATCAACGTCGCACCGCACATGTAACGAATAAACGAACGCACCTCGTTACAAATGGGCTCGTCCGCGGGGTCGTGCCACACAGCGAGGTAAGGGTGATTCAGTGCCTGCTCGCACGTGATGCGCTTCGCGGGATCAAAGTGCAGCAGCTGGCCGAGGAGGTCGATCGCGAGCGGGTTCGCGCGCGGGAAGAGCGTCTGGAACGGCACGCGCGGCTTGATTGGGAGCGATCGGATGTAGTCTTGTGCCTGAGTGTGTGGTGAGCGTTGAGGAAAGAGAGGTCGAGGAAGAGGCAAGGTAGGATGACGTACGCGGGGAGAGCCTACACGGCGGAGGGTGTCCTCCAAAGGGGTACCAAGGTAGTGGAGAATCTGGTTGAGTTGATCGACGTAGCTAGCGGAGCATCAGCATGTGAGCAAAGGTTTGATCGCGTGACACGTACTCTCTGCCCTTGAAGATGGGTTTGCCAGCGAGGAGCTCGGCAAGGATACATCCCACGGACCAGACATCTATCGCGGGACCCTGCATGTATCGCGATCAGCGAGCGACACGACACGAAAAGCACCTCGCGCACATAGTTCGCAAAACTCAACATGATCTCCGGAGCACGGTACCACCGCGTCGCGACGTACTCGGTCATGAATCCCTGGTTCGCCGCACCCTTGCTGGCAGGCGCACCCGAGCCCGGATTATACCCTCTTGCAAGCCCAAAGTCGCAAATCTTGAGCTCGCAGTCGGCGTTGACGAGCAAGTTGCCCGGCTTGAGGTCGCGGTGGAGGACATTGGCAGAGTGAATGTATTTGAGGCCACAGAGGGTCTGGTAGATGAAGGACTGGAAGTGGGCGTCTGAGAGCGGTTGCTGCGAGCGGATCTGCGCGGGCGGGCGATCAGAGAGTGGGAGGCAGGACGTGTGAATGGCTCACGATGGCGTGCAGATCGGCCTCCATCAGCTCCTCCTGGTGGGATGTGAGGAAGAGGAGCGTCGTAATGGAGGTGAACGCACGTATAAGTAGACCTCGTCAAAGTTTCCGTCCGAACGGAAGACGATGTCCATGTCGTACAAGCAGGTGATCTGGGCAGCGATGAGATGAGAGAGCGTGCACATGCCCTCAGATACACACGTTCTTGTGTCCTCGGAAATGGTGTAGGAGTCTAGAATGTACGTCAGGACGGCTATCGGCCACAGTGAGGCGACTCACTTGATCTCGCGCAGACATCGTTTGGTCAAGATCCTCTGCGGCCGCACGGTCAGACACGAAAGCGGAAGAGCACGCATACACCGTGCACCTTTGTGTTAATGTTGGTGATCTTCTTGATCGCACATCCCTCGCCAGTTCTGCGGTGTTTCGCGGCGACGACGCAGCCGTACGCACCCTGGCCGAGCTCCTTGACGAACTGATACTCAGAGTCTACGACGAAAGTGGAGTTGAGCGCGGTGAATGTGTGTCTCTGCATGGCGGCGGGGAATGTGGAGATAGAGGACGTGAGTGATGTCGACGAGGAGTGGGCGCAAGGATGGAGGGCAGAGAACACAAGGCAGCGGACATTTGTACGAGACGCGATCGATAGCGCGCGCGGTGATGGCGTGCCCCAAATGGCAGGTGTGATCTGCGGTGGGCACTGCATGCTGCAACGATCATCGCCTTGCAGGACAGCCACTTGGACTGGGCGAGCGGGCTCGAGGAGGACTTGAGGAGCGTGCGCGAACGTAGTATGTTGGGAGTGTGCAGCTGACCGAGTCCGAGAGACATCTTACCACGAAACCAGCGAGATTTGGAAGACCTGAATAAACATGCTTGTGGTGAATGAGATGATGACAGATAGCGCTTTGTCTGATACGAGGTCACTGCAATGAGCGAAGCGATCGATCACATACTCATATGTCACGGCGCTGGTCCAACTGCTTTTTGATCTTCTCAAGAGCCATTTGTAGCTGCGTACGACGTCATTTCAAACTTCAAGCATTCAGATGGTCAGCCCACGGACATGGCCGTTCATGAAGACGTCATGGCAGAATAGGCCATCGTCGTACAAACCTTCTGTGTTCACCCTGCTGAATTGCCGATTATAGTCCTCGGCACCAGACCCGCTGCTCCAGGTCGCCTCGGCGAGTACGTGAGGGAGGAGCTTCGTCACTTCATGCATAATGAGCCTTCCGTCCATTGCAGGACATAAGTATGTATGCGAATATCAATACAGAGACGGTACAAGTTTACAAGTCAGATAGGGGTCACCCCATTATGTCCGCACGTTGACTAATCCGGTCCCTGAATGGTAAATCAAGGACCATAAACAGGACTACGTTAACGTTTGAATTTGAATTTGAACACTCGACGGACACATCAAGCACCAAGAGCAAGGTCCTCAAGCATCCATATGCCACTCTCTTTGTAGTGCTCGAGTTATTCTGTGCTGTCGATGGTCCGATGACCAGGCGCTTGCTCATCATTGCAAAACAAGTTTCGTTGGACAGGAAGACGCACGACGGCGATGGTACCTCATCAGAGGCATTGTATGCGTATGCGAGATCCGTCTGTCATTACGACGGAAATTCTGACGTTGCCTCCATTCCAACCTTGTTCCTTGAGAGCTAGACATCCGTTAATGAGCCGCCGTACGACAGATTTGATAATACAATGTTCCCGGCTAAGAAATACATCACGGTGTTCCATTGAATTGGATAAGTTGGATAACGGATGCCTGGTGAGCACGATATTGCCGGCTTGACAGACTTACGTTCTATATCGCATTAACCAGCATCACAACAGGGGTAGGTGCCATTAATAGGTTTGATTAAAAAAAGGGTACAACTCCGCCGCAACGGTGACAGAACAGGAACCTGCACAACGGCGTTTCATAGCGCAGCAAGCATCTGTCAGTCTGAAATTATACTTGACGAAATATTGTGTCATCCGACCTACATTTTGGCAGTTGGTGATATCCCGCCGTCATAAGAGACAGCTTACGGCGTCCTGGCAGACGTCAATGAGACGCCAGACACATTGTGTTAAAAGGGCGAGCTTGGCTATGCACCGATCCTATCCCCACCGTCTGAGAGCCTCTAAGACCACACGCACCATGAACGTCCAGGTCGCATTCTCCCTCTTCGTCTTATGCATGTGCCGCTTTGCCGCAGCCATGCCTTCTGGTCGGGACCTCAGTACGTGCCACGCCTCACCAGAGCTTCATATATTCACGACACAGCTCCAGGTGTCATCCAGCGGGAGAGGATTGTCGAAGGCCGCCAAGGCTTGAATAAGTCAATGAATAATGTAAAATCCGACTCACACTGACATTTTGCTAAGTTAATTGCTCTATCTGGTAAGCCTTCAAGATGCAGCTTCTTACCAGCTCACCTTACGCTCTGCACACAGCGGCCATGACGTCTCCTAGGTGAAACAAGCACATGGTTGAACTCTGTGGTAACAGAGACGGTAGACGGTTTCAACACAGAGCGAATTGGCGGTTGACACGATGCAGTGCAGACGATGAGATCGACTTGGTTGAATGTATGCAAAGCAAGACGGAGCGTGTTCGAGTTTGCATCCTCGGTAACGGGTCATGCAAGCATGCGTAAAGTCCTCGATAGCACTGGAGCAGAAGTGTAGTAGCGACTTAGTTGAGATTAATGTCGAGCGGGGAAAGACGAAGACTAGAGTAGCAAGCCATAGAGGTCGGTAAACACGAGAGCCCTCCGAGCGAGATTTTCAGCTTCAAAGATAAGAAGACGCGGCGGACGAAGAGTGCACTCGCTCAAGTCATGGGGCTGATCAAATCAAGGCCACAGAACGGGCGCCTGAGCGCGTTGGCATGTTCAGACTCCGACGTTCCCACGGTTACAAGTAAGCAACTAAACGCTCAGCGCTCAGTGCTCTTGGTACCTGGACCTACTATGATGAAGGCATCTCTTCTCAAATATGAGCCAGAGCCAGGCCGTCTATCATCTTGTTTCAACCTCATCGACCGTACGAATCATCTTGGCTGAGAAAATGGGCGATACGGTAAAACTCATTCCACAGATGCGTTATCTGGTGCTGTCGCTGGCACTCATTTACTCAACATGTTTTCATAGAGCAAGGATTCAGTTTAGATGCATATGAAAAAGCCAAAGGAAGAATTGGGCCTGGGAACTCCACCCCTTTCTAGTTTCAAATCTAGGACTTTCTATTTGGTCGATATACAAGCAACTTTACTTTTCGCTTTATGCACCCCACCGTCCACACCATGCAACGTCAGAATGAGGTGCTGATACAGCAATGCCGAAATCCTTTCAAACTGAGGAAGGCAATTTGCCATCAAGAGCTATAGGACCTTCGCGGTGCTCGAAGTAGACGCGGAAACGACACTGTGTATACAGGCCTGAACTTGTTCAAAGATGCTTAGACTTCAGCGACACGAAGGAACTATGGTTTCTGGGCAGACGGGAAGCGGAAACACCTATACAACGATGGCGTTGGAAGTGTGCGTCTCGTTACAGCCCTCAGAGAGGCCTATTGTTGTGCTAAAATCAGGGGCTTCTCAGTTTATGACCTCTCGTCCAATCCACAACCCGATTTAATAGCTGCTCTGGTTTGACGGAACATTTCACTCCGACCCTGGATTAGCTTTTGCGACCTGGTCGGGAAGCAAAAGAGTCGTGGCTGACCACAAGCACCGTGAAGAATAGTACGAGCAGTCGGCATGTGTCGTAATGCTTCATCGACGTTCGCCACACTGAGGTTTTTTATTTAAGGTCTCACTCGGTGATACGCGTTCACATCTCATATGGAGTGTCACTGAAGTCTACCGCAAGCTCTGAGAGATCAAGTATGTTGCAAAAAAACGACGCGGATCGCACGAAACAGTCCGTTGAAAGTTTGGCACCTCCATGGCGCTTGTACCATGGCCAATCCAATGCATCACAATTTTGGTCAGCGAACAAGTCTCTAGCAGTTCTGAAGGACTGTGTCTGAGTACGGCTAGCTTGTAGCGGCCGCATACCCTGACGAAGCAGCCGTCTTTGATGGTACTCAAGGACATCTTCAACTGCTCATCAAAAGTAGCCCGTCGCGCGAGCGAGGTCATACTGATAATATGCATCATCCTGACTCCGCTGGACGTGGAAGGCACGGCTGAACACTTGCAATATATGATAGATGCTCAGTCGAGCGCTTTCACCCACAAAGTTATTCGTCCGAGCAGTTGACTGGCCCAAGAAGCAGAATGCATGGGTAGTTATTGTATCAATGATCAGTTCTAAGCGACCGCACGCCAGTCGAAAGTGCTAATTCATTACAGAATAGGTGCGCGCAAGATTATATAGAACCTGAGCATGATGACAGTAAGTTTGGTACTTGAGATATACGATACCCACACATCCCTCACCTTTCTTTACGAAATCAAAAAGTTTCTGAAAATGACGAGAGTATTGAGTGCCACATCGGGCGAAGAAATCCTTCGCATAGCTCTTCGATGCCTCCACGCTCCGCATTACAGACCCACGGGAAGACGCAATGAATTGGAGGTACTGAAATGGGAAGCCTGGATCTTTCGCTGAGCGTATCATCGGAAGGTGCCGTTCATGTGTAGAGTCTCGCAGGCGTTGCAGCCTGATGAGGTCATCGCCCTCGATCAGCTCGAAAGACTGTTCATGTCCAAAGCACGCCCAGAGCGGAACTATGGAAGCGCCTTCCCAATCTACAAGGCCTACAATGCGGGTCGGATCATCGTAGGCGACGAGTATGTTGGTCAAGGAAATGTCTTCATGCCAGAGGACAAACGGCATCTCCTCAAGGCAATCTTGGGAGTCACATCCCGATGCATCAAGGCTTTCCATGCCGTCGATGACCAGATGGTAGTATGTCTTGAAGTAATCAATGTGCTGTATCGGCTGGATAGAGGCCTCTGCGTCTCTATTGATGATCCTCCACCTTGAACGCAAAGACAACCATTCGTCTTGCTCGCTCTCCAATGATTCTAGCTCAGCCACGACGTATGCCTTCAGCCAATCCAAAAACGACGTCCATGGGCCGTACTCGCGCTGTAAGTTGAGCGGATGCGTGCACGACAGTCCCAAGGGTCCCACTGATATTTGACCATCGTGCACTTCCGTGAGACTGCCGATGGCTGAAAAACGGGTCTGTAAAAGTTGAGCCTCGATGTTTGCCACCTGCGGGATCACGATGTCGAGTTGTTCTATTGTCAGAAAGAGCCAGACATCTGCCAAATTGCGTCCCAATATCTATCAGATAATGAGGGAATCAATCCTCTCTTGCTTTTTCAAGCTTGATCCGGGCTTACCCTCTCTTGTAACGTATAGCGAGCTTTGACGGGATTGTGCAAGCTGCTTTCAACAGCATACACTCTTGGCACCGGGATAGATGTTGCCGCCTGCACATATTTTAAAGTAGCAGCCTATGTCGATCGCGTACAAGTTAGTGACGCTATCTGAAAGTGAGGAACTGATATGTGACCTCGGAATCGATTCTGTGTGCAATCATGTCGTCACTTTGTTCTTTATCTTGCTTGATGAAGCTTCCATTTATTCGAGCAACAACATCAGATGAATGCTCGAAAGTGAGCATATATATCTGCGAGTTCATTTGTGAATAGTGACGTAGAAGTATCTGTGGCGCACATCGTACCAGGTTAAAACCGCCTGTTCGTTAGGTTCAGAACATCATATATGAGCCATGACTGCCCTGAATTGATAGATGTACCTTGACCAGTCATGTGCGCTCCAGTGCAACGGTCGCCGACTGCTCGGGAAGCTGCCAACTTGAGCTCTTCGACGTTCACTGCTGAACATAGTACTTCCGTGATACGGCGATCCTCTTCTGTCATGTTTCTTTGGCACCATTCTTCGTACTTCTGGCCCAGCGCAGCAGCAGAAGGAACGCTTTCCATGAGCACGGTCATTGTGAGTGTGTGGGTGCTCGTCAGAGATTCAGCCGCCCAGTGTGCTGCCTTTTAAAGCTTAAAGTGTCGGAACAGCCTAGTACTCTCAGCCACTGAGTCATTATTTTCTCCGGTCGTATCAATCAACCATCAGCTTATCATGAGGCAGCCGATCCGTACTAACGCGTCATTCTGAAAACGTGGACCAGTGACGCCACGATTACGGTACTTTACCATGGTTACCAGTGACCACGGTTGAGTAGCGTAGAGGCACCGATGGGACATCTTACTGCCACAATCCCTCCACACCGCCAGGAGTACTAGATGTTCCTCGGTATTTCCACCAGACGATTCATGATTCACTTTCTTTATGACTCACTTTCAACCATATTTCGGGCAGCAACCGCCCTCGTAATAGTCACAGACCTGCAATCATTGCTATCAATCACACCAAAATAAGCTATTATGCAGGAACATGAAGCCCATGACGGGTATTGATGATCTTGAAGCTTGGATGCCGCCCAGCCATGCTTGTACATACTATAATAGCACGTTTTTCGAACAGCCCCAACTTGGAGGTATTTGCAGAAAGTAGCCAGTTACTGATCGTCTGATAAGCCGTGCCGCATTTTGTAGTGCGGACTGTCGTACTACAACGGATCTCACAACCTTCATCGTTGCAATTCATCATTACTCACGAGTCATATTATTGCCCTTATCCTCTACAAGCTGTATCTGGGCTCGGCACACGCCACATTGGCACCCATGGACGCTCAGATGCGGGATGACCGGAAGTCTCATGTGTCTTTGAACAAGTTTCTTCGGGCTGGGAGGATTGCTGTGTGGCGCGCGGTTGTATGAGTATAGGTCAAGCCCGAACACCGCCTGCACGGCGTCTGTATCGTGAGTTAAGTCAATAGTGTCATAAGTCCTCGGATTGCGAAAAAGCTCTATGCACTTGCCTTATTCGCTCCATCTACTTCGCATGTCTCCAATTTCATACGCTGAGCTCTTCCCGGTACGGTCGATTGTCGTGTGCTAGTCACTGAAACAATTAAGAAGATCCGGAGGACCCGCCGTTGAACTTCATCTGTTATGGCTGATGTGTGCGCCTAAACAACTGTCGTACTCGCAAGAGAAGAGATGATGTATCAGTGACTCGTCATGACGCTGTTGACTGTCTCAGTAAACCGTGAATGATGATTATAACAGACGTGGCGCGCCACAGGCATGATATCATGGTATATAAACTGTAGCTAGAAGCAGCTACGCTTCTCATCACGTCTCCTCTTGCATTGTCCATTGTGAGCCTCTTCCTCATCTCTGTGAATTGAATGGCATTGAGGCGTCTTCATGCAGTACAGTCGCCGTATATTCATCCAGTCTCCTACAATTACACACCATTTTTTGGCCGAAGAAGTCCCTGGTAAGCTCGTTAGTATGTTGTTGCGATAGAACGCTCATCCTGCGTGGCGCACTTTGTCTTAAACACTCATCGTCCTTTTTCGGCCGTATCCAATGTGAGTATGCATCGTCATTATGTCTCTTGAATCATTCACTCACAATCTTTTGTCATCTGTAGAAAGTCAATGAGACATACTGCTCAGAAGCTGCGAAGAGGAAGTGCGGGTTTCAGAACCAAACCATGTACTTTCCCAATAATAATCGGGATGATGGGCGGTGGCCTTGCAGAGGGCCTGGATGCACTGGCACTTACCAGCCGAACCTGAGACCGAACCCTCCTCCCAACACTCAGGGTACAAGTGGTAGCGGCCGCTAGAGACACAATGGGTGCAATCCCACGTATTTCATCTTCTTGGATATTCATATGCAGTGTGGCGAGACATAGCTCTTTGCGTGTAGCTCCCCAGTTCTGATAATTCTAGATGAAATTGCGTTTTGTGACTTAACCAGCTGGTTACAGTCTCAATGCCCTCTCTGCCACTGCCCCGATGTCAAAAAAGCAAGTTTGGTAAAATTCGGCTTCCATTGCGGCGGCTCCTGAGATGATGGTGGCGCGCTGTGTTCAGTGATCAAACAGAGCTAGACATCTGTTAGGTTGTTCCCGAGGATCTGCATATTGGGAGAGGACGAGTGCACTGAGCATCGAAAGCGCAACCGACGTGTTGAACCTCATTCATAATCGGAGTGTGTTCCATATGTTTATCGGATTATACTAACGCATCATCAACGAACATCGATTGCACATGTACGCTTGTCATGGTCTTCACGCATTCCAGTGCGGCAGCCTGTATGAACCATCGTGAGCAGGAAGAAGAGTACATAGAATTGAACGGCGACAACCTCAGAGGGGATTCTTTGGGCAACCGATTCATCTGACTGTTCCTTGTCTTGCTTGATGTGGCTGCCGTTCATACGAGCAACGATGCCGGGTGTGCGATTGAATGTTAGCATGTAAATCCGCCGAGACATTTGTGAACAGAAGGCATGAACGAGGCGCGGCGTGTGTACGGATGAGGTTGAAGCCTCCTGTTCATCGCGTTCACATCAACTAATCATCGCGTCCTAGCCCACAGAACACACATACCTTGTTCTAAGAAGCGGATCCCAGTACACTCGTCTTCAACAGCGCTGGAAGCCGTCCACTTGAGTGCCTCCAGAGTCATAGCCGAGCACAGCCTGCGTATGTTCTCACAATCCTTGCTGCTCATGTTGGTCTGGCGACATTCCTGGTGACTTTCCACAAGCAGTGCAACGGAGGGATCAGCGTCAGACATGCTGGATATCAATGTGTCAGTGTGCAATCCAAGAGGCGGACGGGAAATGCACGATGCATAATGTGCAACGGATGAAGTACCAGAAACAGCCAATTGACCGTAGCTATATCGTGCACGCAGAGTGGAGAGGTTGAAACCTCGAAGCACCAGTGATAAGCTCGATCGCAGAAAACATTCCGATTGCGGCAGGGGGACGGATTCCTAAGGGAAACCGCACCATTAGCGGTGCTTCTGGTCACCTTCCGCTCCCTGGGTATTAGCGCTCGCTTGTAGGAAGGTCAAGTGCCCATAATTTCAAAAAGCATCTGATCCCGGCTCAACGTAAAGAGATCACAAAATAATGTCATAGCGCAGAACGACAACTTCCACTACTGCGAATTATTGAGGCCTCATCATAACGCATGATGGCGACAGAATTAAGACGCACCTCGTCGCAATCTACAATCTCGTCACAGACCACACGAGCCTCCAGGCCCTTCCCTCCTCGTCCCGCGACCCGCTCCTCATTCTCCCCTCCTTCAGTTCCGCCTCCACCCTCACCTCGCCTCTCCCAAATACCTCCTCCTCCCACATCTCTTTCCAGCTCTCTGGTGAATGGGAGAACATCCGCCCACCACGCTCCCGCGGGCGCTCGCGGAACCCCTTCTCAGGCCGTCCCCCGTGTGAGCCGAAGATGACGGAGTTAGACAACGGCGAGAGTAATCCGGCTAGGGCGCGTGCGAGCTGGAGTTGCTGGGCCTCATCAAAGAGGTGGAATAGCGAGGAAGCATGAATTGCGGAGACCTGCCCGAGGAGGGGCGTGAGGGTCGTCAGGGAAGGAAAATGTGGGGCGGGTGTGCTCGGGGGTGTGGAAAAGGGCGGGGAAGGAGCAAGGAAGGTGGGGGAGAAGATGTCTCCGGGGACAAATGGAACAGGGAATGTCTCTGAGGAGGAGTTGAAGAGACGATGACCGAGTTTCCAGAAGTCTGGTGAGGGCGCCATTCATATTCTATCCATAACGTGAAAATGAATATAAATACCGGCTTCGAGGTCAGATGCAATGGCATTATGAATCGGAAAGCCATCGGAAATCGCCTTCCTGATATCATTACCAACTGTAACGACTAGATCAGGCCAACTCGGGAAGAAAGTTGGGAGTTACCGACAGCAACAACCGATGTCAAGGAAGATTGCTCCCTCACGCTCCTTGCCGAGCTTCAAAAGCTGGTAGTACGCAGGCAAGCGCGAGATCTTCAGCCTGTATATTGACCGTTTTGTTCCGGCGGCAATCAATGAGTCGAGAAGTTGACGACACGCACTTGACAAAGTTGAAGTTCTGGATGCACGAATACGGAAACACCTGCCACAAAGATACGCTGTGGATTCCCATACGTGGTACGCGCAGCTGTGAGAGCCTCACCTTGAATGCTTCTTTCTGGACTTCGAGTACGTGTCGGTTCAACTCGTCTTGGTTGACGATACCGGTCTGAGATTTTAAGAAATCCAGCTCCTCCTCGTCCAGGGTCGCAAAACGCTCCTCGAGCGCTGCGGCCAGCTGATCGTCGCTGTCTGTCACGGACATTGTTCAGCAAATTGCGAATTGATCAAGCAGATGCAATAGATCAGATGAGAGGACAGACACGGTTCTCGCTCGCTTTGAGGCGCCTGCGGTGTATTATCGGGATCATACATCACGTGGGTCGCGTCGCGGAGCAGGCGGGCCGGGAGATAACCGGGAGACGCGTCCTGCGGCCTTCCGCCGCCACCTTCTCCCAAGTCCCACTGTGCTCTCTCACCCTGCGACGTATATATCGCCCTCTCAGTGAACCGGAGGCTCCTCGCGCATCGCTTCTCAGCTGCGCAACGGCGATATAATGGCGGCGAAGATCCCATACTTCACGTTCAACAATGGTGTCAAGGTGCCCTCGGTCGGCATGGGGTGAGTCCCGATTTGAGGATATGGGTGGGTGCTGAGTGCTGAGTGTACACCGTGTGGATAGGTGCTGGATGGGCTCGCCGGGCGGCGGCGAGAGGGTGGAGGTGATGTGCAAGAGTGCCCTCAAGGTAACTACTAGCATACTTCGACGCGTTCGAACACGAGCTGACGTCGCACGCGCAGTACGGCTATCGCCATTTGGATACTGTGCGTGTTTTTATCAACCTTCGCTCAGATGTCATGTATGCACTTCTGACTGTCGCTATCGTAGGCTTACGGATACGGTCAGTCGGAAAGCCGTCTGCTCTTAAGCATGGACCGACAAGCACTTTCGTGCAGGCAATGAAGAGCACGTCGGGAAAGCGATCCGCGAGTCGGGAGTGCCGCGCGAGGAGATCTTCCTCACAACAAAGCTTCCGTGCGTACTGATTGATGACCCTTCATGATCGGACTCCCATGCGATGATCTGCACCCAGGAACAAGCACCATCACCGTGTTCGCGAGTCATTCGAAGAGTCGCTCAAGGCGCTTGATTGCGGATATATTGACCTCTATCTCATGCACTGGCCGCAGACAGACACTGAAACTGGTCTGAATGCCTCCTGTTTCGCATAATTGGTCATGTCTAACCTATTGCCAGGCGAGCACGTGCCCTACGGAGAGGAGCCCACCTTCATCGAGACATGGAAGGAGATAGAGAAACTCCTGGCAACCGGTACGCATCGCTCCATCGCTCTCCTTCGTCGCCTCACAATGTCCGCTCCACTTTCATAGGCAAAGTGAAATCTATCGGCGTCTCCAACTTCTCTATCAAGACGCTCAACGACTTGCTTCCGCACTGCTCGGTCGTCCCGGTGACGAACCAGGTCGAAATACACCCTTGCCTCCCCTCCTTCGAGCTGCAGAAGTTCTGCGAGGATAAGGGCATCCTCCTCACTGCTTATTCGCCCCTCGGTGAGCACCATTCTCCCCGCGTGAGCTATTCTTAACATGGTCTGCATGCTAAGGCCGCCCAATACCCGGCCAGGACAAGCCGGTGCTCTTCAACGATCCCGGCGTCGTGGGTATCGCGGAGCGGCTCGGCGCATTGCCCGCGCAGGTGCTCATCAGCTGGTGCGTGCAGCGTGAGATCATCGTCATCCCCAAGAGCGAGAGCGTCGAGCGGATGAAGGCGAACATTACCGTACGCGCTCTGGCTTCCTCTTCGCGACACCTTGACTGACGCCGATGCAGCTGGTCGAGCTGACCGAGGAAGATATGGCAGTCCTCGGTGAGATCTACAAGCGACCCGGGATGCAAAAGTCGCTACTTGCGTACCATAACTACACGGACGACGGGCTGGTCTTTGGTTGGACGTACGAGCAGCTAGGATGGAATATGAAGAAGGGCGGGATTTGTGTTGATTGAAGGCCTTCGCTGGCCCGTACAAAAATTGTTGTGCACGTACTCCCCCGCATGTAAACCTTATCGTTTCGCCTAGCCTAGAATCCCACGATTTCCTTCAAATTCACGCGCTTGATAATTGAACTTTCAACGTGTGGCCCCGATAACAATCAAACTGTCACGGCCAATTGAGCGGATTCCATAAGTAATGGTTCGGTTCGTTCCATTTTTGCTGGCTGGAACTGAACTCAGCCGGGTAACTGTCACGCTCAGATCTTTAGATCGAGACCCCGACCACCTCCATCTTCAATATCGAGATGACCGATCTTGTTTGCCAGATTGGCATCGATCCGATGTGAACGCTACTTTGTCCGAGCTTGCTTCTTTTTTTTTTGGTTGTTACGCCTTCACGCGCTGCCACGCCACGCTCGTTTGCCCCTTCCCAAAGTGGTTCCGTATGTGCTCGACGGAAGACCGATGACCTCCGCTGCTGCCCCTTCTGCCGCCGAACTGGAGGACCAATACCGCTCATGGCTCCAGGCAACTCTGTCACCAGACGGGCGGGCATTCATGGAGAAGAGACGCGCCTTTGTCAACGTGAACAAGCTCAAAGAGGCTGCATCGGAGGCTCTGAGGGATACGTGCACCGGGGTGTACTTTGTTGGACAGGGTATGTGCGTGCGAGCTTTATTATGATGAAGAACGTCGAGCCAATCGGGCGCTTCGATCGTGTGCAGGCGGGTTCAACCTGGCATGTCTCTTATCTCTCTGTACGTAGAGTCGGATCGCTGAAGTGATGTCTGTGATGGAAGATATACATCCTCACCTTCGAACACGTGCCTCACGTCGTAGCCCGCGTGAATGGAGCCTACCACGAACAAGATAAGGAGCAAACCGACGAGCTGGTCGCTCATAGGATCTCATCCGAGGTGCGCTATCTAATTCGGCTCACCACTACACAGAAAGGTCCATATATGCGCATATTAAAAGGCAGCAACGCTCGGGTACGTACGCCGACACACCACCATTCCAGTAGCGAAGGTCTTCGCCGTGCAGACAGACCCACGGAACCCGGTAAACGCGCGCTACACTCTCCAAGAACGGGTACGTTCATAGTCACCATCATTGCTGCATCTGTCACTGTCTTCCTCTCCCACAGATCTTCGGCCGCAGCCTCCTCGACATCTGGCATACACTCACCGCACCTCAACGCACCGCGGTCATATCTCAAATCGCCCAGATCGAATCCAAGCTGCACCAGACCCGTTTCCCCGCCATCGGAAGTCTTCGAAAACAAGCGGACGGCGAGATTTCGGTCGGCCCACTCGGCCTTTCCTGCACGCATGCCTACCATTTGCGCCGCGACCGCGGCCCGTGGACCTCCTCGATGGACTGGCTTAGGGCGTACACAGTAGCCGAGCTGGACTTGCTAGAGAGCGCCCCAGACGAATGGGCCGCCCTCCGCCGACGTGCACGTCTGCACAACGGCGACGCAGAGACTGGAGCGGAGCCCTGCACGCACCTCGCCTATTTTCGAACGTATTTCCGCCTTCTTCTCGACGCGCTAGATACCCTGGCGGCGGTGCTACCCAAAGAAGAGTATGATCCTCCGCAGATGCCGTTCGTCCTCTTCCACGAGGATCTCTCGATGTCCAACATCATGGTCGCGTACGACGACCCCGCCCGCGTCGTTGGCGTCGTCGATTGGGAGGGCGCGTGCGTGGTGCCGCTCTGGGCATGCTTTGGCGAGGACCATCTCCTCGATGCCGACGATGACGATGATGCCGTGGTGTCTCTGCGCCTGGCACGGGACCGCATACACGAGGAAATGGAGCCGAAAGTCACCAAGGCGAAGGCACCCAGGTTCCCATTGCATCATCTGTATTTCGTCGTCTCGTCCTGGGGGTCGATGGCGTGGAGCATCGAGACATCATGGGATTGTGTTAGGACAATGCTCGCCCAGTGTCCCGAGAAGTACGCGCTGCCATTCGGCAAGCTGCTTCAGTTCATAGATTCTTGCCAGATTCATGCATTGGGATAACATTTTGAGTGTTGTTTATGTGGCTCATGAATGCCAAAACCACCTTCGGCATTAAGGGTCACAGTCTATATCAGTGCCACAAGAGGGTAGTTACTCGAGCCAGACAGAATTGTGCATCGAAATTGCATCTCATAAGGTATTAGTTGAGATATGTCCGAACGTAATGCGTGGTTGCTTGTTGGGCATGTCAAGACCAAGGGCCAGGTGGGTGTTGAGATTGCCACAATGCATCGGGCTAAAAAGAAGAGCTCTTGCCAGGGTTCGAACCTGGGTTCTGGGAATTTCCGATTTTGTCAAAATCCCAAGTGATGAACCACTACACTACAAGAGCGTTGGCGAACGATCCTGCTTATCACTTTATCGAAACAATTGGATACAAATGTCTTAACGCTGTCGCGGGAGAAGATTCCACTCGTCGCTATGTATCGTACGATTAGAGCGCATCGCAATATAGCGTATAGTACATTGTCCCCATAAAGATATACACCGTTCGCAACTAGTATCCTGACGGTCGTGCGCCCGTCCTCGATGTATCGTACGCACGGATAACTCTCGTCTGGTCTTGCCGCGCAGCATTTTCTGTTTGGCTGAACGCGAACCCTCTGTTCCGCCGCATGCGCTGTACCGCGCGCACTTTCTTGATCGCCTTTTGAAACCTGCAAGCACCGAACCCATGAGAGAATGCGGGGAGTCCGAGACCACACCGACGTACTGCTCTTGCCGCGGACGATAGTCAGGGATGTTGTATTTCTGAATCTCCTGAGCAATGTGATAGGTCTGCGGATTATACGTTCGGCGATAGCTGCAAATCACGTCAATCACTGGTCCCGCCGTGAACCATCGAGGACTTACTATTTCCAAACAAAGTCTCTCGTGAGGCAAAAGATAGGTATCAGGATCAGCATGAAATAAAAGGCTGCATCGCTCCATAGACGAGGCACCAGGCCATAGTACTCTGTTGAAAACCCGATCGCTGGAGCAACGACAGCGTAAATCGGCAGGAAGACCATCGCGAACACAAATGATCCAGGAATAGCTGTTGAGATACCCTATGAGCGACCATCAGCTACGCCGAGTCAGGCTCTTACCAGCAACAGTGTATTTCGTCCACAAACTGCACCAACGTCAGTAACAAGCACCTGAGACGTGCTGAACCACGCACTCGGATATTAGGGCAGCCTTGCCAAGTACGGTAAGCAGGACTGCGAGATACAGCGCCGTTCCCCAGAACCAATGACCGGAGTCATAACCCGTCGATTGTTTGAGATCTCCCCAGAAAAGGATCACCGAAAAGCCGAACAGGACCTAGAGTTGGCATGTGCATCAGGATGATCACGTCGAACGGACCGCCATGTACTCACTATGCTATGGTAGAACGCATTGGCTATCCACAGCCAGAACGCAGTCTTCGTGAAGAACACGTTCTTCTGTCCGAGCATGTACAGCTGTGGATAACGATCGAGAATCCGAGCCGAGACGAACTGGTCAAAGATGCCAATAACGAATGGCGGCAGCAGAGTGAAGACGACGTTGTACATGGACAGCGTCCATGACTCGTAGATACTCTCGCCGGAGAAGCTATTGAAGAACGAGTACTGGAAAAGACGTGAGCGATACGTTCTTACACAGAGTTGAACGAGCATACCCAAAATTGCGTCATATAGAGCACGATGTTCTTGTAGAAAGAATCTGGAGGTATGCTCAGCGAAGGGGCATTCATGTGACCGGGAATGTGACTCACAAAGCAGCAGTTTCGACAGCCGTTGATAACTCCAAGCGCCATGCACAAGCAACAACTTCTTCAAATGTCGGAATTGTGAGATAGCGACATCCGCAGATCGAGCAGCTTGCAAACCCTAAGATCGAGTCAGAAGGCACCATCGACCGCAAGCAACGTTACTCACCTCCAGACCCGATATGCCGACGCCGACGTGCGCAGCTTGGATCATGCTCACGTCATTCGCACCGTCTCCAATTGCAAGCAGGATCGATTTCTGGTTCTTCTTCACCAACTTGACGACTTGCGCCTTTTGAAGTGGCGAGACACGGCCTGATCAAATGCGTGTTGGTACAGCAGAAGAAACACCGTTACGATTGTCGCTTACAACAGATCACAGCTTTGCACATCAGAGCAAGCTCCAGGAACGCAAGGGCGATTTCCTTTTCCAGTGCGAATCCGAGACTCTTGCCGTCTAGACAAATGTCAGAGCAACGCCAACGTTCTGAAGAATTGGCGAACCGATGATTAGCGCAAGATCCTCCAACTCGCCCGGTTCGCCGGTGCTGCGCTGGTTCTTAATCGCGGACAGGCGCTTCGTGATGAATTCCTGCGTCTCGAGCATCGTTTCCTCATTCACAATAATCTGCAATGCTACTCAGAATGTAAAGAATGTCCTGGAGGAATCTAGCTCACCAAGTTCATAGACTCAGAAATAAGCCTACATGACATACCGATGTTGATGGCCGTCTCTTGCCGATCGCCAGTGAGGACCCAGACCTATACAACACACTAATATGAGCTCTACATCTTCACGCACCATCCATGCGACGCTACCTTGATCCCCGCCATCTGCAGTGTATGGATCGTATCTGGCACGCCGTCCTGCAGTTTATCCTCGATCGCGGTCGCGCCTAGCAGAAACAAATCCTTTTCAATCAGCTCGGCGGCCTTATCCAGTGCCTCGCCTCGTCCGTTGATCGTCGTGGCCGCCTGCTCGTAGATCGTAACCCAATCGCGGTACTCGGCCTCGGGAATGTCCCGGAATGCAATGCAGAGCGTACGCAGGCCCTCCGTGGCATACTCCTGCATTTCACAGCATCTTCAGCGAACCGAACGTATCGACACGAGATGATAACTGACCTCGAGGTACATGAGCGTCTTCTCGGTGAACGGCTGCTTCTCGCTGAGACGTTCGAGAATGACCGTGTCCGCGCCCTTGCAGTACAGCTTGACTTTACCGTCCGGGCACCGCACGACAGTCGACATGCGCTTCCGCGTGGAGTTAAACTCGCACACGTTCAGGATCTGGTATTCGAGCGACTGCCCGTTCACGTTGACGAAAACCGACTTCGGCTTGCGGGTCTACGACAATTTAGCATCCATCCGTCACTGTCATATATCGCCAGCGAAACCTACATGAAATTGGTATCCGAGCAGCTCCGCGCCGGCAACGAGTGCAGCCTCGTCAGGGCTACTCGCCTGGTAGCGCATCTTGCCGTCAACGATCTCCGGAATTACCGTGTGGCATACGGCAAGTAGCGTCAAGAACTCGTTCACGACCGCCTGGTCACCGCTGTTATCCGCCTTCACGTCCGAAAACGGATTCTCGCTGTGCCCCAGTAGCGCCCTCATCTCTGCAAATGACCTCCAGCCGTCCTTCCCATCTTCGGCGTCGCCCCTTTTGCTCTCCTCGACGACATCCGCATATGCGACGCCGCCGATGGTGCAGAACCGAAACTCCATCTCATTACGAGTCAAGGTACCGGTCTTGTCGCTGAACACGTACTCAATCTGCCCGAGCTCCTCCACCAGAGACGAGGTTCGGCACAGAGCCGGCGTGTCTGTCTTGGCATAATACATGTCCAGATCCGAGTTGATGAGTTGCGCCTGTTGGAACTTGACGATCTCCATTGTTACAATGAGTGAGATCGGGATGAGATTGTTGTACAGGATGATGAAGGTGAGAATGTCTGCGGGCGGCGTGGGTGGGCATCAGGAGAGAAACGAACAAGGCACATACCTTCCACGAACTGCTTTGCTGTAAAGCTAGTATGAGGATCTAGCCACTTCAGACGATGGAGGTCAACACCCACCTCGACCACCGAGCGAAGACGTCTGGTAGAGATACCACTCCTTGTCCGAGTAGAACCACTACAACTAATCAGCATATGCGCATGTCGAAGAAACACTCGCCACTTACTGTCCTAATGCTGCTGCCGATCGTCGATCCCAAAGACAATGCGACCAGGAACATAAACAGAAAGATGATATGTACGTTCACCTGTCGCTCCACTGCCGTCCTCTTGATCGGCGCTGCTCTAGACATGGGCCCGATTAGCCACCACTCACACCGACAACACACGCCTTACGTTGCGTTCCGCATCAGCTTCGTCTCGTGTCCCGTGAAGACGACGAGTCCATATGCCCACGGCGTGTTCCGCATCTGTGCTCCGCGGAGCAGCAGCTGATCAGGGCCTAGTGGCACCTGTTTCGGCAGTGCGTCGTTCGTCGTCAGCTCGAGTGTCCCCTCGTACGTGTACAGAGAGTTGTTCGGGTGCTCCGAGCGCAATTTTCCATAAAGCGCAGTGACGAGGTGCGGAGCGGTGAGGTGCGCCGTCTGCGGGGATGCCTGCTTGATCTTGAGGTTCGTCTCGCTGTGAAGGACGCGTTAGGGGGCGGTGAGCGCGTAATCATCAGGCGCACACACCCATCAAGGTTGGAGGTCTCGATGTAGCAGAAGCCTTCTGGTTCGCTCGAGCTGAGCAGTATCAGGTCGGCAGGGATGGGGTCATCGCTCTCGATCCGAATGACATCGCCGACCGCGATATGTTTCCACTTCTTGTTCACGAACGTGCCCTCGGCCGTGAGCACCTTGGCAGTACGGGAGTTTAATTCTGAATCCGATTGATGCCGTTTCTGTCGCGATTATGGTGAGCGAGTCACATGCATCAGAGTAAGAGAGACTTGAATCGTGAGATAGTAGTTCGTCGACACAGGCGGTGGTGTATCGGTCAGGTACTAAATTCCATAAGCTTCAACATGCTCGCAGAATTTCGATACGGTCCAACTCCCAATCAAATGAGGCCAAAGGTCGGAATTCGTGAACGCGCGGGCTCGGCGCCAACAGATCATTATATTAGGAGGAACTCATTTCGTGCTCCCGCTGGGGAGTAGAAAGCGCTGCGCTCTTCATTCGCAAACAGAAATGGACTATGACTTCTGATACCCGTCAATGGGATTCACCCAGATTGAGGAGGCTGGATCCGCCAATAACAGTACAGAATAGAGGCCTCGTGTGGACTCACTATGTCTTCCTGGGTTTCCTTGAATGCGGACGCGAGGATGACCGCCGACAGAGGCGCAATGGTTGTCCACCGATTTGTAGGAGATACATTCGGAATCTGCTGTATAAGCGCGGTGAACAGGAAGAACAGATTGGCGTATTTTGAGAATTGCTCTGGGTGGTTGTCAGATTGGTAGAACCCTAGCGCACGACGTGCTCACCGAAGAGGAACTTGGGTACGAATGTGACGAGGTTGTACTTGCTGGTGGAGACATAGTTGTTTCCAAAGTCCGAATTCATGATGGGGTTATTGAGGACAACAAGCCGTTCGCCGGTGAGGACCCGGTCGCGCTTGTCCCACGGCCATCTCCACCGCTTGACGAACGACATAGACGGCCGCCTCCATCGGCGTGAAGAAGACCCAGAAGCAGAAGAAGAGGCTGGTGGTCGTGATAGTCCAGACGGTTGCTGCTCGTCGTCGTCCAGCCAGTCCGGTTGGATGGTGCCAGTGAGTGTGACCTGCGAGCTCCCTAGGCCGGCGGGCGGTGCACCGGCGCGCGCAAGCGGTATGCCGCTCTCCTGCGAGCGCATGGCAGCGGTCACGTTGCCAAAGGCTGACGAGGGCACATCCTCTTCGTCCTCCTCGTCGAAGAAGGGGTCCAGTGGCTGATTCGCATTTGGTGGAGACGATGTCGGCGGGTAGCCATTGTTGGCGGGTTGGTAGCGGGTGGCAGGATTCGCCTGCGAGACAAGGCGAATGAAGTCGTCGCTCATCGTATCCAGCGATGAGCGGGCCTAGTGCGACGGTGAGGAGAGAACAGACGAAGTTGCAGAGCCGCGCACAGCGACTGACGCTGCCTATGATCAGACAGACGCCCGCTGCGATGCCCAAGCGATGCCAATGGAAATGTCCAGCCACGTGTGGACTCGGACTCCTCGGGCGCACTCAAGTCTGCCTCAATCGCACTCTCGCTGGGCGACCTGGCATCATGTACCTCCTGCAGTTAGACATGCACCGACGAACGTAGCTCACGTCCTGCACTGAATGCCGTTCTATCGAGACATTACATTCATATCAGCATTCATTCACGAAAATATCTTTCTGGACCTTGCTGCCCGACATGCACCTACGAAACACCCAACAGCAGATGCATCACCGCGTTCTGAGCGGCTGATGGGTATCTCTGCTCTCGGTATCCACATATATCTCGGCAGTTCGCTGCATACAAGTGCTTCTAGCTAAGAAGCGGCACCGTCGGCCAACACCACAGTAGGCATCACCCATCGTATCAGTCGACCTTCAATGTGTTATTCTGTGTCTTTGTCTTGTATACACGATGTCGGATCTCAGCGCATACATTTCTCGCTAGGCCATCGTGACAGGTGGCACGCCAGCCATCGCGTTGAACGACGTCCCAGCCAGATTCGCGCTGCTCGCTTCTCCTCCAGCGCATCGAGAAGGCCAGGCACGCGATCGCAGTGCCGGGAGACGTCTCGCTGGAGCCGTACATCGTGGCTGCTTTTGTGCTGCATGCTAGGCTGTCTCCGCCATTGTCGACGACCTCGACTGTCTCGTCTCTATCGACAATTGTGGCGATATGCTGTAAACATGTCCCAGCGCGCATAGTCAGGCACTGAGGCCGCGGTGGGAGATTGATTGGTGAGTCCCTCTTTGATGAACTGCAGAACCTCAACAGCCTCATGCTCGCCGCCAGCTGTATCCTCGGGTGCGGGGAGCAATTTGAGGGTTCGCGTGGACGCTCGCTGGTTGAAATGAATCCATTCGCGCTGCCTCGTAGACATTCTGGGGATGTCGGCGCTCAGCGCATCGAGATCCGCCGTTCGCGGGTTTACGCAGGCCTATTGTACGTCCTCGCCGCCTCGACGTGCAAAAAGACCGCCTATCCACAATCTAGCCGCTGATCTGGTGCCGTAAAGATTGAGCTAAACAGCTGCGCGCCAGGAAACGACCTGACGTCTGTAAGTACGCGCGCATGGCTCCTTTTTCCGCGGCGCTCATTGTATACTACGCCAGACTTCCACCTTGACGACGCAATCAACGGCCGCATGTCATGCTGATTAGCTCTCCAGGCTTATCCGACGCTCAGGTGGTAGGCCTTTCTCTGAACGCGCCCGATGCACAGCCGGACGCCGTCGCCAGTATCGTGTCCTGTCTGGTCAAGCCGAGATCGAGCTTTATCACCGATGAGCAGACACCTTGCACAAGACACGGCGACTACCGATATGTATTTGCGGGCCAGTCTACCCAACATCAATGGTGGTCTGTAGTATGATGGGGGAGATGCCGAGTCTGCTGGGCAACCAAAATATCGAGCGCAACAATATTGTCAGGCGCGCTACTCGCGACTGAGGCGTGGGAATACAGCAGATCTCCGCCCTTGCCGGTAAGCGCCCGATGCACTCTTCCTCTAAACTCGTTCAGCTTTGTTCTGATGCTTGAAATAGGAGATCAGAATGACAACACTACATACATAATCTGGGGCACGTTTGGAAGAACGACAAGTCTGACTGAAGGTCTCCCGAGTGAGGTATTCGCTTGGAAATATGTCCTGAGGCTGTAACGAGGACAAACGGAAGCCCAACTATGGTCGTTTTCCTCGCTCGTCCCATGTGGTTTCTGGACCGCTCCTGATGCCCGATACCAAGTGCGTACTTTCTGTGTGACAGCCACGCAAGACGTCGAGCTCCGCAACGGAGACGGCGCGTTAGGTGTGACAGTGCAGGACGACAGCGAAATATGCCATCTTTACGTGTCGCTATATATGCTTAGTTCCTTCCTCGGCATTCAAGCATGCAGCGGCGTCTGATGTCAACGCGGGACGCCCAAAACGCATTCCACGCATCTAGCCGAACCTCATGGTCGGCTAACATTCCTCTGCAAAGCATAAAAGTGTCGTATGACACGCATGATCGCCCAAGCTCCCGGCTCTCCTACTTGTTCCATTGTGAACGTACACCCTACTCTATGTCGGAGCAGAACACGTTCGCGCCCCGAGTGGCGATAGTGACCGGCGCGGCGCAGGGCATTGGCGAGGCCATCGCACTCCGCCTCGCAGATGACGGGCTCGACATCGCTGTGAACGACATCGAGTCCAAGAGAGAACAACTCGCGTCGCTCGTCCAGCGCATCGAGGCGAAGGGAAGGCGAGCCATCTCGATAACTGGGGATGTCGCTTCTGAGCAGGACGTCGTCGCAATCGTCGAGGAGACCGTTAAGGTCCTCGGTGCGCTTGACGTGGTATGTGCATTGAGAGACCTTATTACCACATGACTGGAATTTATGTAGATGGTCGCAAATGCGGGCATATCCCTGTTCAAGCCCATGTTCGACAGTACGTCCTACTTCTTCGTCTGGGCTCTCATATTCCGAAACCTGCCCAGCCACTGTCGAGGATATCGACCGAATCATGGCCATAAACGTGCGAGGAGTCATGCTCTGCTTCAAGCACGCAGCAGCGCACATGGTCAAACAAGGTCACGGCGGGAGACTTATCGGTAAATGCAATACACCGAGAGGCGCTCAGCAGGACGAAGTCTGACACGATTGGCAATGATCAGGCGCATGCTCTGGCTCGGGGAAGAAAGGTAGACCCCTTGTTCATTGTCTTCTGCCCAATCATTGACACTGCCACCAAGGAATCCCCAACATGTCGGCATACAGCGCTTCGAAGTTCGCAGTGCGCGGTCTCACGCAGGCTTGCGGTACGTCCTCACACCATTAACTCCTACAGCCGTATTGAGCACACTCACTTGCTCCCAGCTGGTGAACTGGCGCCGCACAAGATCACAGTGAACAGCTACGCACCAGGAAGTATCCTGACGCCTATGGGTATGCACGCTCCCGTCGTCTATCACAAAGCTCCAGAACTCACCGGCTATCAGTCCTCCACCCAGACGACGCTATTAACGGAGGACCAGCGTCCACAGCCAAGAAGGTAGGTCATCTCATACATCCCATACTTGGCTGACGACGCACAGGTAGCGGGCCTCCCGCTGAAAACCCCCGACGCAGAGCCGGATGTCATCGCCAGCCTCGTATCCTATCTCGTCAAGCCGGAATCATACTTCATCACTGGTAAGCAGGGGGCCGACCGGGCGGAATTGAAACTTGACATGCATCTGCAGGCCAATCTATCAATGTCAACGGCGGTCTGTTCTGCGATTGAAAGAGGAATGAAGTTCGGAAGGTTATCTCGTCCATGTGTATGTTTACAGGGTCATCTGCTAGTCGCCTCTGCAATGGTCGCATCTTTGCTTCGATGGGACACCCTTGTTCACTCGTAAGTTGCATTGAACCGCCAAAGAGGGCACGTTTGCGTGCTTGATATGTCACTCTGCAACGGAAAACAGATCGTCTGGCAATGCCACAGTACATAAAGCCCCGCGCAGCTTGGTATGTAAGCCCCTATGCACAATCCATCCACGAAGAAGTGCCAAGAGCAGTTGAATAGCTCACACTATCCCTCAAACACTCCCGGCCCGAGCTCAATCCCCAGATTGCGCTTTGCAAAGCCCCGCATGCTCCGCTCGAGCTCATCCTCAAAGCCCTCGCTTGTGAGCCCCATCTTGTGCCGCATCCACTGCCGCACCCTGTTTGCCCAAAACGCGAGATCGATCATGAATGTCGCGAGCAGGAACTTGAAGTAGTTCTTGTACTCCTTCAGGCGCTGTGCGAGTGTGAGGTTCGGCGACAAGGTGAGCGAGCGCGACGCCCAGGAGCCCGTGATGCGGATGCGATTCACGGGTGAGCCGAAGGATTGATTGTTTCCTATGAAGAGTGTCAGCTGTGTACTAACAGATATGACTCCAGGGTGCGATCACCTTGTACGATCCTGAGCGGGCGTGAATTAGTACGTGATACATCCGAGTCACAGCATTGGAGCGTACGCACCGCATATTCCGCCCAATGAATATGAGCGGCTTGGGTATCTTGTCGGTGTCCGTCAGGAAGCTCTTGAGCTTCTCTTTGAGGAGCATACTGCGCTCATACTCTGTCATCTCCTCCCAATCCTGCGCCTCCTGCTCTTGCCCGGCAAAGCGGACGGGTCGCATCAGCGTCGCGCTCGCAAACAGATCAGGAGCGCCAATGCCCCACTGCCCCGCGACGGCCTTCACCACGTCCAAATCGAGCGTCATGAGTCCCGTCCAGAGTGTCGCATACTGCTGCTGGAAGTCACGCGAGAGACGCACGTACAGGCCATGGTCGAGCAAGACGAACTGCGGGAGCGTTGGGTGTTGCGGGTGCGGGCGCACGATGATGTTCCCGGGGTGTGGGTCGCAGTGCACCCAGCCCCACTCGAAGATCTGCGCGCTGAAGAGCTCGACCATCGTTTGCATAATCGACGCAACGCCGCCGCGCAGCGTGCCAAAGCGCAATGGGACGTCCGTCTCGCCTTCGCCCTCGCCCATGAGGGCCCGGATGCCACGCCGGTCGCTCAGACGCACGCCGTCGATCCACTCGGCGACCATGACCTTCTTCGTGGAGAGATGGGGATAGACGCGCGGGATGTAGACCCTGTCGGACAGGCGCGGCTCGGAAGCCACGAACTCGGTGGTTTTGAGCGCGTTTCTAGCCTCCAACTCAAAATCGAGCTCACGCCGGAGGTGATCAGAGATGAAATCTATGTGGATGGGTTGCAGCAAACCGGCAGATCAGACGAGAAGCACGTACCAACAGTGAAATAGACGGGCATGTCGAAGAGGTACTTTTCGTAGATCCACATGACCGCCCTGAATGCACCCAAGTCCCATTCGACCTGCTTACTGACTTCCGGCTTTTGAATCTTAACCGCGACCCAGCTCCCACCATCGTCGGGCTTCAATTTAGCGCGATGGACTTGCGCTATGCTCGCGCTAGCTGCGGCCTGTTCTTCGAATATCTCGAAGATACCGTCTGGTCCTGCTGGCGGTCGGCCGAATTCGCGCTTGAAGACAGACTCCACGACACTATATGGCACCTGTGGAGCATCGTCAAATAGTTTTGAGAACTTCTCTTGCATCGGACGGGGCATCAACGCGGCGTTATTCGCGAATGCCTGTCCTGCGATGCTAACATATTAGGACTGAAGTTGCCATAGAGGGCGAGCACACGCACCTATCTTGATGTACAATCCGCCATTGGACGTGAATAAGTCGTACATTCGTTCTGCTACAAGCTGATGGAGAGCTGGTATGCTATCGCTCAATTCTGGCTTGAAGTACATCTTGTAATCTATTGCAATCATCGCACACTGAACGTAACTGGATGAGCATGAGAGATGCATGATCAAGGCGGTGTATGGCAGAAGGTCGACCCTAGTTTCGCGAACTTTTACACAGATCGTTACTCACCGTCCAGAATGTCCTGATATTCCTCGCTATCGCGGACGCGTTGTACTCCCTGTCCAATGCCCAGAATGCAGCAACCCCGCCGGCGGTATACATCGTGCGACGGGCATATCGCTGTAGTCGAGGAAGTTTGGGTGTGACTGGCGGGACGGCGTGCGTAGAGCGAGTACAGTGGGGAAAGAATACGCGGTGGTGTCGTGTGCAGGTACGCGGCCCCCGCAAAGGGATAGAAAACATGAGGCGCATTAGAACAGGTACCACTGACAATGGCGTTGCTCGTCGAGCAGCAAGGCGGGAGCAGATAGATTATAAGTAATGCATCGTGATTGTGCTAAAGTCGAGAGGTGTGCGTGAGCGCGTCATGCTCGCGGCTTCTTGGCCGGGCGGCAATAACCGATCAGTGTAGTGGCGCTAAGCCGAGTTGCAGCCGCCCCTCGACTACGATGTCTGATTCTTTCACCGTAAACTGCCATATCCAAGGAGACAAGACAGTCGTGCGGAGGGATATTCAGTCGTCGACGAGTTACGATTGGTTCTATTATAGCGCAGTAATCCCGTTTTCGGATCATTCTAACCGTCGCGCGCGGACCGTCAATCTGTCCGGATTCAGACCTTCTTCCTCCTCCCCTTCCTTTCACGCGTATCGCCCTTTCTCACGCTGTTTCCCCACTCAACCGAATCGCTTTCACAATTGCAACGTTCTCTCCCGAAGTTCCGGCAAAGACAAGTTATGGCATCACAGGTAAGGTACTCGATCAGATACACGTTGCCATTGGACTGCTGAGAATTGATTGTGTACTTTCAGAGTGTCTCCTGTGGGTCCCATGCATAGCGCTTCACGCAATGCAGAGTGCGACTTGTATGATACCGCGAATAAGATAAGTTGCCTTCAAGACTGGCCTGGAACGGCCGCCCTTGTGCTCTTTCAATAAGCATTACTGCATTTCTGCAATACTTCATTCAGGGACTGTGCCAACGGAGGACGTTATGGACTCACAGATGCGTTGCCAGTCCCTATAAAATCAACAAGAGCGCAAAACATACGCATTCTGCTCTGTCATTTCCAGGGCAATCTTCATGGTCTCGGGACCGTGTTCGACACGGACACCATCAACCTGCGCATCATCGAGTCAACAGACCAAGAACAGGCCGGCACCATCGCCGAAGATGCCTTTGCAGACAGCAATAGCGTCTTACTTGGCTCGTCTCTTCATTTCGTCTCAACGGCAGATCATCGCATTTCATGAGCTCAAGCAACCGTCCAGCCAGACGATCGCCTGGGAAACCCACATTCTCGACTGCTGTTCAGACATCAACGGCCATCGTGTAGCTCGCTCTGCAGATCGTCTTGGAATTGTGCCATTCGTTGCTAATCAACTCGCATCTGTTGCCTCCCGCTGTGTCGGGAACATGCTGGCTTGTTCCACCGTCTTCGCGTCGCTTGTGGTTATCGCTAGTCATTAGTTATCGAGTCTGTCTTCCAGATCATGCGAATCATCCAGCAAGCGATTAATTAGCCCGGTTTGGTCTTTCAATCCGTCAGGTATCCAACTAGGTAGCAATCGAAACGACGCTGAGCCATACACTACAATAATATAACCAAGAGGCACCGGTAGATCCATACTACAACTTCATTAACCCCTTCATCGCATTCGCAACCGCGAAGCTGGACTTGGCCATGACCTGGCGCGACTCTTTCGTCACCTCTGGCAGTGCCTGCACTTCACTCAGTTTGTTTGCGTGCTCGCCGAGCTCCGCCAGGATCGCCTCGCCCTGCGTCGCTGACGCCGGCGGGAGATTGTCCTTACATACCGCGACAATGCTCGATACAATTGTGATGATCTGCGTCAAATTCTCGTTCAGTGTTGGCGAGGGCGTTGGGCTGCGCACGCCTGAGAGCACGCTCTGGATCGCGTATATTATGGACTCGGTCTGTGCTTCGAGATATGGCTATGAGCGCGGTCAGATGCAAGAGTCGGACAGAAACAAGTGCGTCGTGTGTACCTTCAGCTCCGTCCATGCATCCTCCAAGTTCTCCGTCGTCATCGACTCGTCGCTGTTCAGTGCTACGCCGATCCGACCGTTCGGTTGATCGAAGATCGGCGGAGGCGAGCTGGCCTCAGAGCTGGACAGGTTGGAGGGAGGACTTCGCCGTTGATCCAGCATTGAGAGGCCTGATGAGACATACGAAAAAGACTGTTGCCTTTCTGATGATGACAACACTTCGCTGCGCTTTGAACTAGCGCTCGCGCTGCTCCCTTCTCTCTGGTGGGCCGCCCTGATCTCGTCCACTGACCGCAAAGTGACACCAGCAACGCTCGGTCCAAGGTTGAACTGCTCCTGCTCGGCTTTCGTAGCCTTCCGTATGCAGACCGCTTTGCCAATCTCCGTGACGGTTAAGGAGACATGGCTCGCGGCAGCGTCGAGCAAACTAACAGGCGACATGCCGGAGCTCGTCGCATGCGTCTTTGTTGCGGTCACGAGATTGCTGAGTGTCGCGTCCGCGCGATCGCGCAGCGCTCGCAGCGCGTCCATGTCGATGTCTGCACGCTCGGAGGGCATACGGCACTCGAACGCCTTAACGTCGTCGATGATGGAGGCGACGGCATTTACGACGGCCTTCATCGGTGTAAGCACGCGTGTGGGCGAATTTGAGCGGCCAGCGGTGAGCAGACTGTCGACTGCGGATACGAATGCAGTTACGTGAATGTCGAGCAAACCGCCGTCTGGAGAAACGGGCAGTTGGTCGTCTATCTTTGGTGTTTGTAAGAATAGTTGCGATGTCGCTAGAACACGGTGCAAAGTCAGACGTGCTTTGAAAGTGAAGTGCTATGGAGATGGGTGACTTACCCTTGACACTCCTCAGCTCAGTCTTAGCTTGCTCGTACTTGCGCTTGTACCCCTTCAGCTGTGCGTCCAAATCTCGTATGACGGCAAGGTTGGAGTCTTTCGCAGTCATCAAGTTATCATTACGGTGCGATAGGTCGGTGAGCTCGACCATGAGCGCCTCCATGTCGGAGCGCAGCTGATCCAATATCTCACTGTTGCCCTGCAAGAATACTCAATGTGGCAATACGCCGCAGACGATGCGGAGCGTACCTGTCCTGCTTGAACGCGCTCGGATTCCAATCGCTCACACCGCTCCCGCAATACCTTTAGCTCTTCCTCGTCTTCTTGCGTCCGTTTCGCCTCCGCCTCTCGTCCCTTCGCCATTCCCTGACCTGACGCAGAGCCTCAGGTTCATGTTGCGGGGCGAGTATCGCTGCTGTCTTGACTTCCATGCGCTGCCCGATCCCGTGATATAGCGCATCAGAATGACGCATCAGCTCGCACACACCTGTTGCAATTCGCGCAGCTCCTCCTCGACATTTTGAACACGTTCTTCACCCGCAGTCCATCGCTTCTCACGTTGCTGCACATCCTCGAGATCTCGTTCAAGCATAGTGATGCGCTTTTGCATCGTCGCGACCTTATACTCGTAATCCCGCCGCATGCGCTCCTGCTCCTCCCCAGCCACGCTCGTCCGCCCATTCAATCCCCGCGCGGACCGGTCGGACGTGACCGACGCGCGACCAAAGGACATCTTATCGAAGTAGTCATCCCCACTCCGCGCTTCCTCCTCACCTTCAACCGCCTGCAGGCGCGCGCTGAGCCCACTGAGGCCGCGGCGCTCGTCGTCCTCGTCGTCACTGGCGTGCGTGCGGTCGTCCATTGCGGTACTCTCGCGCCCGTACGGCACCTCGATATCCTCCTCCGCGATGGTGCTCTTGTTCGGGATGATCATGCCCATACCAGCAGTGGCGCTCTGCGCATTCGATTCGCTGGACTCGCTCGGACGCCGACGGTCTTCTGAGCGTCGGGCGGTGGTATCCTGCGACGGACGTCTGCGGTCTCCCTGGCGGTACATGTCCTGCGACGGCCTTCTCCTTTGTGCATAGTCATCCTGGCTAGGCCGACGCCGGTTATAATTGTCTTCGCTCGGGCGCCTGGCAGAGGAAGGGCTCGGACCATAGCCACTATCGATGGCACGATCATCGGGAGCACGTAAGGCGCTGGGCAGAGCAGTGGTGGCCATGGGCTTGGAGCGGGGCGAGGTGGGAAAGTCGGGGGATGGATAGTCATCGTAGATCGAGCCGGGTGATTTGACATCCGCGCCAACGACAGACTGCGTTACAGTGAGAAATGCACAGCGTGAAAGCGAGAGCATACGCACATCTTCCTTAAATTCTGGATACCGCCGAGAGAGCTCGTAGTAGACGTCGCTGGACAGGTCTTTGAACCGTCCGGTGGGCAGCGTGGCGAGTTTCTGGCGAGCTTGGTTTCGCTTCGGATGGAAGTCGTCTCTGACAGGAAGAAATGGAACTGTACATAGGGCGCATGTAAGGGGTATTCGGTGTATAATAAGAAAACACACACTTTCGTTCTCAGTGGTGTTGTTCCGACGGCGCATGAGCTCATCGTAGACGTCGGTGGAGAGTTCCTGGAACTGTTGACGAGTGAGACGAGTGAGCTTCTGTCGGGCAGTCGAGCGAGAGTGGGCAGGTTCTACGAGCGGCGGGTGAGGACTTTCATTGGAGGTCGACCGCAACTGCGACGTACCCTTCGCAAGATAGCTAGCGAGGTACTTGCTGAGCTCCTCGAAGTGTGTGCGGGCGATGGAGTGCGAATCCAAAAGCTTTTCTGGAGGAGGGCTGTCGCGCGGCATAGGACGGTAAGAGTCTGTACGATAGTTGGATATCCCGGAGTAAGTGGTGTTGGTCGGCGAGGCAGCGCGAGAGGGTCCGGGGCGGTTCATCATTGTTGCCGACGGTTATGAAGAGAATAGTCAACCAAAGGAGTCCGGTTAGCCGTAAAAAGCAGCCCAGCACGACAAGTTGAGAAATGTGCAGGCCCTGCCTGCGGTGGCCCTGCCTGCGGCGGTGAACGCTGGTGATGGAAACGCATCACACACGTGTCTTCCCACACTGCGTGAAGCATCCATGCGAAAGATTGGGAAACCGTCGAAGGAGTTTAAATATCATCATTCTATTTTGTCTCAAATAACGCGAGAAATATCATTGAACGACCGTTTAGCTATGAGGATCAAAAGACAGGCCAAAGCTGAGTCAAATCATCAAAATCACAATTTCAGCCCTTTATAGCCCAATAAGGTAGTTAGGCCACCAGGAACTGCGTAACCGGAATGCGTTTGATGTAAGAGACGTTATAAAGGCTGATGTACAAGCAGAAACTATCTTGAACCAAAATCTAGCAATCATCATCACGCTACATCGCTGGGATCACCTGCTTCGGCAGCATGTTCCGGCTTAGGGGGCTGCAGGCCGTCTGAGCTTTCGCTCTTGGCGTTCTTCCACGCACGGGCCGCTTGCAAGAACTTGACCAACGTCGGGCTCGATTGGTACTCGCCGCCTTTGAACAACATATCATCAACTGCTCTAGATAGTGAGAAATGCTAAGGAACGGGAGCCAGGACGTCAGTGTACGTACCGTCCATGAATTGACCAGCCTCTTCGTCAAAACGCCATGTCGCATATGGTACAGGCATTATGGCTTCAACCTTAGCGACGTCTGCCGGCGTACCGCGCTCTTCTTCGAATGTTCTCCATACCAATAGCAGAGCTAGCTGCTAGAAGATTGTCAGCGAGAAGAGTACAGATGGAAACAAAATACGGACGAACATCTTGCTTCAAACCCTTCGACTTGAGATCTTTGTACCCTCGGTCGAATACGCGCCTTGCGAGGTCAACGTCCCCTTCGACCATCTCAGCCTCCGTCTCTCCCTCTTCATCCTCCTCCCTCGGCGCCGGCATCGGCTGTGCCTCAAACAAAGCGTATGATAGCCACACCTTTACGTGCCCGCTCAATGCCACAAGCCGCTCATACAGCGCCCTCGCCCGTTCCCGCTCTCCTCCTTCCACCTCGAGGTCAATGTACTTCTTCCAAATCAGCTCAGGCATCGGCACTGTCGATTGAGAAATGCCGAGTTCGAATATCGCGCGGGCACGGGCGTAGTCACCGAGTTGCGATTCGAGTTCAGCGAAATTTATCCATGCACTGGAGTTCGTAGGATCATACTGTATACAACGGTTTCGGGCTCAGAGCGCCGCGGAAAGAATGGACAAGGATTACCTCTATATATTTCTCGTAGAGTGTGCGTGCACGGTCGAATTCGCGGAGCTACAAATAGGCGGTTGGTCCGGATTGAATGGATAGTCAGAGGGTTGAAGGCTTACGTCTATTTCAAGCTTGATGTACCCCTTGAAGAGTGCCTCCTTAGGGCACATCCCGATTGCTGTCCCTAATATCTTCCTTGCTGCTCCTAGATCCATGCGGCGAACCTCGAATCGGGCGAAGAGAATCCAGAGCTTGGCGAACGTGAATTGTTTGTGCGGAACAAGTTTGAGCGCTGTTTGGTATATCTCGCGAGCCCGGGCGTAATCCTCACCAAAGGTCAGCTGGGAGAAACGCGGAAATGGAACTGATTCACCTTAGTTTCTATCTCCTCGAAGAGAGCATAGTTCAGCCACAGGTAGATGTAGTGTCGCCAATACTGCTTCTCGTTTCCAGGGGGAGTCTGAGCTATAGCTCGTTCGTAGACCTCTCGCACACGACCACATGCTTGCTCTATCTCCTCAGCGGTGGCATTCTCCTCTGGCAGATCTTGAAGGGCACCTTCCTCTAATCTTATGTAGTCAACCCATACGTCATAGTTTCGACCGTCGTGCGAAAGCTCTTCCTCGTACTGAATACGACGTTTGCCGAGGACAATCGCTTCGAGGGTAGCCCTTGTACCGTGCTGTTTCTCGAATTGCGTATACGCTGCGTAGAGCGCGTTTGACTTTGATCGTGGAAGGTACGATAAGGCCAGCTACAGACGACTCAGTAGCGAATCGCTAGGAAAATGATTGATTTACCTTATAAATAATACGAGCCCGTTTGTACTCTCTTTGCCGAGTCTCCATGTTTGCAAACGAATTGAATAAAGCTTGGGTCTTCTCAAGTTGCCCCTCTTCGTCTCCGAAGTACTCGACAGCAGTCTGGAATACCTTCCTTGCTTTGGTCAGGTTACCGCGTTCTTCCTCAAATTTGCCCCACTTGACCCACACACGGGGCTTTGGCCGGACTGCAACCCAGCGCTCATAAATTGCACTTGCCCGGTCATGTTCTTCGTACCGCTGCTCGAAGCTTATATATGCCTGCCATGCCTTGTCATCTGGCTGCCATTGCATCCATCTGTCGAACACCTGCCGTGCACCGGGTATATTTTGCAACAGCTCTTCAAGGTAGACATATCTGTACCACAGCTGGTCTACGCGGGGGAGAAGAGTGACAGCGCGGTCAAAGAGGTTGCGTGCGTGCTGGACGTTGCGAGATTTTAGCTCTATATCGGTATAGGTAAGCCACAGTTTCACATTTCGTGGATCGACATCCAACGCTCGCTCGAAAAGAGAACGGGCCCGAGAAAATTCGTTTTGGCTTGCTTCCCAGTTTCCGTACTGCAGCCATTCTTTCCTGTTGAAACGGTCACATCGTTGTCGGAGAGATAGAAGCAGGAAAACGTACATGTTCCCTCTGGTTTGTCTGATCCTCTTTTCGAACTCCTCGCGCTTTCTACATCGATACTCATGCAGCTCTTCGAAGTTCTCTACACGCTGTTGTGGGGGCCGGATTTGGGACTCGTGGTGTTCTTGGGCATCTCGGAGCAGTTGTTCGGCTGTTACTTGGACTGCTGCCCGTGCGCGATTCTTAATGCGAGGTGCTCTTTCATCTTGCATTCTGGAGAAGTGTAGGCCGATGATGTTGCGCTTCCTAATGGCTGCGGACGCTCCAAGTAAAGAATGTCACGCCGGTCACGGTGTGGGCCACAAAAATTATCTCGATGTTGCTTTCGCGGTTTGTAATGTGTTGAACGCGCGCTCTGCACCTAAAAATGGCTTCGACCTCCACTGCCAGTTCCTCGCAGTCGAGCCTGCCACCCTCTGCGTTCAACCCTCGTAGACACGTTGGCGTGCATGCAGAACGTGTCACGGACGTCTCAAGCACCGAATATCCTGGACATTATCCCGACGAAGACCATAGCTGGGATCTCGCCAAGTTCAAGGAGGTGAGCCTCTTGGTTTCAGTTTCATTTTATGAGGAGAGTGAAGGCAGAGAACAGAGGGACAATTTGGACGGAGCAGACTGGAAAGGCTCGGGATATAGCGAAAAAGCACACTCGCTGACTGGGATCTCGTTTAAATAGAATTTGCGGGTGGAGGTGAAGAGGCTTTCGCAACGCTCGATCGAGTTCGACCTTGTAGGCGTCGACGCATCGATTTCGAACGCGTTCCGGAGAATACTCATTGCTGAGGTACGCCTTTGCTTACATTCATCGCTCAGGCAGCTCATTTCACACTAGGTCCCGACAATAGCGATCGAGAATGTGTACGTGTGGAACAACACGTCCGTCATTCATGACGAGGTTCTCGCACATCGCATCGGTCTAGTTCCGCTCAATGTGGATCCAACACTGTTCGAGTTCCGGGATGAGAGCAACAGACAACCGACTGACAGAAATACCATCGTGTTCAAGTACGTCCTAGTTAGTTCTCACGTGGATTGAAATGCCAGCGTTCTTCGCTCACGCTGGCCCGTGTATAGACTGCAAGTAGAATGTCGAGTCGATACGGATACTCCAAAGGAGAAGGGCGCACCGAAACGGTATGTCAACGAGATTGTCAGGAGTGGCGATCTCGTATGGGTTCCTCAAGGCGAGCAGGAAGCTGTAATGAGCCATACCAAGCCAGGACCTACGAATAAGGCGAGCAGAGTTGCTCCTCGTCTCGCGTCCCTTTGATTTCTCAACGTCTCCCGCCAATATTTGTCCAATCCTTTCGACTTCCACTCTCCCGCTACTCTGCCTTGCCATGTTCTATTGTTCACACTGGCAGAACATTGTTCTGGCGAAACTTCGGCCAGGCCAGGAGATCGAGATGGACCTCCATGCGATCAAAGGTGTCGGCAAGGAACACGCAAAGTGGAGTCCAGTCGGTCAGTGCCTCCGCTTCCCCGCAGTCATCTCAAAGCTTACGTATGCGCTCATTCAACTATCAGCGACTGCTTCATACCGCCTGCATCCCCTCATTATACTGAAGCCTGATAAACCAGTCCCACCAGAGCACGCTCATAAGTTTGCGAAATGCTTCAGCCCGGGCGTCATTCAAGTCGGTCCTAACGGCGAGGTTCGTCCATGTACACCTAGTTACATGCCGAGCTGACATTGGTCACATTACACAGATCTCGGTTGACGAGCGCAGCCTGCGCAATGAGAGCATGTCGCGGGAGGTCCTCCGACACAAGGAGTTTGAGGGCTGCGTCGAGCTCAAACGGATACGAGACTGGTTCATCTGTAGGTGACGTCGTCGGTTGCTCGATTTCCCGTACACTTACCAGTTTTACAGTCAATGTCGAGTCAGAAGGCCCATACAAGCCTCAGGATTTGTTCGCCGAGTCGATCAAGGTGATGCGGCAAAAATTAACAAATATACGGCAGGCGGCTGAGGCGCTTTCCGCGGACGTGGACGGGGCGGGCGTACATCCGAATGGTGTCGCAACCGCCGATGGGGACGTCGAGATGGCTGGGGTTTGAATGGTTGCGAATTGTGGTATCGCATAGAGGATATGTTTGCCACACTCGTATCGATAGATGTCGCGCTCCTATATACTTCTCGTAGATGTTTAATGGCGAGGTATATTGTGCTGCGCATGGATTATTCGCTTATCATCGTGATCTTGGACGGAGTGCTACCAATGACATGATGCATATATGTGGCATGCCCGGGGACGACCGAGCTGCGCAGTACCAAGTAGTTGCAGACCTTAATCGCGCCAACGTCCTCTCTCCTTCTAACCATCCATCTGTTGTGCTCGTTCATTTGCTAGTCCATCTGCAGGACGTCCCCGCGGAACATGAGAATGTCACGCCGAGACACGCGTCATGCGGCCATCCATGCCCACATCCTCAGCCGGGACTGCATTACGCCTGCCTCCATCGTATGCAGCGAGAAGCGTCCTTCAGGACGGCTACCGAAGTGGTCTGAGTCTGGAGGTGTTCTTCCGAGGCCTCATCATAACGCGGGATCGTCAGTCATGTAGGTGCGGCGAATGTGGCGAGTCGGACTAAATTGGCAGCCATCAAGTGATGCTCATCGTGACTGCCTCTGACCATGCGAATCGTGCATGAAGGACTTCTCGCTTCGCTGGCGGCTGAGCTCGGCGCGTATATAAAAGGGCTGGTGGGAGGGGACAATGCAGCGTGCGGCCATCCCACCGTCCATTGCATTGCCACGACGGCATCTGTCCCCGCATCTCCCCGCTCGGCGACGATCAAATTGCTCTGGCCGCCGCGTATTTAGGGTGCTCGCGCACATCGGAGGACTCTGCAACGACTCAGCCTGAGGAATTCTGCGCTTTGCGAAGTGCTCTGGTACGGTCCAGCCACTCGAGTCGATCCGGCCACGCGCGTCTCTGACATTCTGACATTCTTCGCAGACTTGCACGTCCGCCGCCGCCCGAGTGCTGCCAGCCTCTCGTTCGTTTGACACCTCCGTCTTTTCAGCCAGCCTCATCTCCCTTCGTTCTCAACCTCCACCGCGTCCGCCGCGTACGTACCCCATTCGACGACGAAGACATTGCCGACAATGCTTGCGAACAAGTCTCGTTGGGCGCTCCTTTCGCTCTGCCTGCTCGTGGCATCTGGGCTTGGGGTTGGTGCACAGGACACTAGTTCGAGCGCGTCGGTTTCAGTAACAGGTACGTTTTTTCCCTTGTTTGCTGCCCTCTCCCAGAGGAGTCGAATGTCGGGTTGGGAGGTGAAAAGTTTGACCAGACGCGAGGGTGTAGCGCCGCCGTTCGCGTTAGGTTGGGGCGCTCTTGTTTATGGCCCTCACTCTGTGAGGCGTGCTCAATATGGTTGGGCACTTCCCGGATGTATACGCGCTCGTGCGTGTGTTCTCATCGGACGTTTGCGATCCTGTCATACAACATCTACCTCTACTCGCAACGCCGATTCGGGTGCTAACGAAGCTTTCCAGCGTCCTCATCGGCCGCCAGCTCTGGTACCACCGCTGTCGTATCCGCTACGTCAACAGTGTCAGGTTCAGGCACCAGCTCGAGCGTTTCGCTCCCCAGTTCGGGTGTGTATGAGAACGCGCTGCCTTTTACGGTTCGCCTGTGCTGACATGCTCTCTCCTGCCCTGCAGCCCCTCCCTCGGCGAGCGTCTCCCCTTCTGCGGACAGCAGCAGCGTCATCGCGAGCTCGACAGCGAGCGCAAGCGAAAACAGCAGTGGCATCGCCTCCTCGTCCGGGAGCGGCACGGCAAGCTCTGCAGGTACCTCGGTCTCGGTGTCCACGTCAGTGTCAGTCACGGTGTCATCCTCTGTCGTGCCCAATTCGAGTGGATCGGTGACCGCGTCTTCTGCATCTAGTTCCGTCTCTTCCGCGCCGGCATCTGTGCCATCCTCGACCACCGAAGTCATTGCCACCACCGAGACCGTCGCGGTGCCGACGTCCACGGTGGCTGCTGTTGGGTCTTCGACGGGCGTGACGACGCGCTCGCCGGTGGTATCGTACGCTACGGTTCAAGCTTCTGCGACCACATCGACGGAAACCGCTGCGGGAGCGACGGGATCAACGATATCGAAGTCGTCCAGTGCATACGGCCTTCATGAGCAAGCGAATGGGCTGGGGGTCATCGCCGCCATGGCTCTCGTCCCGCTTGCTTTGGCTGTACTCTAGGGTGATCAGCATACCCGGTTGGCCGTCTTTGTCCTGCAACCGATACCATTCACGGCCGCGCAACGCCCTTCACCTCAATGTTTCATTTTGTTTCGGCTCCTCGAAGCCCCCGCCGTTGTAAACGGACCTGTTACTTGTGGCCTGGCGTCGGGTAATGAGTTGTACTTGATGTATGTGTACGACGTATACCGACTGTCCTCGTTACGATGGGTATTGTACTTACGTTTGAAAACCATAATAATGTCTCTTCGGTCGTCATCATCGGTCTCGCGTCACATCGACGCCTCCGTCACGCAGAGCGGGCGTGAGATCCGGCAAGGGGGGCCGGCGCGTGGAATCGGAAAAGGCTATATTGAAAGGACGCGCCGCGGCCGGCAGTGGGCCTAAAAGGGATATATCGCTCACCGCCGCGGTCACAGCATCTGAGGGCGAGTGTGACTTGTGTGACATGATGGAGAACAAGGGGCGGCTGAGCAAGCAACGGACGTTGACCGTCGTCTAAATCCCTCCAAGCCGCCGCCGCCGCCCGCCACCGCGAACTCGCCATCCTCTCCTCCATCCTCCTTATATTCCTCCTCCCTTGCCTTGTCGCGGAAATCCTCCTTTGCTCGCGCGACGCCCACCACCTGCTCGCATTCACTCTCGCGCGGCTAGCATCACTCACAGTGGTGAACACACAACGCCACCTCCGCCGCCATGGGCAACTGTATCTCAGCCCAGGACCGCGAGGCTCTACAACGCTCGCAAGAGATCGACCGTCAGATCGAAGAGGATTCACGCAAGTTCAAGAAGGAATGCAAGATTCTCCTTCTCGGTTCGGGCGAGTCGGGCAAGAGCACCATCGTCAAGCAGATGAAGATCATTCATCAGGACGGGTACACAAAGCCAGAGCTCATGACTTTCCGCACCACTGTCTACCGCAACCTCCTCGAGAGCGCGCATAACGTCATCCTCGCCATGCGCAAGATCGGCGTCGACTGTGTTCAGCCAGAGAACCGCGCCCGCACGGAGCGTATTCTCGACTACGAGGTTCTTCCTGATCCGGGCTTTTACTTCTCTGAGGAGATGGCGCACGCAGTCTACGAGCTCTGGCAGGATCCCATCATCCCAGAGCTCATGGACCACAGCAGCGAGTTCTATCTCATGGACAGTGCAAGCTAGTGCGTGTGGTGTCTCCTGCTCTGCGCCACTCACTAATGTCGCGCAGCTTCTTCACAGAAGCCTTACGAATAGGGACGCCGGATTACGTACCTACCGAGACGGACGTACTACGCGCGCGAGCGAAGAGCACAGGGATTACAGAGACGAGATTCAGCCTAGGACCATTATCGTAAGTTTCTATCAATGCGTCATCAATAACTCTGTTCACTGGTGCAAGAATACACATGTTCGATGTTGGTGGGCAGCGGTCAGAACGAAAGAAGTGGATACATTGTTTCGAGAGCGTGACAAGCATCATCTTCTGCACGGCACTCAGTGAGTACGATCAGGTCCTGCTGGAAGAGCGTAAACAGGTGCGTCACCCTGCATATCTGCCGTTCCATCATTGTTGACGCCACCGGTAGAATCGGATGGCAGAGTCGCTGGTATTGTTTGATTCCGTGATCAATTCGCGATGGTTCCTGCGCACTTCGATCATCCTTTTCTTGAACAAGATCGACGTCTTCAAGGCAAAGCTTCCGAAGGTTCCTCTCGAGAAGTATTTCCCGGAGTATACAGGCGGGCCGGATATAAACAAGGCGGCAAAGTATATCCTGTGGAGGTTCATGCAGGCAAATCGGGCGCGATTAAGCGTCTATCCACAGTACGTTTTCGTTACGTATCAAACTACTGCAACTTTCTTTTGACGCATCTGCTCGCAAAGTGTGACACAAGCGACAGATACCGGCAATATTCGCATGGTGTTCGCTGCGGTCAAGGAGACGATCTTGCAAAATGCCTTGAAGGATTCCGGCATCTTGTGAGCCAGAAAAGCGAGTGCCAGAAACGTTGGTTATGTTGTTTGTGAGTGGTTTCTCTTTCCTGTATCTCTCCGTCATACGCCGAGGCCCAGCGTGCTGATTATTGGTTTGCACAGCTCTTCTGCGGTCTCAGAGTCTCATTTTCTGTATGCATGCACATCATCCCACATCCCCTGGACATCTCATATCATCTTCATATCATCTTCTCTCATCTTCCTCTCGTCGGCATCTTTGTCTCTGTGATCCTGGTTCTGGTCTCCCTCTCCCACTCTTATCTGCTCGTCATCGTGTCCCTTCGTTGCCCTTGCTCACGTTGCACGCCTTCTCTCCCGCACTATCGGCTGCTCGCCGGCCGCAGCCCTGGGCTCCTGGCGGTGGGCGCTAAGGATACGGCCTCAGGGTAGAGTATCATGCCTGTCTGTTGGACGCCTCACGTCAGCACGTCACCGCATTGCGCAGCTGCACATTCCTTGTTCTACTCGGTGCAGGCTTGACGTCTGCATAGAATGTCATGTCTTACGCGACACACGATCCCGTCTATGGCTGCGCAAGAAACTAGTCTGGTTCCGGTGGCAACGTTCAATAGCGCACTCAGCACGTTCGTGCACAATCCTTCGGTGTCGTTATGCGTCTCTTGATCAGTCGAAACGCAGCTACGTAACCCCTATCTATCGCCGTCGATCACTGGCGATTCATCGACACGTCAAGTCCACGGCTCTCGTCCCCACCACTTAGACATTCCTCGTGACTGTACATGATTATTTATATACCTCCCCCACCATCCCTGCGCCTGCATCTAGTTCACCACCTTCTAATGACCCTATCGTCCATGCCGCTCCTCGTCGTTTCGAACGTTCCCGGTATACCAAGGTTCCGCCGGACTTGACCAGCAGCGGAGGGCACGCCGGCGGAGCCTGACGATCTGATACCTCTGCGGGTCGCGTTTCCATGTATGCTACAGCCTAATAACCCGCCCGCACTGGTGTACCTGTGACAATAGCCTTGATGTCTAGCAGTGTTTGGATTGGAACGGAGCGCTGCCGGTGCTGGACTGTTCCTGGCTTTGATTATTCTTTCTGTCTGGTCTGGTCTGTACTCGCCGCCCGCGGAATGTAATTGTACTGTAGAGCATCGGATACTTAGCAGTCGACACGGTGCTAAGATTATGTGCGATTGTGGAGGATGTGACCTGATTGACTTCAGGTCTAAGGCGGTTGTGAGCTGCAGCTGCAGGCTCAAGTTTATTGCCAAACGCCATGACATTCAGGTAATGTCTGTATGCTTTGCTGCGACCGTTGAATGAAGACTGTTTACAGTATGTAGGAAACAGTGATATTGCCTGTACACTGGCCGTAGATCCGTGTGCGACGGAATCGCCCCCACTATTTGATACCGCTGCACAACATTGATGCACACCGTGCTCAGCGCTCATCCATGGGCAGCCCCATCATCTGCCACTCCGACTGCGCCTCCTCGTAGTATTTGCGAGTTATTCGCGCGTGCTTCTCGGAGCGAGGCATGAAGTTCACCTTGAACATCCGCGGTCCCGTGACGAAACCCTCAGTCCAGTTGTTGTCATCAGCAATGTCCGGTAAGAGCGGTTGCTTGGTCTCTGGGTCCAGCGGCGCGGAGATGTCGATGCCCCACAGCAGACGAGACAGCGTGATGAACAGCGAAGCCTCGGCGAGATGGCTGCCTTGACAGAATCTACGGCCCCAGCCGAAGACAAAACTGCAGGATTGTCATGAGCAAAGTGCATGCTGCGGCGTATTGATTGTACGCAACTGGTCGCGATTCTTCGAGTCTGGTCCTCCTGCCCATTGGGTAGGCTGGCCTTTCATGTAGAATCTATCGGGGTCAAACGCTGTCGGGTTTGGCCAGCGCTGCGGGTCCATGTGAATTGCCCATATATTTCCTATCACGGTTGCGCCTTTGGGAATGTGGTAGCCTTGGTAGACATCGTCCTCCTCTGCTTTATGAGGGACACCTGCGACATATGAGACGGGCTTATCGATAATAGTAGTCCACTTGACGTACCCGTGATGATCACTGGACGACGCCTGATTGACTCTTTGATGCACGCGACGAGGTACGGCAACTGCTCTTCATCCTCCCACTCGGGCATGCGGTCAGAGCCCACCACCTCATCGATCTCCTCGCATGCACACCGAAGGCAATGAGGGTGGCTTAGCATGAGCAGGATGAACGTCTGTATCGTGGCCGCGGTTGTGTCTGAACCAGCCTCGAGGAGTGAGCCCCCAGTGTACGTGATCATTTTGTCGCGCATCCATCCATCATCGGTTAGCCCATTTCCGGGCGCATGCTCGTGTCCAGCATCACTCCGGGCTCGCAAGTAATCATTGATGAAGCCGTGGCGTATGGTGCCTTTCCGTGCCGCAGCTCTGCTTTCTTCAAAGTATCCTCCCCAAAGTTTCATTTCCCTTGTGTACATGTCAGGCAACAGGCGATATGGAGAGCTGCGAAGGCTTACCATGCATGCATCCTCCTACCTTCTGCCCTCCATGGTGCGACTAAGTCAGGGAGAGCGCGGAGGATCGGAAAGGCATCGGCCCTTAAATGCGAAGTTACAGGCCAACTCTGCAAAGATTCAAAGGAACTGTCGCACTCACAAATACCTTCCAGGTTGTGAGACGCGAGTGAAATTATCCATGACGTCATAGATTTTATGGCTGAATCAACCATTAATTGTGGCGTCGTCATGAACGGGGGAATGCGCACGTACAGGTCCGGATTGTTGTATAGACGCGGAACACGTCGGCCGTATGAAATCTGAAGAACGAGGCTGGTAGTCTCCAAGACGCGTGGTAGTGAGTGGAGTCTCATTAAACAAAGTACAAATTTGCTCACATATCGTCTGACGATAGCAAACCAATGGCGCTCGGGAACTTCGTCGTTCGGTCCGTGCCGGTGATCTTCCACGACGCTTTGATTCCCATGCATGAGAAGATCATGAATCAAACTTCGCGACTCCAAATCCTGTAACCGCCGATATCGCTTGACTTGGTTGATGCCTAGGACGCCCTGTACACTCCTTCTGACTGTCTGAGGATCCAACGGTAGTCAGAATAGGCCGGCTTGGTGATGTCACACATTCCCCGTCGAAGAGGCGTACCTTCCATTCCTTATCGTATGGCAAGAACACCATACGCTGACCATCACTCATCAAATCAAAGGCAACATGCGGAGGCGCTCGGCTCGAATACTTTCCACTGCGGTTGGCCAATAGTTCGTTTGCAGCCTGAGCTGTATTGAGGACAATCACGTCCTGCGAGCCGAGGCGCAGGTAGACAACCTCTCCGTACTTCAAGGCCCATTCATGGAACTGATTCGACGTCAGTACGATGCATTGCCGGAATCGTCCAGACACACCTTCAAATATGACCTTAGAGGGTCGAATTGAAAGATATTGCCGACTAGAGGGAGTCTGCGCGGTCCTGGAGGGAGTCTGCGCGGTGTTCCCAAATCATGCTTGAGGAAGTAGACGACAGTTACCAGCACGATGAACAGGAAAAGTACTATGACGTCGAGCGAAATCATGGGGATTTTCTCGCAACAGTACTGCGAAATCAGAGGCCTTTTGACATACTTATAGCAAGCAGGTGTCGGCAACATGAGGCTTCGAAGCGGCATCCCTGATGAGTAAAACCAGCTCATGACACTAGTTTGATGATTATATAGTTTCTCCTGTTGGGCAACGTGATGTGCAGGAACCAGCCTTGCATCCGCAGCGACTCTAGAAGCCGATAATTACCAAGAGGATAGGACAGCGTGATCGCAATGGGTCGGTTTCGAAAGCAGGTCTGATGGAATGCTTGACTATATACCCCGAACGTCAACAGCACCAAGATAGTGGGAACCACATAGGATTCTATGACAGTTGGTGGCGCAGGACAGCTTAAGCATTCTGGCTAACGTGTTATCGAAAATAGACGCAGAGAGCATCACAAAATGTGAGCGGAAATGAAGACAATCGTTGAGTGCATCTGAGTGAGTATGCGCTTGCCGTGGAGTAATGATCGCACAACATCAAACGCGGTTCGTCGGTTAAGGTGATCCCACGCCATCCTTGGCGTTCGCACCCGAAGACATCCAGGCTTTATTCCACCGTCAAATACGGCTAGTTTAATGGGTACTTACCATCATGGAACCAATACGGTACTGACGATCCGTGCCTGCTTTCAGACGTAGCACGTCTCCTGGCCTGCCTTCATGCGATAACGAACGTGTTGATCGCGACCTTCTGGTGTAACTTCTAGAAGCTACTCAGGTCCGGCGAAGGCGTCGCTGTGCGTTTCAGCAAGTCAGATGCTCTGATGCCCACTGGAGTGTTGTCAGAACGAAGGAACCTTGCACCATAAAAGACGCAACGCATGGCAACCACAACGATGACAGCTCTTAGACAGACCGCAGTCCGGATAATATATAACGGACTTAATTGAAGAGCATCGCGATTATTCGAGGCTGAAGTGAATACCGGTTCGTCCATTTGGTTGAAATGCTTCGAGTTCGATCTAGATGCACACGGCCTGCGTTTAATATCAATAAATTGGAGGAGTCCTCCCGGGGCCTTGTTTCATACGCAGAACCGTATTGCTCTTACCAGGCACGTACAGGCGAAGATTGTTCATCATCCATAAGGATAGAGACGTGTGACAGCAGAAACAGAGTTGAAAGGCGTCCTCAGTAGCTTCCCTGCAGCATTACCACTGACCAGCGAGCAGATCACCGGGCAATGTCCAACTTGAAGTGAGTCTCGGGATGAGTACTGTCGGAGTAATTACGATTTTAAGCGCCAGCGAGCGCGTTTCAAGTCTAGATCTTATCAGATTGCCTGGAGTGGCTTAACGACTCGGAAAGGGTTTTCCATTCTCCTACCTGTTTTACCATCCGCGGCAGCATTTCGCGCATCATCCGCGTATGTTGTTGCTTTACGAAAAATGAACCCCTCGACCATCGTAGTGTCGTTCTGGCCATTTTGGTTGGAGTGACTGACGACGAGCGCTCTGCGGCAGCTTCCATGATTGTATGCTGCCGGAGCGCGATCAATCTGCGCTCCTTCTCTAACCGCTCTCGTCAATCAAGCGATGTTTGACTGTCAGTACTGCCCTTCGTTTCCCTTGATACCTGCCACAGCTGATATGTTCTGGCACGACCAGCGGTTGCAGCGTTCTTCTCCAAGTCGCTTGATCGACCCGATCATTCTACACTCTGGGGGCGTGCAGTAGAAACGGCTAAAGGTGCCACGCACGCAGCAGCAGATTACCTTTCGGAGCCCAAGGACAGCACAGACCTGACTCAGAAGGCTGGAAAGATATTCCATAACCTGAAAGAGTCAATCACGAATGTAGACGTGGATGATTTGTTTGGTAAAGTGAAGGATAGTACTTTAAAGGACAGAAACATGCCAGGTGCGTTGATTGCACTACATTGGACTGAGATTCGCATTGAATATGCGATCTGAATAGATCTCAATGATTGGCGTGAAAAGGGAGCGACTTTCGTAGACAGTGCAAGAGAGGCAGGAACGCGCGTGTTATCGGATTCTGCAGCGCATCTTAGGCAATTTGTCAAACACCCTTCGTTTGACTCGTATCTGTTGCGCATCAGAGGCTTCGGTACGTAATCGATTGTTTCTCTTCATCAACACAGCGTTATGACGTGCCATAGGCAACTGGTGTTCCGAGCATCGCATTCAAGCAGTCATCATTGCTTTGGTCATTCTCAATCCTTCACTGTTGTTCTTGCCCGTGAAATTACTCCTGAGACTACTTGGTTTCGGGCGCCAGGGACCAGTCAGAGGTATATCCGAAGCTTTCTCATAAATGCTGTCACGTCGCTGAACAGGTCGGTTCCCATATGCTCAGGGCACTTTGCTCCGAATGCTCAGAGACAGCTCTATGGAGGAAGGGTCCCGAAGAATGGCTGGTTCGCTCGCTCTCAGGCGGCTGCTATGCGTCCTCAGCCCGAAGAGTCACGTTCGCTCCTTTGGGCAGCAATAAAGACCGCTTTACTTGTGAGCGCCGTAGCTTACATGATTCCTCATCAATGAGGAGCCCATGTGATAAGCCCTCCTTTCCTTGTGTGGCCGAGTTGTTATATCAATGCATGCGGACGAGATCCAGGGTGAATCTTCTATAGCGAATGATCTACACCGTTGTTATAAGTCTGTTCGATCTGCTGCTCCGTCAGCGATGCAAAGTCCATTGACTGCGAATTGCATCGAGGAATCAGTGCTTCTGGTTAGAGAGCTTCCGTTGGATTGCGAGCCGGAGCCTGTGTTGAGATTTGCAGCGGCTTGCGCTTTTACATGCCCACAAGCTATGTTACTGAACAATCGCAAGTCAGACGCCGTAGTAGCTGTATATCGTGGCCCAAGAGATCTCGATAGAGTCGACGTTGTGGCAACTGATAGATGTTGATGAAGGAAACGCATGCCTTTTGACTGAGGAAGAACAGAGTGGACAGGTTCGCGCTCGATCCGATTCTAGTCACGGATATTCCTGAGTCTCTGCGTGGTGGAACTCCCAGAATGGTACGCATAAAATGTCAATGTTGAATATATACAGACCCCCGATCGGAACCAATATGGTAAGGTACAACGAAGAATTTAATAGCGTGCATAAGGCGATCGAACAAGCAGTCGTAAGGCACGAACAAAATCGTCATGTCAGTCTGTGCACTATCACGTCTTCCTTACAGTCATGAGAAATAGTATGGAAGAACGCAGGTAGCCTAGGTAGCAAGAGCGATACACAAAACCATGCCCAAGAACAAAACAGCACGGATACTCTTCGGAACGCTCACAGCCGAACTTGTGCTCGCCGTGCTCGTAGGAGTGGAGCTGCTCGAGGAAGTGGGACTCGATTCAACAGCGACACCTGCCACAGAAGCCGCGCTGGCAGACAATGCGCTGGATAGTGACGCCGCGGCAGAGGAGTATGCGGCCGAGACAGACGAATAGTATGACGAATAAAAGGATGAGTCACTTGCAAGAGCAGAGGATGCCGCAGAGGTGAAGCTGGAAGCGCGAGAGGATATGCTCGATATTTCGGAGGAATACGTCTCTGAGTAGTGACAGCGCTTTAAGAAGGCGACATGAGATGCATAAGTGACCGAGGCTCACCCCAGAGGCATTGATCTGTCTGGAAGATTTCGGCTGCCTGCACTTCATATGACGTGCAGCTGTCCTGCAGACACGATAGCGCGTCTTTCCAATAGGAGTTAGACGTGCACACGCAAGGCACGTATGCACTACATGGAGGTATAGCCGTTAGAACGGACTGATTGGCGCAAGGAGACGATTCAACGTACAAATTTAGACACCCTGCAGATGCAGCTGCTTGGGTAAGGCAACTTCCAACGCAAGGATATGCGACCGGCACGCTTGAAGGGACTGCTGTGGTAGTCTGAGCGCCGGCAGCGGAGATGAGCGCTGCAGCGACAAAGAAAGCTGAGCGAAGTGCCATCTTGGTGGGTGGGATAGGATGAGATCCTTGTGTCAAGTTAACTCGTCCCGGTTACTTATAGCGAAACGCGAAGTGGGCCGATTTCGGGGCCGCATAGCCTTCTCCAATCAAGAAGCTTTGTCGAAGCGGCGTTGCGGACATATTGAGGCCCATCTTGGCAGCGCTACCATGCTTCTCTCGACGTATTTGACGTCGCGCACAGTCCGCAGTGATCCCAAGGACGATATCAGAGTACACGAGGCTCATGCATGTCAAGTATTTACTAGCCGAGCTCTTCATCGGAGCTGCTTATCGCGGTCAACGGGGACTCCAAATGGCCAAAGCCACGCTAGCGAGCCGTGATAAGTTTTCTTCACTTGCAGTGCAGAGAAGGGCCACTAGAAATAAATTTAAAGAAACAGACTACGCAGCATCCTGGTGTTCTTGTCCGGGCTACAACCGCCACGTTGAGCCAGAACACGCACTTTCTCAGTATCACGGGCTGCGATGACGGCACGACTTCAGGATCTACGAATTGAATTCTGCTCAAAATGGCAGTCTTCATTCTTGTGGCATGTCAGAATGGTGCGATAGCGGGCGTTGGGTCGTCGATGAGTTCTACCATTCTTGATGCATAGCCTTCATTACTGCGAGCTGCCAACCCACAACGATGGAAGAGCATTCTAGTGGCCAAAGGCGACATGAGACAGAGTTGAAATGCATCTGGCCTTGAATGGCGAGAGGCTGAGGCCGTGCAGAAACACCAGCGAGCGATGATCAAGGCTGTCCATGCGAATAGAGCGCATTGGGCGAGCCACAGTTTTCTATAGCGCTTGTCCACATTGATCAAGCGGCCGACGTCCGCAGGACTTGGTCTCTCTCCTCTTTGGCGCAGCGCTATAGCCCCTACTATCTTTCTCCCAGAGTCAGTCATCACCTGCAGATTACTCCCGCTCATGAAAAACGATGTCGATGCTACTTACTTTGCAAGAGTCGCCTAGGTCTCGGCAATGGCGAGGTTGGCTTCGAATACCAATCTCCCCTGTGCTGGTGTGTTGCGTTATCGTCATGCCGCGCATTGCAGCGTCTAGGCCCGTATCAGCAATTCTCATGTCCGCAGCCTCACTGTGTACAAATACTAAGTTCTTGATCTTCTTTCTGGTTAGCTGTGGAGACTTGTGAACCTTTTGCTATCGGCACTATATCACTGTGTTGGGCACAGTATGACCTCTGTGTGCGGTGATATGCTTACTGGTGCGCATATGGCATGGCCTGTGCGTGGCGCTCAAGCACAGCTAAGGCGGATTGGCCCATCCCAATCGTAGATGCCACGCACTGCGTACGTATGTCTATTGTCCTGCTCATTTCTCCAGTTTCCTACCAATTGAGCCATGAACTGCGTAGAATCCTCCATCTCTTCTCTATGTGGACTTAACGTGCCTGCCAAGTTCTGCTCGTGGACGTCTTTATCTTGCAGATTTCCAAGTCTGCTTTCTACCTCGCAATCGCCGTCATATCATCAGCACGTCTATTACGTTAATATTCTCTCAGACGACCATTTACGGCTTCCCCTTTTCCGAGACTTGAATTGGAGAAGTGATCAGCTGGACCTCCCCGTGGTCGTACGGTCAACTAAGTTGCCGCACAACTGTATAAGGTTTCCACCGACAGCTTGGAAGACGTACACGATGATGACACGTTTTCCCCGCCACTACCCCTCATATACGTATCCGACGCTGAATCGTCCAGCAACGTCCCCGTGCGTCGAACACCAGGGGCCTATTGTCTCGTCCTTCATTCCGACGTCTACTATTGAGAGGCAACTTCGACTACTGTAATAAAGGTCACTCCGTAACCATCGATGCATATTTTCCTTCTGATAGATTGAACAGCTATGCCCGACCGTGAGCCTCCGCAGGTTATACCATTCGATAGCGAAAGGGCGCATCCGCGGGAAGTAGATCCAGCTGAACTAGTCGGGAAGAAAATGAAGGCCATATACCATGTGAATTCTTACGATGACCTTCCGTCGTCAGTTGGGATCAAGTTCCGCGATGGGTCGACATACCATGTGCGAATGTCTGCACATTGGGGGTGTGGAGGCGTGGACCATGAAATCTACGAGGACGAATTCGAGGGAAAACAAATCACTGAATGTGCTCTGTTGAAGTGCGCTGATACGGAGTACTTTGATGGTTCGCGCAATGAGAATGCGACACATATCGGACTTGGCATCAAGTTTGAGGGGTCGGATGAGTGGCAGATCATACACGCCTCCTATGAGGAGTGGGATGAGGACCACGAGGAACTTTGTTTGCTCAGCTTTTATGACGTCTTTCTCGTAAAGATGTCTGGATCAGGAAGAAAGAGCGGCCGTGGAAGAGGACGAGGACGCCGCTGATGGTGTACGGTCTTGTAACATGAGTAACATCACTGGTGAGCATGTTCGATGCGTAGACCGTCCTTTTTTCCAGGCTGATCTTTCTTTTCTGTATCGCATTCAAGCTGGCAATGTACATCTGGCGTGTCATCTATTGTCTGATTGCATAAATATATCACATAGCTGTACTATGCTGATTGCAGCTATGCAATTAACTCGTCTTTCACGCCATTGTAGAATTTTCTACATTCACGAAGGTTTACCTGCACGAATGGAGATGACGTGCAGATTCCAGAAGAATGTCGGCTGGCGTGAAATCCAAAATGTCATTGACCTTTGCAGATATGTGTTCTGAGTACGGTTGAGCCAACAAGGAGAATCTGCAGCATCATCGTCGCCTCTCCTTCCGAGGTGACATTGATTAGTTCGGAACGTAAATGACATAGTGAGTACTCATGTCATCTAAGGACCCTCATTTTAACGTGTCTGGTCCTGGCGTCCTGTAGCGCGCCGGCTACATCACCAGCCCTGCCCCGGCAATCGCACCGATGAGGGCAACAACTATCCCCATCACGCCGCCATACAGTTCTCCTCCGCCGGCTTTGATGCTAGCGTTTGCGCTCGCGCTTGTCCCTGCGGCGGAAGAGGAACTGTGCTCTGCCGACGATGCGGCCAAAGAAGCACTCCCCGCTGACGACAAGGCGACAGAAGCACTGCTCACTGAGAGTAGCACTTCTGAAGAGGAAGGAGCAGGGGTGGAGGATACGTTGAGTGTGGCCGACGACGACGCGGTTGCAGCGCTGGACGGTATTGAACTTGTCTCCGTCACCGAGAAAGATGGCATACTGACGCTCACTGGCAAGGTGAGATTGTTATCACGTCAGAGAACAGCCACGACACAGCCTCACAGTACGTGATCAGATGTAGCAATGCTCACCTGCGGCGCAATCCTGAGACTGTAGAGCCTGAGCAGCTGCGAGATCTGACGACGGACATTGTTTCAAAACACAGGAGGCTATGTTTGATTGGATACTCGTGGAAGAACAGATGCAACTGATATCTGTACTGTGGAATGTCTCAGGTCAGTGAATTATGTGGCTAGCAGGTATCTGCTCACGCGCTGGAGCAACCGCTGCCGGATGCCGTGGCAACGCTTTCGACGCAGGATAGGATGCATGCATCGGCGGTTGCAGTGCTGACAGGCGCGACAGAGGATGTGTGGAAGAACTGTGCGGTGGCTCTGCCAAATAGAGCGGCTGCAAGGAAAGCAGATGGAAGAACAGCCTTGAATAACATCGTTTGCGTACGTCGGTCTACGAGAGGATATCAAACACCAGATTGCTTAGGTGGGAAGCGCGGAGGGACGTGGGGGGGATGAAACTCTACAGAAGCCCATGGACGCGAGGGTAGATATACGAGCTACGTGTGCGGAAGACTGGGAGGGAGGCTGTGGTTCGAGCATTCCATCCATCGTGTCATCGTATCTGTCGTAACATTTGACAGTCACATCACTAACCACATCTTTGCAATGCACGCTCGCTGGATCTCGCACTCTTTTTTCTATTCTGTGTTTCCTCAGCTGCATACTAGCTTCATCTTCGCACCTTTTGTGGAATGGTTAACACTCTCAAGACGACTACGATGCCGGATGTGTCCAGTCTTGCAGTGGTCAATGATGCATTAATCGGTATCAAGATGTCGAACTAAATGACGATCAATTTGTTCGGCAAGAATTGTTGGTATCCACCTTGGTCGACTGGTCAGTGAAGGTTGCTCATCTGTCAAAATAACTTTAATATGAAACATTGAGCAGGCCTATTTGTGTCGGACAGATTCTGATGAGCCGTAGACATACCAAGAAAGCTCATGATCCGTTGGACTTCGTGCATCATACTTCGGGCATTTCTCGCCGCTCTGGTGTGTATTTCGACGCTTGTTTTCCTTGATAACGAAGTTGATTTTACAATACAGCTCTCATTTTCTTTGCGTCTGCGCAGCGGTATGCGGCCCAGATGTAAGACTGACTGATTTACTGCCATTTGTGCGGTATCTTTCTCATGCCTTGTTCCAACCGCATCATCATGATCTACAAGGCTCAAATGCTCGATAAATATGCCTCTCTTCTCTTCTGCGATATTTGACTCGCATAAATCTGGTACTTGGCTCTCATGCGCCCACTTCAACATTCAGTACGCGTCACGTCCAGCACGTGATCGCGTGGCATTGGTTAGGTTCCAAAAAGCTTTTGACTCCAATCTGTATGCGAGCTTTCTGAGAAAAGGCCTGCTGGTGTATATGTTACAGGCGACATGAGTTGCACAACCACTCAGAACTGGCTTGATAGGCGGCTCCCACGGCTGTCATGAGCAGACGGCTAACCCCGGTGTGCCACACTCGTCCTCCCCTCACCCACCTCGCAGCCTGTCTGGTGCTCTGCGGCCATGGATCCTAAGCTGCTCGGTGCGACGTTATAAATTTCGATGTGTATCTCTAGCCATAACTGAGCTAATCCGTACACCTTAGAACTTTCGATTATGGGCGCGCGATACCTCCGGGTGCCCGGCTCTAACGCTGGTGCCCGCGCTATAGTCTCTATGCTGAAGAAAATCCTAGTCGCAGAAGACACAGAGGGGCCTGTGGGTTGGATCCAAGGTGTCTTGTCCGACATTACAGGCCAAGAGGTCATCGTCTTTCCAGTCGCAATGGCCGACGTGCTCGAGCCTGTCCGCGAGCTCTGGCTACCATCGAGTTTCAACAGTTCGTCTCCACCATAAGGAGTAGCCTGAAATGCGTCACAGAGGCTGGATCGAAGGCCTTTGCGGATGTAGGGTTGGTGTTGAAGGAGCACACAGCGTTGCTCGAGCTCTGCGTCGAAGTTGTGGCGGGCGAGATCCGTGAGTTCCTCTGTTCGCGTTTGCTCTCTGGAATATAAATGTTTGATTGTTGAGCAGGAGAATGGTGCGCGAGAAGAATCCTCTTCTCTCTGAGGTTATCTATCACGTCCTCGTCATGCTCCTTACTGTTTCCGGACAGTACTTCCTCGAGCGCACCATCCTCCTTTACGCTCTTAGGGCGTTGGGATTTGGGGTCTTAGGGCCGATCAAAGGTGCGTTCGCCTTCATTATCTCTCCAGAACCACTTCTGGCGAGCGAGCTGATTCATTCACGATCCCATATGCAGGACATGTCGTGCCGTGGCTGCAGAGCCGCACACATGGTGCGGCTGTGCCAGCGGGCAGCATCTTCGCGCGAGCACAATCGTTTGTGATGAAGCGCCTTCCGGCAAAAGCGAAGCTGTAGGTTGTATCTCTGCTAATCAGGGCAGGCACTGGCTTGGATGGCGGTGCTTGACGTTTGTATTTCTCCCGACTGGAACTGGCAGTTGTCTCATATGTAAGTCATGCGTTCGCGTACTTCGTTCGAAGTCGGATCTTATATGGTGTAGGGTAGGCAACGTTTGATGGCGATGATAGTGCCTGCAGGAAGACGAAGATTCACTGTTATCTCAGACTCAGGGTGCATGCGTGGTTGGTCTATTTCGTCCAAGACGCGACCCAGTGCACGCTACCTGGGTTCACGCTCACTAACTGTTGGACCTATTCTCTGGGCCTCTTTTACTTCAGTGTTTTCGGGACGGGGCGATCGAGCAGCAGGTCAATCCCGCATGCGCGACTACGTGGGCAGCATGCAATCAACATTACGAGGGAGTCAAAGCGGCTTCTAACTTGTGGATTCAGAGCTTCAACGTGTGCGAACCCTCGTCTCAGCGTGCTTTTCAAAAACGTATCTTTGGTAAGGCAGCCGCTCAATGCACAATACCCGCCATTTGACTCCAATAATTGTCAGGCCCTGCCTGCTCGAGTCCCATGCATGGCGTCTGTATGGACTCGGGTTTGAACTTGCGAGTGTTTTTTTTCCTCATCAGGATGCCCGAGGCGCCCGTTGCCGCTTCATTCGAGGTTCCTCGGCGGAAGCTCCGGTCAGGTCAAGCACACGCTCACGGCGCTCGGAAGACACGCATGTTCGAAGTGTTGCTGTCGAAATAGTGATTCGGAAAAATTGGGTCGAGTAAATCGTGGCTGTTTTATATCCGATGATATCCCAACTTTCAATGCGAGACGTAAAACGTTCGCCCTTCACCGCGGATGGCGGGACACCCAGAAGCTGCGGCGATGATCCTCTGGAATTGTTTGGCTCTGTGGGCCTCCGTTACACGCTATGGCGCGGGAAGTCCCTAGGTTGCGGCTTCGGTTTTCTGTCGATGGCGCAACGAATTCAAAGTTTATATGAAATGTTGTTCATATTTAACGAAGGTACTGGTACAGAAAGATGATAGGGTTATACAGAACGTCACAAGTCCAAAGAGAACAAACACACAACAAGAGAAAGCTGAGCAGAGACAACTACTGCAGGGCAGGTAATCCGTGCGGACCCGCAGGCGTCACAAAATACAGTAAAGAAGCAAGGGGAGCGTACCAATAGAGAAGGGGAAAAACTTGGATACATCGTAAATATAAGAGAAGTCTGAGACATTGAAATACGAGTGCAAACCAGAGTGGGGTATTGTGCATGCCAACGCCGGCACTCATGGTCCAACTTAGAGGCAAGGTACTCAACGGTATCAGTATCCCCTCCAGAGCCTTAGTGAGATGAGCGCATCCCCTCCAGGGTCGGAGCCGGATTACGTGAAAAAAAAAACTCGCCACCTGGCCCGCACCGACTTCAGCAGCGGCGCCGCGAGCCCTCAGTCGCTGGAAGAGGAGGAGGAAGCGCCCGCACTGGCGCTTAACGAGCCCGCGCCCGCGCCTGTCCTTCCCACGCTATAGCCACCTTTCCCACTCCCACTCCCCGTCGTCGACCCGCTTCCCGTACCAGATGTCTCTCTGCCTGTGTTCGACCCAGTCCCACCTCCACTGCCCTACCCTGACAATCCGCTGCTTCGGTCTCGCTGCCACTGCTTGATCTGCCCCATTTACTGTCTGCGCTTGGGCCAGAAGGCGTATGAGAGGATGTTGAGCCTGATCCATGTCCCGGTGCGGACGACGCTGCGTTGGAGCCATCCCTGCCCGCCACTGCTCGTGGACGAGCCTAAGTTCGTACTACCGCCTGTCTCGATACCCACGCCAGAGCCAGACGAGAGGGGATGGCCGATCCGGAAAATGCGGCTCGTTTTGTGCCTTCCAACAACAACGGGGCACTGACGGTGTGTAACGGAACCGTGATTCATGTAATCCTCAAGCTCTTGATAGGTGATGGAATTGAGAGAGTGGGAATTCAACATTTGTAGCAGTCTTCGCGTGAACACGCCTTCCTCTCCGTCTTCATAAGCCTTCTCGTTGGAACAGCATGCTGCAAGCAACATGTGTGATTCCTCATACGGTTGGTATACGGAATCGGTCGCAGACCCGGGACTCCACCGCTTCCACTTGTCCGCTTCAGCCGCGTCGATGAGGTCCTGGTACGTGAATTGGAGAGAAGGCCTGCTGCGAACAGTGACTTGGTCGTGCCGGGAAGAGCCATCACGGCTGCACCCGGCTGAATAGCAACAATCCATTATGACGGTGATGTTCTCCCCTTTCGCATCATAAAGCTCTTTGAGGAAGAGATTGATCTGGCGATCGCTGATGTCGACAATATGTGTGCCATCTGGCAACTCCAAACCACTATCAACCGGCATGATTGCCTCCATGGGTTTGCGTACATGCGTTTCGTAGAGGGTGCCATGACCGGCAAAATAGATGACGATGGCGTCTCCGCGATGGATTCGGTCGTTGTCGCGGAGATGAGTATGAAGAGATTTCAGGATCTCATCCCGTGTTGCAGCGGCATCCAGCAATACGATCATGTTCTCCGTAGGAACCTGCAATGAGCTTCTGAGGCATTCAGCAAATCTTTCAGCATCACCAGTTGCTCCATGTAGATGTTGTTCATAAAAATACTTATTGATACCAATGATGACAGCAAATGTCTGCATGTTGTTGGATGTGGCTTCCTCGAAATGTAATAAGTATGATTCCTATCGTAGCGCTTATACAATTCAAGAGGATGAGGTTGGGGGCAGGGTCTCACCACGGAGAAATGCGCCTCTTATATACTACTCCGGAATCTGATTATGGAAGATGTTTGAAAAAGAAGACCACAGCCACATCCACATCCACGATGATGATCACAATCCTTATAAGTGAGGTTGCAAACTTCTTTATGTCTAAAAGCGATTGACCAAGGTGCTTATTAGGACCTTGGGATCCTGATTTGGGAGGAGGTTGAGAGTTGCTCGCCGGAAAGGAAACTGGGCGCTATTTATAGAAAAGGATCCACGCCATGTGATAACGTATGACTAAGGTGAAACAGAAACAAAAATAGATGAAACAGAAACATGAAACGTCCACGACACGCGAGGTGCTCGATCACAGCCACTTCCCTTATAGGGCTAGTACACAAAAGCTGCAGCGGTGATTCACAGGTTCTTCGTTCTGCACTACGGCTCAGGAAGTTTCATCTCTCGCGAGGTCGCAACGAGTTTATCAATGCTCAGAGGTATTGCTCGTATGAGTACTGGACATAGAGACTACTGACACAAGACGCTAGTAATACACATGACGTCAAAAGCCGAAAGCGAATACGAATACACGAGAAGGGAACGCTAAGCAGAAAGCATACAAATACAAGGCAGGCAACCGGTGCGTGTATGCGAGGGTTTCAAAACACAGGAGAGAGAATGAACGGGAGCGTACAAGTACAGAAGAGAGGCAGTCCAATACGATACAAATACAAGAGAAGTTTGAGACGTACAAATACAAGTCCAAATCAAGGCGGGATATTCACGTAGAGGGAACGTATGCACAATGCTGGCGCTCACAGTCCAACAGAGGCGAGAGAGCCAACGGTAGCAGTCGCGCCTCCCGAGTCCGCACCAACCGAGATGAACGGGTCCGAGCCAGAGCCCGAGCCCGAGTTGGAGCCCGAGTTGGAGCCCGAGTCCGACGCGGGAGCGACGTTCGCGACGATGAGCGGAGCGGACGAGTCTGAGGAGGAGGAGGGAGTGTCGGCGGGGCCAGGTGTGGGCGCGGGAATGCCGACCGAGGCGAGGTTGCCGGCAGTGGCGGTTACGCCTGAGTTGTCTGCACCAATGGAGATGAGCGCGTCTGGACCTGATCCAGAGCCGGACGAGGGCGGGGAGGAAGAGCCTGCGTTGACTACTGCCAGCGGGGCGTTCGCGTCGTTAGAGGAGCCTGAGCCAGAGGTGGGAGAGGCAGCAGGTGCGGTGGGGGCAGGGATGCCGATAGAGGCGAGGTTTCCTGCAGTAGCGGTCACGCCTGAATTGTCTGCGCCAACCGAGATGAGCGCGTCTGGACCTGAGCCAGAGCCGGATGAGGGCGAGGAGGAGGAAGAACCTGCGTTGACGACTGCCAGTGGGGCGTTCGCGTTGTTAGAGGTGCCGGAGCCGGAGCTGGAGCCAGAGGTGGGGGAGGCAGCAGGTGCGGTGGGGGCAGGGATGCCTACCGAGGCGAGGTTTCCTGCAGTAGCGGTCACGCCTGAATTGTCTGCACCAACCGAGATGAGCGCATCTGGACCTGAGCCAGAGCCGGATGAGGGCGGGGAGGAAGAACCTGCGTTGACGACTGCCAGTGGGGCGTTCGCGTTGTTAGAGGTGCCGGAGCCGGAGCTGGAGCCAGAGGTGGGGGAGGCAGCAGGTGCGGTGGGAGCAGCGAGGCCGATGGAGGCGAGGTTGCCTGCAGTGGCGGTCACGCCTGAGTCGTCTGCGCCGACGGAGATGAGCGCATCTGGACCTGAGCCAGAGCCGGACGAGGGCGAGGAGGAAGAGCCTGCGTTGACTACTGCCAGCGGGGCATTCGCGTTGTTAGAGGAGCCAGAGCCGGAGGAGACAGCAGGTGCGGTGGGAGCAGCGATGCCAACAGAGGCGAGGTTGCCCGCAGTGGCAGTTGCACCAGACCCGTCTGCACCGACAGAGATGAGCGCAGCATTCGCGTCTCCACCCGAGCCAGAGCCAGAGGAGCCGCCAGAGTCAGTGGAGGAGTTGGGGTCTGCATCGACCACAATCAATGGCGCATTCGCAGCGCTGCCAGAGCTGCCCGAGCCAGTGTTCGGACCAGCAGTAGGTGCAGCGATCCCGATCGACGCGAGGTTGCCCGCAGTGGCTGTCGCGCCCAAGCCATCTAGGCCAACAGAGACGAGCGCGTCCCCATCAGAGCCAGAGCCAGAGTCCGTACCAGAACCCGCCACCTGGCCCACACCGACCCTCAGCAGGGGCGCAGAGCCGTCAGTCGAAGAGGACGAGGAGGGAGCGCCCGCGCTGGCGCCTGATGAGCCTGAGCCTGAACCCGAGCCAGCGCCTGATCCGCCTGTCCCGCCTGCGCTCGATCCACCACCATTCCCGCTCCCACTCCCCGTCGTCGACCCGCTGCCCGTACCAGACGTTCCGCTGCCTGTGCCGGACGTCCCGGAACCTGCGCCAGATGCCCCGCTGCCTGTACCAGATGTCCCGCTCCCTGCACCAGATGTCCCAGAGCCTGTGTTAGACCCAGTCCCACTTGTCTCTCCTCCGCTGCCCGAGCCCAGCGATCCGCTGCTCCCAGACGCGCTGCCACTGGTCGATGCGCCAGATCCATTGTCTGCGCTTGGGCCAGAGGGCGTGCCAGAGGACGTGGAGCCCGTTCCCTCTCCCGATGGGTTCGATCCTACGTTAGAGCCTTCCCCACCGCCAGTGTTCGTGGCCGAGCCTGAACTCGTACCAACGCTCGTCTCCGTGTCCGCACCAGAGTCAAAGTCAGAGCCACTAGAAGACGCGCCGGAGTTCGTGCTTCCTCCAGATGACCCCGACCCACTCCCGCTGTATCCAGCTCCCGCGCAATACGCGTTCAGCACTGCAATCGCGCTCGGCGCCGCGTACGGCGCACCGTTCCCGAAGAAGGTCTCCACGTCCTCGAGTGCCGTGTCGCGCTTCGCGAGGGGACTCGCGGTGACGGTGACTGTCACAGCAGGGAGCGTTTCCGTCACGGTGACGGTGGCGGTCGTGTCGGATGGGGTGGACGAGAATGGGAATGGGAACAAGGAGGGGCGCAAGAGGGGGATACCGTAGTGAGGCTGGATCGCCGCTGATGAAGAAGCGAAGGTTAGGGATTGTCAGGTAAGGTCGGAGGGGACAGCTGAACGTACCGGCATCGACCCGCGTGCTAATGCATGCGACAAGGACGAGCGCGAGCAGGCGCTTCACGTTGGCGTTGGCGTTCGTCTGCATTGTGGTTGGAGTGTTGTCGTGTGAGTAGTTGATCTTTCGTCGGTCGCGTTGGTGAACGTAAGCAGGTAGGGCGTGTCGAGCAATGTCGGATGCTGAATGAGAAGTACAAGACGAGGACGACTAGTGACGGAAGAGCCAACGCAGATAGAGAAATGAACTTGCTGTTTGCGCCTCTCTCGCCCATTCACCGCGCCTCATGTACCCCCCGCCCACCCCCTTCACTCCACAGTGCATGACGCGCCATCCACCTCCATTCACCTGTCTTTGCGTCTCTGCTACCCGTAGACGTGTGCACGCGCATCCTCGCATCTCTCCACCCCCGCTGACGTGCCTGATCGACCGAGGATGCTGGTGCACGATCGGTGCCTCGGTGCCTGTCCCTGGACCCACAACGCCACGACGGAGCGGAGGCAGATCGCGCTCCGTGGACCATCGGAGGTGAGTGATCGGTTGGAGCTGTAGGTGATCGGCTGGAGCCGATCATGGTCGATGTCATGATCGAGTGGCGAAAGTGTGGGGGAGTGGGAAGGATGCGTGACGTCCCGCCGGCACGGATGCTGGTGTGTGCGCTGGGCTGACAGCAGCGTCCGCGTCGGGGTGACGCATGATGCATATGTATGATGCATTCATGAGCAAATTGCGGGGTGAGCAGAAGCAAGAATACGTGGCGGGATGTAGGCATTGGGCGCCTTGCCGCGCGCCAGTTTCCACCTCCCGTCTCATGGTCGCGCACCCTTGGCACCTCTGCATGCTTTGCATCCGCGTGGCTCCCGTCCGATTCGTACGTTCGTACCGGAGTTTGTTTGTCGTCGATTCGTTCATCATTGACAGAGGAGTATGCGAAATTCGAATGAAGGAGACAGGCGGCTCATCTCTCCGTTAGTTCTGTCCGAGATGGCGTCTTTAGCTATTCGAACCAAAGGTGCACCTGACTCGTCATTTGCTGAATGCGCTCATCTCCCTCTCTATATAGCATCCGAGCACGGCATGGCACTCTGTCGGCTGCGGACACGATTATGGTCATCGAGCGTAATTAGCTGATCAACAGGGAGCGGGAGATCGTAAGGCACGCGTCAGACGTACGCATGCTACTTCATTGAGAGTTACGCGTCATTGGTGTGCCTGCACTCGGTCGGCTTGGCTGGGGGAGCGAACGAGGTGTGGACAGGAGTGCGGGTGTGCGCTGTACGTGCGCGGACGATAGTCTGGCTTTGCAGAGATTGTATTCGATCTCGCTCAGTGGGGGCTGAGTGGGGGCTGGTCTAACCACTGTGTTAATCTAGTTGGTCATCCACTTTGAATTTGGCCGAGTGTTTCTTACACAGATAGTTCGTGCAGGATGGTCGTGTCTCTCTTTTAGACAGGCCTTCACAGCAGATGCGCAACAACGCGGTATACTTCCAGATCGGGCTATCTGTTCAACAAACGTCGCCACTCCTTGGCCGCCTCAGTCTAGCGCTTCCTAGGATACCCGAGATACGTCGGTTACAGGTAATACACTGCGTGGCAGTCGTAGTGAACGTCGCATGCTTGTCGTGTCGGTGACCCCAAGGTCCTGATCGAACGAGGACGAAGGTCCACGATCGGTGCCTCGGTGCCTCAGTGCCTGTCCCTGAACCCACACCGCCACGACGGAGCGGAGGCAATCGCGCTCCATGGATGGTCGGAGATGAGGACATCAGTTGGGGTTGTAGGTGATCGGCTGGAGCCAGTCATGGTGGTCGAGGTCGCGAACGATAGACAAGGGAAGGTGCGTGAGTGATGGAAATGTGAGGGAGTGGGGAGGATCGGTGACGTCCCGCCGGCACGGATGCTGGTGTGTACATTGGGCTGACAGCAGCGTCCGGGTCGGGGATGATGCGTGATGCATTGACGAGCAAGTCGCGGGGCATGAGTGAGCAGAAGTGGAGGTGAAGAATATGTGGCGGGATGTGGTCACTGGGCGCCTTGGCGCGCGCCCGTTTCCACCTCCCGCCTCATGGTCTCGCACTCTGCATGCGTTGCATCCGCGTGGCTCCCGCCCGATTCGTAGGTTCGTATACGTCGCGCACCGGAGTTTGTTCGTCGTCGATTCATTCATCATTGGAGAGAGGAGTATGCCAAATTCGAATGAAGGAGACAGGCGGCTCATCTCTCCGTTAGTTCTGTCCGCGATGGCGTCTTTAGCTATTCGAACTAAAGGTGCACCTGACTCGTCATTTGCTGAATGCGCTCATCTCCCTCTCTATATAGCATTCGAGCACGGCGTGGCACTCTGTCGGCTGCGGACACGATTATGGTCATTGAGCGTAATTAGCTGATCAACAGGGAGCGGGAGATCGTACGGCACGCCGCTAGACGGTGTTTCCGAGGTCGGCGACGCGTCATTTATGGCCGCACTTGTTCTCTCGGAAGAAACACATCGTTTCTATGCGCTTTTATGCCAGTGCCACAGAGACCCCGATGGGTTTCTGAACAGCTGATCGCGTGCGCGGACGATACTCTAGTTTTGCGGAGATTGTGTTCGACCTCGCTCAAAAGTCGTAGCGGTGATTCATAGGGCCTCCGTCGCGCGCTATGGCTCAGTAAGTTCCACAATAGCAGCTTTCGATTTGTGTCGGGAAGCGCAACAGGTAGAGCGATGCTCAGAGTTCACATAGAGGTTGTCCGCATTGTACATAGCGCCACTGGTACAAAAAGATGCTAGTGATACACAGGGCATCGCAAGCCGGAAGCAAATACAAATACACGCGAAGGGAAGGTTGAGCAAAAAATACACATACAATGCAGGTGATCAGCGCGCGTACGCCGGGATTATGAAAGAGGTAAAGGGGTGGAGAAAGCGTACAAGTCCAGAAGAGAGGAAGTCAGACACGTTACAAATAAAAGAGAAGTTGGAGACGTACAAATCAAGTCCATATCAAGACGGGATATTCATGTAGATGGAAAGTACGCACAATGTCGGCGTTCATAGCGCAATAGAGGCAAGGGAGTCAACGACAGCAATCACCCCTCCCGGGTCCGCACCCACGGGGATGAGCGCATCCGAATCAGAGCCAGATCCAGAGCTCGAGCCCGAATTGGAGCTGGAGCCACGCTCGGGAACGATATTCGCAACGATGAGCGGATCTGATGAGTCTGAGGAGGTAGTGGAGGAGGAGGAAGTGTCGGCGGGGGCAGGCGTGAACGTAGGGAGGCCACCTGCAGTGGCAGCTACGGCGGAGTTGTCTGCGCTGACGGAGATGAGCGCTGCGTTCGCACCAGAGTCAGAAGAGCCGGACAATGGAATGGAAGAAGAAGAGCCCGCGTTGACGTCTGCCAGCGGGGCATTCGCGTTGTTAGAGGAGCCGGAGCCAGAGGCGGGGGAGGCAGCAGGTGCGGTGAAAGCGGCGAGGTTGCCTCCAATGGCAGTCAGGCCTGAGTCATCTGCGCCGATGGAGATGGGCGAATCTGTACCTGCGCCAGAGCCGAAAGAGGGCATGAAGGAGAAAGAACCCGAATTGCCTACTGCCAGCGTAGCATTCGCGTCGTTAGAAGATCCACAGCCAGAGGAGGGGGAGGCAGCAGGTGCGATGAAAGCGGCGAGGTTGCCTGCAGTGGCGGTTATGCCTGAGATGAGAGCTGCATTCGCACCAGAGTCGGAACCAGTCGTACTGGGGGAGGGAACACCATCAGAGGACGGTGACGCGCCGGATGTGCTTGCGCTGACGACTGCGAGGGGCGAGTTGGCGTCGTTGCCAGAAGGGCTTGAGCTGGGTGGAGCAGCAGGAGCGGTGGGCGCCGTAAGATCGACGGACGCGAGGTCACCTACAGTGGCAGTCGCACCAGACGCGTCTGCACCGACAGGGGTGAGCGCAGCGTTCGCGTCTCCGCCAGAACCAGAGCCAGAGGATCCACCAGAGTTAGTGGAAGCAGACGACCCGGCGGAAGAGTCCGCACCTGCATCGACCGCAACCCGCGGCGCATTCGCTGCGCTGCCAGAGGAGGTCGAACTTAAAGTGGGTGCAGCGATCTCGACCGATGCGACGTTGCCGGCAGTGGCCATTGCGCCCAAGCCATCTACATTTACAGAAACGGGCGCGTCTTCGCCGGAGCCAGAGCCAGCGTCCGCACCAGAACCCGCCGCCTGGCCCACGCCGACCCTCAGCAGCGGCGCAGAGCCCTCAGTGGAAGAGGAAGACGAGGACGAGGAGGGAGCGCCCGCACGGGCGCTTGATGAACCTGTGCCCGAGCCAGCGCTTGACTCGCTCGTCCTGCCTACGCTCGATCCACCACCATTCCCGCTCCCACTCCCCGTCGTTGACCCGCTTCCCGTATCATGGACATCGGGAGCGGGATTCGGAGGGCACTCAAGAGGCGCCCATCCCATCGCGTAGTATGCCTGTCTTGCCGCTTCCTCTTTGGCAAGCTGCTTGCTAGCACCGGAACCTTCGCCTTTGGGGATACCGTTCACTGTGTTTCGAAGGTTACTAATCACCGGCCGGAGACAAAGGCGTGCGAGCTACGCACCAACACACTGAACCGTCCAACGCCCAGCATGTGCAAGGCCTGAAAATTGCGCCGGGTATTCAACAGCCAACCTGCGCTGGTTCGCTGTCTGGTTGAACAGCGGCAAAAACGTAGATTGACGCTTCGCAGGGGCAAGCGGGTCAATGGGCAACGGCGGCAACGGAGCCGTGGAAGGAGGCAGTGTCGGCGAGCTCATAGGCTCGGTTTTGACTCTCTTGTACGTGTATGGCTCGCCGCCGGCAGCTGGAACGGGCGATTCGTACTCCGGGTCGATGAGATGCCCGATCCAGTTCTGCACCGTCTCCACCCCATTCTGCACATAGACTGCACCGACATACGAACAGAAGAGCAAACGTGTTTCCTGCGATCCGTCATCGACAATGCGGCATGCGGTGCAGGATAGGCAGGACTCACTATTGGGCTTGTGAGGCTGGCAAGCGCATCAGGGCTGCAGCGTACTTTCTCTCTGAGCTTGTAGTAAGAGACCCATTTGTTCAGATTCGTCTCCGAGAGGACCTCCATGCGCTGGGACTAGTCGCGATCGCGACCGATCAGCACGCCGCAGGGCCCTGCAATGCATGTAACGCACCTCGATCTCCTGTGCGTTTATCAACGGTTTCTTATTGAAGAGGGTGAACGTCACCGCAGTGTCCATCACCTTCTCACCCAGCATCGATAGGCGTTCGTTGTCACCACAGTCGGACTCTTCGTTAGTCGGGGCTCCAGGGAAGCGCAGAGACTTGTGGGTAAAGACCTCCAGGATGATGTCGCCACGCAGCTTGGGAACAGGCGGGGGAGCATCCATGTTGGTGGAGAAGGGACGTGGACGCTTGAGACTGGGGGCATGGGAACCTGCCTTCGCTTTTGAAGGATCCGATAAGCCAGCTGAGAAGGGCCACGTGCCTTCTAAAGTTGAGATCGAGAAAGGGTGGTGAGAAACGACAACATACCCTGCGAGGGGGCACGCCACCGACGCGTGTCTCAGACTTCTCTTGTATTTGTAATGTATCGGGCTTCCTCTCCTGTGGACTTGTATGCTTTCCTACCTCCTCACCTCTTTCCTGTACGTTGTGACTACCCTCTCCGCATACGCGCAGATTACCTGCCCTGTGTTTGTGCATTTTCTGCTCAGCTTCCCTTCTCACGTAATTGTATTCGCATTCGGCCATAGCAGGCCCGCTGAACCGAACGATTCCGAAGATCCACCGCTGCAGCTGTTGTATGTTGGGATAAAGGGCGAGATTCTCTTGTACTCAAAGTTAGTGCATGGGAACAGCCTGGGTCAATTCGACGCAGCTTCTCTGCAGCACTGTCTTGAGGATACCACCGTCGAACCACGCATGTCTTCAGAGTGCCAGGAACAAGTGCTTGATCAGACCGGATCTTCCGCTAGGAAGTCGCAACGGGCATCTTGGCAAAAAATAACACTAGCAAGTCCAGATTACAGACATCGTGCATGTGACTCGAGCGGGCGAACGCAAGCATGCTACCCACACGGCCGCGCATGTGGGCCTGACCCGCTGCCCGTTCCAGCTATTCCGCAGTGACAGAGACTCGATGAATGTGAGACGGGTGCTATGCTGCCTGACAGTAGTGAGGCAGCGAAAATTAATAGAGAGAAGGTGGGTGAATATGGGTAGGCCGAACGGTTGGTGAACATCATTCCTAGCGGCATGTGTGGGCGTGTTCATGGCTGAATGTGCACATGTGAAATAGGGTATCAGGGGAAAGCGAGAGAGAGAACAATGACGCACGCGTCGTATGTCTTAGATAGCAGTGAATCTTCGTGTTCCTGAGCCACTAACATCGCCATTGAATGTTACTTACCCTGAAACAACGGCCGGTCCCAGTCGGGGAAAAATTACACCTGTCACAGCCCCGGCTATGCAGACCAGTGCCTATCTTCGTGTGTAAAGCTACAACGCAAGCCAGCATCTGCCCTCGTTAGCAGAGAACTTGATCGCAAACCGCCGCGTGCTTTTCCAAAGACGCTGCCCGCTGGCACGGCCGCACCATGTATGTGGCTCTGCAGCCACAGCATGACATAGCTTGCGTATGGGACCGTGCAAAAGGGAAACACATTTTTGATCAGTCCAGCGAGACCACATCGGAGGAGGATGCGGGGGAGAGCGGTCCATGGTAACCGCGCAGGGTAACGATGGCGCGTGAGGCGGGGAGGGCAAGGCAAGCTCGAACTGTGTCCAGGATGGTCACATGTGCGCGTCTAGGACAATTCAGGTGATGCCCTCAGTTCCCGTTTCGCACAGCCGACGTGTGCGGGCGCGAGGATGTGCTCGCGGCCAGCGGTACATATACTGATCATCTCCCGAGCACGTTGATCTGATGAGAATTGAATAATACACACGTTGCCAGCAATGCAAAAAGACCGACACCATGGAACATACATTTTGCAACACCTTTGAGTTGGTTTGTAGGGAAGCAGTGGCTGCAGTATGTCTACAGGGTTCTGGTACTCATGTTAACTCGGCGAATGCCGAAGCCCCAATACTCGACGAACGCCGAAGACCGCAGTGTCCTATGGCAATCGCGCGTCGCCTTGCAGAAGACTAATGAGGTGTCTCGGTACGGCTTCTCGGACATGCCGGAGGCCGCATCGCAGAGATCCCTGGCAGCTTCGCAGGTCCAGTCTCCCACTCGTATAAAATGCCTCTGTTACGAGGAGGCGAGCATTCACCGTTCTCCGACGGTCGAACTGTATTTGCAGGCATTGCCAGCTCTCTAAAGTTCGGGCCTCATCACTACTCGCTCAAATACTAGCGAAACACTATCTTCAAAGACCATTGAGCTCTATCCATCCTTCGCAAAGTTCGAACTTCGCATTACACCTTCCATCATTGTACGACTCTCTGGTGACAACAGGGATGATACAGCCAGAGTGTTTGTGTGATTCATACATTGAGACACGTTCATTGCCTCACAACACCCATGGCCTAACAGCTGTTCCACGGTCTCATGCGAATGATGTGCACGCGCAACGTCAACAAGAAACGTGTCCTGTGAGGCTCGGGTACGTTCACATCAGAATGATAACTGATACATTGTATTTGACACAGCAATAGCCTCTGCCCATCTCAGACCTGCAGGCGAGGAAAAGAAAAGAAGGTGTAGAAGTGGAGCAACAACCTTCGACCACGTTTCAGCGTGACCAGCAGTTGAAGTTGCACGAAGAATCGCGTGACAGTTTGCAACAATCACCGGACGTTCCGTCAGATGTGAGGATACAGATCTTGCAGCACAAGGTTATTGGCTAACATAGTATATTCCCAGGAAGCCGCTCCAGACAACATGCAGATATTTGCTGTCATCATCGGTATCAATGACTATTTATGCGAAGAACCTCTACATGGGGCAACTGGCGATGCTAAGAAAATCGCCGAATTCCTCAAAATCTCACTGCAAGTCCCTAAAGAGAACATGATCGTGTTGCTGGATGGTGACGCGATACGGGATGAGATCCTCAAATCTCTTCATAGTCATCTCCGCGACAACGTCCGAATCCATTACGGAGATGCCATCATCATATATTTTGCCGGTCATGGCACCATCTACGAAACGCACGTACGCGAACCCATGGAGGCAATCATGCCGATTGATAGCGGTTTCGAATTGCCAGACGGCACGCACGTTGTTGACATCAGCGATCGTCAGATCAATCTGTTCCTCCAGGAGCTTTACGATGCGAAGGGAGGAAACATCACGGTCGTAACGGACTGTTGTTACTCAGCAGGGTCCACCCGCGATCGCTCTTCCCCGCATAACTTTACTGCTCGCAGCAGGCCTTCTCTCCAGCTCACGCACCAGACCTCATCAACTCCGCCGAAGCGGACCAGTGGAAGCGGTGGAGTCCCGGGTCTGCGACTGACTCCCTATACCAATCGTATAAGGAATCACACATGTTGCTTGCGGCGTGTCGTTCCAACGAGAAGGCTTTTGAAAACGAAAAGGGAGGCGCGTTCACGCGGTTACTATTGCAAATATTGCATTCCCGTTCCCTCCACTCCCTCACCTACGAAATGCTCGAGGATTACATGACTCACCCTTCCGTTACATACTACCAGCACCTTATTGTCCTTGGAGAACACAAAGCGAGCCGCATTTTCCGAATCGGCCATCCCCTCGACAGGCACCGCTCGCGTGCGATCGACACGCTCAGCGAGGTTGGAGAGATGCGAAGTGGGCACGCGTGCGCAACACACGTATGCGGGGGCGCACAGACTGGTCAGTGGAGGTGGATGGCACATCATGCAGGGTAAAGCGAGAAGGGGACCGCAACGTGTATGAGGCGCAGTGAGTAGGTGAGCGAGGCACAAACAGCAATTTCAGTTCTCTGTCCGCGTTGGTTCTTTGATACAGTTAGGCTGTTTTTGTGCTTCTTAGTCAACATCTTACATTGCTCGCCACGTCCTACCTGCTTTCGTTCACGAACTCCAATACCAGTATAGTCCATTGGGCTCAGGTAGCAGAGGCGAGACAAGTGGGACACCTGGTACGGGCAGTGGGTCGACGACGAGAGTGGGAGCGGGAATGGCGGCGGATCGAGGCAAGCGAGACGGTGGAATCAGGCGCTGGCTGGGGGCGGAGGTTCAACCTCGCTCAATGAGCGCGCGCTGACCGGCTCTCCTTTGCAGGATAGTCGTGCCTCTCGTTGCAGGTACGCAGGTGAAGCAAGAAATCTTCCTGTGATAAACTGCTGACCGAAGCCTGAATCATTTGATGGAGCGTATCTACAGCTAATTTGACTTCAAGTACAATGATGTGGTATACTCGAATTTGAACTATCTCTTAACCAAGTGTCGACGTTCCTTGGCTGCGTCAACCTAGCCCTGCCCAGGATACCCGGGATACGTCGGGTACGGATAATACGGCTGCGTAAGAGTCGTAGTGAACATCGTCGTCGTCGTGCTCGTCGTATCGGTGATCCCAAGATCATCCGTGATCGTCGAAGTGTGAGTGGAGGTGGTAGTGCTGGTGGTGGAGGAGGTCGTCGTCGTCGTTGTCCGCGCGAGGCGCGTAACGGTGGTGGTGGTGGTAGCGGCTAGCACTGGGCGTGCCTGTCAGCCTCGCTGATAGCAGTCAATGGAGGGAAACGTACCTGCGTCTGCGCCTCGCAGCGCGGTGCACGCGAGCAAGCATATAATGAGTGCATGAGAGGACACGTTATACAGCATGATGAAGAATGCGACGACGACACAGCGATGGCTGAGCTGGTGAGTGAATTATAATTATGTGCGCCATATATGCGATCATCTGCACCTATCTAGGTAGAACCGCGCCGCCGTCCAGCCTCCCTTCTCATCTCTCATTGCGTATCCAAGCGGATCGCGCTCATCAACGCGACACTCTTCCATCCCGCATTTTGCTTCCGCCATGGCACTTTCCTCCCCGCAAGTTAGTCACGAACCGTTAATCCCGATCGCAACCTGTCATTCACGGTCAGTGGCGCTGTGCAGGTCCAAAGTTAAATCCGCGGGGGTGGCAATGCGCCGCAAGCGGGATTAGATCCACTTCCAGCGCTTAACGAACCTTAGCCACTGATCCGCTCGCTTTCAAGCGCATCGATCTCTATTGGAGTAAGTCGTGCAGGGCATTCGTAAGGGAGGCTCTGTCATATACAAGATCGATACAACGGATGAGGCTTCCTCCCAAATCCCACCTTGCGTTCACAATGTTTCGTTCGGCCATCATCCTCGTTGCCCTCACCGCTGCGTTGTCATTCGAGGCCGACTGTGGTAAGCCCCTCTCATCCACCCCTCGCTTCTCGATGCTCAAAGCGACCTATGCAGCAATCGTCAGAACCACGACGACCTCGACAAGCCCTCGCACACGCACGGTCGATGTTACATCTACCTCGACCACAGATAACACCACGGCCACGACGAGCGCGTACGATTCAACTGATACCATACCTGTGACGACAACCACTACGCAGACGGTGTATGTGTCGGCTGGAGGTTATCAGCCGTATCAGTCGTATCAGCCGTTCCAGCCATAACGACACGGCTCGCGAGCAGCAGCTGAAGATGGCATAATCGGGGTTATGCAATGGCTATGTGACGGCCATTAGCACTCGAATCAAGGTTGTGCATTTTACTTTCCATAAATACGCGGCGGTGCACGTGTGAAGCGAGGGATGCCTTTGATTGATGACTGACGAGCATTTAAAATATACTTTTACCTTCAGGCGAGCACGAAATGCGTGAAATTTCAGTATCATTACTGCACGATACGGTTCAACGATAGACGAAGAGCTAAAGTACGTGTCAGGCTCAGGTGACTGACTGATAAAAATGGTCGACGAACGGAAATATCCTGTGATCGGAGCTTTGGTGTAAGTTGACATATTTTCAAAGCCTGCAACGAACGATGTACAGAGGTTTCATATTGATCGATGACCCCATGAATGTTTGCCTGCGCAACAGATCGGATACCAGCTCTTCGGCGAACAAATCGCGTGCTGATCTATGATTGCCACGCATGTATCAAGGCAACAAAAGGAAGCAGCACATCATACACCCTCAAACCCGATTCCTTGATCTCTCAGATCCGGCCTTCTTTATCTCAGCATTCACCATCAAATCATGGGAAGCGAGCCCCAACCGAAGTCATCCTTTTTTT